CTCCACCCCTCTCACCCCCTCTGCCCCATTCCGCCCCTCTCATCCTCTCCACCCCTCTCACCCCCTCTGCCCCATTCCGCCCCTCTCATCCTCTCCACCCCTCTCACCCCCTCTGCCCCATTCCGCCCCTCTCATCCTCTCCACCCCTCTCACCCCCTCTGCCCCATTCCGCCCCTCTCATCCTCTCCACCCCTCTCACCCCCTCTGCCCCTTTCCGCCCCTCTCATCCTCTCCACCCCTCTCACCCCCTCTGCCCCTTTCCGCCCCGCTCATCCTCTCCACCCCTCTCACCCCCTCTGCCCCATTCCGCCCCTCTCATCCTCTCCACCCCTCTCACCCCCTCTGCCCCTTTCCGCCCCTCTCATCCTCTCCACCCCTCTCACCCCCTCTGCCCCATTCCGCCCCTCTCATCCTCTCCACCCCTCTCACCCCCTCTGCCCCATTCCGCCCCTCTCATCCTCTCCACCCCTCTCACCCCCTCTGCCCCATTCCGCCCCTCTCATCCTCTCCACCCCTCTCACCCCCTCTGCCCCATTCCGCCCCTCTCATCCTCTCCACCCCTCTCACCCCCTCTGCCCCATTCCGCCCCTCTCATCCTCTCCACCCCTCTCACCCCCTCTGCCCCTTTCCGCCCCTCTCATCCTCTCCACCCCTCTCACCCCCTCTGCCCCATTCCGCCCCTCTCATCCTCTCCACCCCTCTCACCCCCTCTGCCCCTTTCCGCCCCTCTCATCCTCTCCACCCCTCTCACCCCCTCTGCCCCTTTCCGCCCCTCTCATCCTCTCCACCCCTCTCACCCCCTCTGCCCCTTTCCGCCCCTCTCATCCTCTCCACCCCTCTCACCCCCTCTGCCCCTTTCCGCCCCTCTCATCCTCTCCACCCCTCTCACCCCCTCTGCCCCATTCCGCCCCTCTCATCCTCTCCACCCCTCTCACCCCCTCTGCCCCATTCCGCCCCTCTCATCCTCTCCACCCCTCTCACCCCCTCTGCCCCATTCCGCCCCTCTCATCCTCTCCACCCCTCTCACCCCCTCTGCCCCTTTCCGCCCCTCTCATCCTCTCCACCCCTCTCACCCCCTCTGCCCCTTTCCGCCCCTCTCATCCTCTCCACCCCTCTCACCCCCTCTGCCCCATTCCGCCCCTCTCATCCTCTCCACCCCTCTCACCCCCTCTGCCCCTTTCCGCCCCTCTCATCCTCTCCACCCCTCTCACCCCCTCTGCCCCTTTCCGCCCCTCTCATCCTCTCCACCCCTCTCACCCCCTCTGCCCCATTCCGCCCCTCTCATCCTCTCCACCCCTCTCACCCCCTCTGCCCCTTTCCGCCCCTCTCATCCTCTCCACCCCTCTCACCCCCTCTGCCCCTTTCCGCCCCTCTCATCCTCTCCACCCCTCTCACCCCCTCTGCCCCTTTCCGCCCCTCTCATCCTCTCCACCCCTCTCACCCCCTCTGCCCCTTTCCGCCCCTCTCATCCTCTCCACCCCTCTCACCCCCTCTGCCCCTTTCCGCCCCTCTCATCCTCTCCACCCCTCTCACCCCCTCTGCCCCTTTCCGCCCCTCTCATCCTCTCCACCCCTCTCACCCCCTCTGCCCCTTTCCGCCCCTCTCATCCTCTCCACCCCTCTCACCCCCTCTGCCCCTTTCCGCCCCTCTCATCCTCTCCACCCCTCTCACCCCCTCTGCCCCTTTCCGCCCCTCTCATCCTCTCCACCCCTCTCACCCCCTCTGCCCCTTTCCGCCCCTCTCATCCTCTCCACCCCTCTCACCTCCTCTGCCCCTTTCCGCCCCTCTCATCCTCTCCACCCCTCTCACCCCCTCTGCCCCTTTCCGCCCCTCTCATCCTCTCCACCCCTCTCACCCCCTCTGCCCCTTTCCGCCCCTCTCATCCTCTCCACCCCTCTCACCCCCTCTGCCCCTTTCCGCCCCTCTCATCCTCTCCACCCCTCTCACCCCCTCTGACCCTTTCCGCCCCTCTCATCCTCTCCACCCCTCTCACCCTCTCTGCCCCTTTCCGCCCCTCTCATCCTCTCCACCCCTCTCACCCCCTCTGCCCCATTCCTCCCCTCTCATCCTCTCCACCCCTCTCACCCCCTCTGCCCCTTTCCGCCCCTCTCATCCTCTCCACCCCTCTCACCCCCTCTGCCCCTTTCCGCCCCTCTCATCCTCTCCACCCCTCTCACCCCCTCTGCCCCATTCCGCCCCTCTCATCCTCTCCACCCCTCTCACCCCCTCTGCCCCTTTCCGCCCCTCTCATCCTCTCCACCCCTCTCACCCCCTCTGCCCCTTTCCGCCCCTCTCATCCTCTCCACCCCTCTCACCCCCTCTGCCCCTTTCCGCCCCTCTCATCCTCTCCACCCCTCTCACCCCCTCTGCCCCTTTCCGCCCCTCTCATCCTCTCCACCCCTCTCACCCCCTCTGCCCCTTTCCGCCCCTCTCATCCTCTCCACCCCTCTCACCCCCTCTGCCCCATTCCGCCCCTCTCATCCTCTCCACCCCTCTCACCCCCTCTGCCCCTTTCCGCCCCTCTCATCCTCTCCACCCCTCTCACCCCCTCTGCCCCATTCCGCCCCTCTCATCCTCTCCACCCCTCTCACCCCCTCTGCCCCTTTCCGCCCCTCTCATCCTCTCCACCCCTCTCACCCCCTCTGCCCCTTTCCGCCCCTCTCATCCTCTCCACCCCTCTCACCCCCTCTGCCCCATTCCGCCCCTCTCATCCTCTCCACCCCTCTCACCCCCTCTGCCCCTTTCCGCCCCTCTCATCCTCTCCACCCCTCTCACCCCCTCTGACCCTTTCCGCCCCTCTCATCCTCTCCACCCCTCTCACCCCCTCTGCCCCTTTCCGCCCCTCTCATCCTCTCCACCCCTCTCACCCCCTCTGCCCCATTCCTCCCCTCTCATCCTCTCCACCCCTCTCACCCCCTCTGCCCCTTTCCGCCCCTCTCATCCTCTCCACCCCTCTCACCCCCTCTGCCCCTTTCCGCCCCTCTCATCCTCTCCACCCCTCTCACCCCCTCTGCCCCATTCCGCCCCTCTCATCCTCTCCACCCCTCTCACCCCCTCTGCCCCTTTCCGCCCCTCTCATCCTCTCCACCCCTCTCACCCCCTCTGCCCCTTTCCGCCCCTCTCATCCTCTCCACCCCTCTCACCCCCTCTGCCCCATTCCGCCCCTCTCATCCTCTCCACCCCTCTCACCCCCTCTGCCCCTTTCCGCCCCTCTCATCCTCTCCACCCCTCTCACCCCCTCTGCCCCTTTCCGCCCCTCTCATCCTCTCCACCCCTCTCACCCCCTCTGCCCCTTTCCGCCCCTCTCATCCTCTCCACCCCTCTCACCCCCTCTGCCCCTTTCCGCCCCTCTCATCCTCTCCACCCCTCTCACCTCCTCTGCCCCTTTCCGCCCCTCTCATCCTCTCCACCCCTCTCACCCCCTCTGCCCCATTCCGCCCCTCTCATCCTCTCCACCCCTCTCACCCCCTCTGCCCCATTCCGCCCCTCTCATCCTCTCCACCCCTCTCACCCCCTCTGCCCCATTCCGCCCCTCTCATCCTCTCCACCCCTCTCACCCCCTCTGCCCCATTCCGCCCCTCTCATCCTCTCCACCCCTCTCACCCCCTCTGCCCCTTTCCGCCCCTCTCATCCTCTCCACCCCTCTCACCCCCTCTGCCCCATTCCGCCCCTCTCATCCTCTCCACCCCTCTCACCCCCTCTGCCCCTTTCCGCCCCTCTCATCCTCTCCACCCCTCTCACCCCCTCTGCCCCATTCCGCCCCTCTCATCCTCTCCACCCCTCTCACCCCCTCTGCCCCATTCCGCCCCTCTCATCCTCTCCACCCCTCTCACCCCCTCTGCCCCATTCCGCCCCTCTCATCCTCTCCACCCCTCTCACCCCCTCTGCCCCATTCCGCCCCTCTCATCCTCTCCACCCCTCTCACCCCCTCTGCCCCATTCCGCCCCTCTCATCCTCTCCACCCCTCTCACCCCCTCTGCCCCATTCCGCCCCTCTCATCCTCTCCACCCCTCTCACCCCCTCTGCCCCATTCCGCCCCTCTCATCCTCTCCACCCCTCTCACCCCCTCTGCCCCATTCCGCCCCTCTCATCCTCTCCACCCCTCTCACCCCCTCTGCCCCATTCCGCCCCTCTCACCCCCTCTGCCCCCCTCCACCCCTCCGCCTGTGCTGCATGGGAGCAGGACGTGTCGTTAAAGGGCGGGGTGAGTGTGGACGCGGCGGGGGCGGTGGTGAGCGACTTCAACGTGGTGAGCAGTGTGCACGGCGCCACCGCTGCGCGCTCCCTGCTCTCCCGCTCCATCGGCTCCACCAACAACCTCGCTGCCGCCTCCACTCTCAGTGCCTCGCTCATAGAGGACTCGGCGCTGGAGATTGAGTAGAGTTTTGCAGACAAGCATCCGCAAACATATATTCTTTGTATTTATTAATTGTTATTATGGTCTTGTCCTATGACGGACAGCATATGTACGGTATGTAACAGTTTATCCTTGCTCGCTGGCTTCCTTGGTGCCAGAGCCAAGCCACCATTTACCCGGCACCTTGGTGGGAGTGCAGACCAAGCCAACACACTGCCCCAATGGGGGCTTGTTCATCCATTGCTCCCAGGGTGTGTTGCTTCAGGTTTGAGCCTGCTTTTGTCCAACTGTCGGCACTAGATGCTGCCAGTCCAGTGATTCCAACAGCGAATGAGCACATGGTTATGCTGATGTTCCAAACTCGTGCCACTCAATGAGAGCAATTCAAAAGAGATCCAGCATTGTTCGTTGCATGCAAACCATTTCAAATAAGTACATCAGTTGGAAGCAAGTATTTACGGTATACATAAGGGTTGCTCTGGTTAGTACTTTGACGATAATTTTGAGAGACGGGGATCACGGGCCATGGCCTAAAGACAAGCCAGATGGCATTATTGGGAAAAGCATAATCAAGACCATGTGTTGCTGTGTGCTGTCATGTGCTGCCCATGTGCATCCATGAACGCACGCCCCATGCAGGGCATCACAGGGGGGCGGTGGGGGGCTGCCAGGGCAGCAGCTCGGTGCGAGGGGCCCACATGGCCACGTCACCATCGGCATCGTCGTCGTCGTCACGCAGAATGTTCACCACGCCACGGCACCCGCTGCTGCCACAGTTGCACGCCAGCTGCTCGTCCTGCGAGTCAAACCTGTGGGGGGTAAGGGGATGGAGTCACGGTCAGGAGGCATGGGGGCATGGTTCAAGGGGCATGGGGGCATGGTTGAAGGGGCATGGGGGAGGGGTGAGAGGGCAGTAGATGGAGGAGCAGCTCAAGAACAAGGCGATTGGGAATGGGCGCACACGGTGGGTGTGGGGGGGGAGGGAGGGGAGGGCTTGGGGGCGGCTTGCCTGTAGTCATAGGTGAGCTCCTCGCCGGCCATGATATCCCGGCGGGCAAAGATGACTATGCGCTCCTCCGCACTCGCCTGCACCACCCTCGAGTAGCAGTTGGGCTGCCCGGGGGAAGGGAAGGAGAGTGGGGATGGAATGGCAGGATACGTGAGACGGGAATGAGGGGCACATGCAGGCACGTGCAGCTGGGAAGCCTGTCCATTCTCAAGTGAGACACATGGATGACAGGAGAGAAACAAGACGCGACAGGGGCTGCATCAGTGCCTAGCAGCACGGCACGCAACAGCAGGCAGAGAGCAGAGAGCATGGATGGTGCGGGACTGACGTTGCAGGAGTGGTTGATGAGGTGCGCTATGGTGCCCGCCTTGGTGGCATCCACCACTCGCTTGCTGTCGATCCGAAACATGTACGTGCCCGCTCCCTGTGCCACGCGCAACAGCCGTGCGTCATGCATGCGCCGCACACGCATGTGCCACGAATGCATCACACACCGTGTGTCAAAGCAATGCACCATGCATGATGCATCAAACACCACGCCCATACATCCACCAGTCAGAGAAGCGATGAGTAACGGAGATATGGAGAAATGACCCGGTGCGAAGGAAAAAGAGCGGGAGCGGCAATGAAAGGGTGCAGCAGCGCAGTTAAAGGGTGCAGTTGGGCAGCAGCATGCATACCACGAGTGAGTCGTAGCAGCGCCTCTCCCTCAAGTCCGCCACCACTGGCCGCACCACCTCGCCCCCGTACTCTATGATCTGATGTGACAGTGCAGCAAGGGGCAGCAAAGCATGAGACACGGAGACAGGTTTTGTCAAAGACGAGAAAGAAGGAAGACATTCAGGTGAACACGAGTGGAGCAGGGCAAGGCAGGAAGTGATATCACATGCTGAAATTCATGGAGCATGCAACACATGCCATGAGACGCGAAGTTTTCCCAGAGACGAGCAATTGCAGGTGCAGGGTGGTGGTGGCAGTGGGCACTCACCATGTCTCCGGCCCGATGAGGCGTCTTGGCGAACACACCCCACCCGTGGATGGCTGACTTGCCTGCACGCCCACATGCACACACAAGGGAAGAAGCGCATAGGACCAAACCAACGACACCACAATGGCGGAAGAGCGTGTGCTGGCACGACGGGCACACGTATTTAAGAGCCCAGCACGGCATCCCCATCCCTACCATCATCACTGCCCGCCCACCCACTACCTGCCCGCGCACACATGCACCAAATTACCATCCCTGCCCCCCACGCACCGAAGGCGAGGCGCTGCTGCTGGGTGGACTTCATGCGGCGGAAGCGGTCCGACATCGACCGCACCTCGCCCTCCCCGCTGCCCGCCTGCCCCTCCTCCCCCTCTGCCCCGCCCACCAGCCCCGAGTGCAGCAACCGCCGCAGCCTGCTCACATGCACGCCCCCCCCTGGCCCCACGTCCCTCACGCCCTCCGCGTCACGGCACACCTCCTGCTGCCCTGCCCTGCCGCGCCCCTCCCCCACCATGCCCACGTGCCCGTCCTCTGCGCCGTGCTCCTGGGCGGGGTGGGAGGCGGCGTGCTGCATGTGCGCTCGCACTGCCTCCACCACGGAGGGGCCGTGCACGCGGCGCTGCTCCTGGCGGCGGCCGCAGATGGCGAAGGGCACGTTCTCCAGAAACGACCGCTTCGCCAAAAAGGCCGCCACCGCGTCCGGCTCCCTGCGCCCCCTCCGTATGCGCGCGTCAAAGGGATCTGGGGGGTGGCGGTGGGTGGGGAAGGGCAAGAGAGAGGGCGAGGTGAGGCCAATTGAAGAGGGGGGGGGGGGGAGGGGGAGGGAGGGGTGGGGGAGGGAGGAGGGGGAGAGAGCGGACGCAGATACAGGGGAAAGGGGGAAAATGGAGAAACAAGATGTGGTCTTTGCAGTCTATCTCACCTGTTCGAGCACACAGCACTCTCTCTCCACCCGCCCTGCCACCGAGCGGTGCATCCCGCCGGCTGCTGTCCATCTCACACCCGCCCTCGCTGCTACCCCCTCCGCTTCCACTGCTCTCACTCCACCCACTCTCGCTGCCACTCCCACTGCCACCCTCATTCTCCCCTCCTTTCCCCTCTCTCCCCGCCCTCGCACCTCCACCGCTCCCATTCTCTCTCGCACCCTCCCTACCCCCACCGCCCTCTTCTCTGTCGCCCTCGCTCCCTCCCATCCCCTCTCTCCCCCTCTCAGCCTGCCCACTGCCCAGAGCAGCAGGGGCGGCGGAGGGGGAAGGGAGGGGCGAGGGGGCGGGGTGACACAGCAGCTGTGCCATGGGCAGCACTTTGGGGGGCGGGTCGGAGGGAGCGGGGGAGGCAGCAGCAGCAGCAGCAGCAGCAGATGTGGCTGGGGCAGAGGCGGGGGAGGGCGGGCGAGGGGGAGCAGCAGCGGCGGTGGGTTCGGGGGAGGGGGAGGGCGCGGAGGGGTGGGGGGGGAGGGAGGGTGTGGCGTGGAGGGCTTTGGCGCGGGCGCGGTGGCGCGGGCAGAAGCAGATCATGGCCACGGACCCCACCACCGTGCCGTGCAGCCGGCTGCGCTCCATGCTCTCCTCACTCATGTCCAATGTCTGCCCACCAACACGCGGAAGGAGGGGGGGGGGGGGGAGGGGAGGAAGGAGACGGGTGAGTTGTGAGGCTACTCAGTGGGCTTGCTGCGTTCCATGCTGGCCTCGCTCTCTCGTGCGCATCGTGTGGAGGCGAGGGGTTAGGAGAGAGGGATCTATGGGTTGCTGTGTGAATGATGTGTTAGGGGTGCTCTCACCAGTACGAGGTAGCCTTGCCCCCTCCCTCTCACCAGCATGGGGTAGCCCTTGAGTCGTGCTCTCACCAGCATGGGGTAGCCCTTGAGTCGTGCTCTCACCAGCATGGGGTAGCCCTTGAGTCGTGCTCTCACCAGCATGGGGTAGCCCTTGAGTCGTGCTCTCACCAGCATGGGGTAGCCCTTGAGTCGTGCTCTCACCAGCATGGGGTAGCCCTTGAGTCGTGCTCTCACCAGCATGGGGTAGCCCTTGAGTCGTGCTCTCACCAGCATGGGGTAGCCCTTGAGTCGTGCTCTCACCAGCATGGGGTAGCCCTTGAGTCGTGCTCTCACCAGCATGGGGTAGCCCTTGAGTCGTGCTCTCACCAGCATGGGGTAGCCCTCGAGTCGTGCTCTCACCAGCATGGGGTAGCCCTTGAGTTTGGCGCAGAGCGGGTGGAAGGCGGTGTAGCACTGCCCCGCCGCGCACTGGATGCACGCCCCGTGGGGGATGCGGCACACACAACACCGCAGCTGCCACCGCGCCTGCAGGGGGAGGGAAGGGCGAAGAGGGGGAGCGGAAGCGGCGTGGAGGGGAGAACGATGTTGGTAATAAGCATGGGAACTGTTGGGATGACTTGGGAGGGAAGTGATGAGTATTGAAACGGAGTGGTGCATTGATATGGGTAGGGGTTTGAATGGTGAGAGGTGAGTGGTGAGAGGTGAGTGGTGAGTGGTGAGAGGTGAGAGGTGAGTGGTGAGAGGTGAGTGGTGAGAGGTGAGTGGTGAGAGGTGAGTGGTGAGAGGTGAGTGGTGAGTGGTGAGTGGTGAGAGGTGAGTGGTGAGTGGTGAGTGGTGAGAGGTGAGTGGTGAGTGGTGAGTGGTGAGTGGTGAGTGGTGAGTGGTGAGAGGTGAGAGGTGAGTGGTGAGAGGTGAGTGGTGAGAGGTGAGTGGTGAGAGGTGAGTGGTGAGAGGTGAGTGGTGAGAGGTGAGTGGTGAGTGGTGAGTGGTGAGTGGTGAGTGGTGAGTGGTGAGTGGTGAGTGGTGAGTGGTGAGTGGTGAGTGGTGAGTGGTGAGAGGTGAGTGGTGAGTGGTGAGTGGTGAGTGGTGAGTGGTGAGTGGTGAGTGGTGAGTGGTGAGTGGTGAGTGGTGAGTGGTGAGTGGTGAGTGGTGAGTGGTGAGTGGTGAGAGGTGAGTGGTGAGTGGTGAGTGGTGAGTGGTGAGAGGTGAGTGGTGAGTGGTGAGTGGTGAGTGGTGAGTGGTGAGTGGTGAGTGGTGAGTGGTGAGTGGTGAGTGGTGAGTGGTGAGTGGTGAGTGGTGAGTGGTGAGTGGTGAGAGGTGAGTGGTGAGTGGTGAGTGGTGAGTGGTGAGTGGTGAGTGGTGAGTGGTGAGTGGTGAGTGGTGAGTGGTGAGTGGTGAGTGGTGAGTGGTGAGAGGTGAGTGGTGAGTGGTGAGTAGTGCACGTTCAGCGCACCTTGGGGATGTCATCGAAGCCAGTGACGGGCTCCATGCGCTTGATGTTCACAAACGACGTCTCTGTGCCGCCACAGGTGGAGGGGGGTCAGGGTGGGGGGACGAGGGTGAGGGTGGGCGGACAGCAGCGACTACATGAAGCAACGGACATGGGAAGTGCATTGTGCCTACTCCCTTCACTCTTGTCACACTGTGTCCTTCTGCTCCATGCCACTCGCTTCCAGAACCCGTTAATCGCTAACCCACCTGGGATCCAGAGAGAGCATGCCAGGTGCGCCCACAGCCCATGCACCGTCCGCTTCATGGCTCCCCCTGGTCATGCGCATGGGGATGACATGAGGACGGGCATCGTGATGGGCATGGGGATGGGGATGGGGATCCGGATGGGCATGGGGACGGACATAGGCATGGACATGGGGATGGGGTTGGGGATGGGCATGGACATGGGGATGGGGATGGATGGAAATGGGGATGGGCATGGGGATGGGGATGGCCATGGGGATGGCATTAACCAGCCAGCACGGTTGGCACAGAGCAGATCTCACTGACAGGAGGGGATAACTGTGTGGCCCGCGAACGCACAAGGTTGGAGAAGATGGGACGGCGGGAACAAGCATTGGGGTGCTGACCTTGCACGGGGCACTGACCTTGCACGGGGCAGAGGCAGCAGAGGGGCTTGGCATCACGCTTGCCCTGGCGCTCGTACTTGCTGCACACGTCGCACAGCCACAGCCCGCCATCTGGCGGCTCTCTGACGCCGTAGCACGCCATGTGGACCATGATGCGACAGCTGTCGCACTGCAGCAGCTGGTCGTCCTCGTACTCCTGCATGCACTCATGTGCGCGCACACGCATAGGGGGTGGTATGAGCGCATGAGCATGAGCATGAGCATGCTGATGTGCCCTCTCCCATCCTCCCACCAAGAAGAAGCAACCCCCCTCACCCGCTGACCTTGAAGAAGCACCCCCCCTTCCCCCGCGCACGCACTGACCTCGGAGAGGCAGCACACATCGCAGCGGTCGAGGGACGCCTGCCGGTACTCCACCGCTTTGAACCCCGCCGGTAGCCGCGACTCCTTCACCACCACAGCTCCCCCCCGTGCCCCCTGCGCCGCCTCCCCCTGCTGCTTCGCCGGCGCACTGGCCTGCCGCGCCCTCTCGCCCCTGCTGGCGTCCGCAGTGTTGGAAGCAGGCGCGGGGCGAGGGGCGTTGACCCACGCGGTGAAATGCTGGCAGCGGCTGGCGTTGGGCAGACCCTGAATGAGCTGCGCCACGCGCGGGTGGGTGAGGCCAAACATCTGAGCCCCCGACCGCACGTGGTGTGACGGCAGCCACGCCCCACACCGCCCGCTGCCCCTGCTGCCCCCGCTGCCACAGCTGCCACCGCTGCCACCCCACCCCCCACTCACCCCGCCACACTCGCCCCCACACCGCGGGCTGCCACTGCCATGCGCTGCCCCGCCCCCTGTGCCTTGTGCTGGCAGCGCCTGCCACGGCGGCCGCAGCGGGGAGGGGGTGAGCGGGGGCGCGGATGAGGGGGAGGCGGCGAGGGGGCGCGCTGCAGAGGCGGGGGGGAAGGCCCACCGGAGAGGGTCCCCTGCAGGCATCCCCCGCTGGGCCGAGACCCCTTGCACGCCTGCTGCTGCGCCCCCCCTCTCGTCCCCTCCGCCCCCATCCACCTCCATTGCTTCCGCCTCTGCCCCTCCCTGCCCCACAGCGCCCTCTCTTCCTCCGCCCCCACCATCCCTCCCTGCCCCACCGCTCGTTACGGCTTCTAATCTCTCTTGCTCCTCCGCCTTTGCACCTGCTTCGCCCCCATCATCCCCCCCTGCCTCTGCTTCCGCCCCTGCCCGGCTACCATCACCCCCCTGTGCCTCCGCGCCTGCCCTGCCACCACCGCCCCCCTCTGCCTCTGCCCCAGCACGCAGCACTGCCCCACCGCTGCCCTCCCCTCGCTGCAGCAGCACCGCCAGCGGCACCATCATCGGCCCCCCGCCCCTCTGCGCCCTCCCTTCCCCTGCCCCTGTGCCTCCACCCCCTGTCCCTGTCCCCGTAACTGCCCCTGCCCCTCCGCCTGCCCCTCCCCCTGCGCCTGTGGTGGGCGGGTGCAGGTGCTGCAGCAGCAGGCGCTTGGCCTCCGCCACGCGCCTCTGGATGATGCGCCAGCACTCGCCGGGCGACGGTCCCTCCACCTGCCCGGGAGAGGGAGGGGTGGTGGGGGGGAGAGGGCGGGGGCACACCACACAGCAGCTCAAGTGAGAAGGGGCGAGGATGGAGGGAGTGATGGGGGAAGGGGGTGAGAGAAGGTAGACACGACAAAGGGTGGGAGGTGAACGCAAAGGCACATACCGCATCAGAGCCTTCCGGGGTGACTCGAAAGATTGGACCACCAGGCACCAGGGTGTTTCCAGCAGCACCCCCAGAGGCGGCAGGCGGCTGCTTCTTCTGCTGCGGCTTCTTGGCCCCTTTGGGCTGCTGCTGCTGCTGCATGCGCTGTGGCGTCTGCCGCAGCTGCGGGCGCCGCCATGCACCTTCCCCCAACGGCATAGACGGTGCTGCTGCTTGCACAGGTGCAGCAGCAGCAGTGGGGGGCGGAGGAGGAGGAGGAGGGGGAGCGGGAGGTGGTGCCTGGTGAAGGATCTCCATGACGTGATTCACCACCACTCGTGGGTCTGGGAGGGATCAACCGGATGGGGAGGAGGCCGGGGGGAAGCGGAGGAAATAGGATAGAGTAGGTTAAATGGTGTGGATTGAAGGTGGAAGGAAGAGGGCGGGGAAAAGGAGCGAATTCAGGGGATGCAAGCTCAAGCAGGTAAGGCCGTAGAGAGCAAGGGGTGGAGCGCACCTTGGGCGGAGGGGAAGGGGCGCACAGCCTTGTAGCCGACAGGATAGATGTGCTGCGCCGTGTGGAACCCAGGCTCTCCCGGCACCACTCGCCCTGCGCGCACGGGGTGTGGGGGGAGGCGGGGGGGGAGGGGGTGGGGGGGGGGGGGGCGGGGAAGGGTTGGTGGTTATGGGACAAGGCAGTGAGAGGGCAGATTGGATAGCAATGGGGGAAGAGATGGCAGGCGGGATGGGGGCATGGGGAGGAGTGGGGTGAAGCTGCTGAGAGGAAGCAAACCAGCAGGGTGGGGAGAAAAGGGGCGCACCGAGGGAGAGCAGGGTGAGGGAGCCGATGTGCAGGGGCAGGGAGGGCGGGGACGTGGCAGTGGTGGCTGAGTCACTCCCCATCACCGCATCCGACCCCACTGCCTGCCCCCCGCTCCTCCTCGCCTCCAACCCCTTCCCCTCCCCCTCCCCATCTGCCTCCCCACACCCCCCTGAACTCGCCCCTGCCTGCCCCACATCATCCACCACCTTGCCTCCAACTGCTGCCCGTCCCCCCACCTCCGCCCCACTCTTGCCCCCACTGCCTGTCGCCTTCACCCCCTTGCGCCCATGCCCCCCCTCCTCCTCCGCCTCTGCTGCCCCCTTCCCCTCCTCGCCACTGCTCTGGCTGCCCTCCCCACTTCCACTCTGCCGCTCACTGCCCTCCTCGCTCGCCCCCTCGCTGCCCTCCCCACTGCTCCCATCGCTGCCCGACTCCTCCTCGCTGCCCTCGTCCGACCCCGACCCGTGCAGGAACGCCATTTTCGCCGGCAGCTCCTCCACCAGCAGGAACCTGCCGGGAAAGGGAGGTTGGAGGGGACGGGAGTGAGGGGCAAGCGAAGCCGCTGGTATGAGCGTGGGCTCGCCTGAGCAACTGCAGCTGCTGCAAGCTGTTGCAGAAAGTTGAGGTCAATTGAATGTGCAGGGAAGAGGGCGGGGGACAAGGGGTGGTTAGCGGAGGGCCAGGGGGCGGGAGGAGAGAGGCGAGAGGCGAGAGGCGCGGGGTGGGAGTCGGACCTTTCGACTTCATGGAGCGCTGTTTTGAAGCAGGCGGCCTTGCTCTTGTTGTGCAGCCCCTTGGCGAGGCCGAGCAGGAAGGGGCAGGCGGCAGAGGCGGCAACGATGCTGCACTCGTAGGAGCCAAAGAAGTGCACCAGCACCTCCCCCGCCCCGCCCTCCCTCACTGCTCGCAGCCCCACTCGCTCCGCCACTGTTGGGTCCAACACCATGGCCGGCCATGCTGGGTGCCCTGTGCACGTGCGGATGGGGGCAGCAGCAGCAGCAGAAGAGCACAAGACATGGGTCAGCACTTGGCCTCGATTAACTCCCCCTCTTTTCCTCCCCACAGTTCTTCTCCTTTCCATCCCTTTCTACCTGTTGTAGTGGTATTCAACCATTAAAGTCACATTCCAGCCCTGATATCCATCAGGCACACACTAAACCACCTATCCTCTACAGTCACAATCTATCCTCCCTATCCTCTACAGTCACAATCTATCCTCCCTATCCTCTACAGTCACAATCTATCCTCCCTATCCTCTACAGTCACAATCTATCCTCCCTATCCTCTACAGTCACAATCTATCCTCCCTATCCTCTACAGTCACAATCTACCCTCCGTACTCTCTATAGTCACACACTAACCCTCCTGCGCATTCACACCCCAGCCGTGCTCACCCTTGACGCGCGCCCACACGAGCTCCTTGGCGCCAAACCGCCCCAGCTTCAGCTCCTCCAGCGCCCCTCCCGCCCCCCCTGCCCCTGCCCCCGCCCCCGCCCCCGCCCCTGCCCCCGCCCCCGCCCCCGCCCCTGCACCCGCCCCCGTTCCCTCCGCTTTGCCCTTGGGCGCGCCCCCCTGGTCCGCGCCCCTGTGGTCTCTGGGCGCAGTGCGGGTGGAGGCGGAGAGCATGGCGGCGGCGGCCAGCACAGCAGAGCGCGCAGGGTCCATGTCGCGCGCCATGCTCGCTGCCAGCTCCGCCAGCTCGCGCCCGCCCTGCCCCCGCCCCTGCCATCCCCGCCTGCCCCTCCACCCCCTCCCCTTGCCACCCTTTGCCGCCTTCCCTCCCTCCCCAACCAACTCCACTCCCCCCTCCTCGTCCTCATCCTCCTCCCCCTCGTCCCCGCTTCGTTCGTCCTCCCCTTCCTCCTCCCTCCCCTGCTCCTCCTCTCTCTCACACCCTGGCTCGCCGCCATCCCTGCCGCCCTCCTCCTTCCCACAATCCTCCACCAGGGGGGCCGTGGCACACGTAGCAGCATCAGCAGCAGGGCAAGCAGCAGCAGCAGCGGCGGCGGGGGCAGGGGGAGGAGCAGAAGCAGCAGCAGGGGGAGGGGGGGTGGGGCAGAGAGCGAGGAGGGGGTCGTGGCGGGGGAGGTGCAGCTTGATGCGTTCGGCTGACATGCGCAGCCACTCGCTCTCCGTCTCGTCGTACCGCACCTGGTGCTTGCCCGTGCGCGCATCATACGCATACACCAGCCCCGCATACCACCTCTCGTCCAGCGGCCAGTACACCTGTTGGGCACCCACACACACAAACATGAAGGGGCGACACCGGGCAGGGCAGCATGGTGTGGCGTGGGGATACACATGTGGCAGCCTGCTGCTGTGCAGGGGCAGGGAAGATGAGGCAATAGGCAGGTAGGAGGGCATCTAACGGTGGTCATACCTTGCACAGTCGGCCGATGAGAGCCCTTGGATCCACTCCAGCCAATGGCAGCCTGCAGCACGGGTCAGAGTGAGCAGAAGCAGGCAGACGTGAGTCATTCGAGACAAGTCAAGTCGGGTGAAGCCACGTCAAGTCAACTTGAGTTAAATCAGGTCAATTCACATCAAGTCAAGTCAGCAAGCTGTTAGCTGAAACGAAAGAGCTTGAAACATTGGAGGACAAGGAGGTGCATTTTGGTGAGAGGCGGTGGGCATTACTCCATCCACTGAGGGCGCTGCAGGTCGGCCATGAGGCGGTCCACGTAGCTCTCTATCAGCCGCCGCCGCTTTGGCGTCAGCCGGCTCTTCTCACTCTGCCCTGCTCCTGCTGCTGCTGCTGCCCCTCCTTCCGCTTCATCCCGCACCTGCTGCTCCCCCTTCTTGTCCAGCCGTGCATGGGCAGCAGCCTTGGCAGCGGCAGGTGCAGCGGCATGAGTCACGGCCATACGTTTCACAGGCACACTCTCGCTCTCACCCGCCTCGCACTTCACCTGCACCCGCGCTGCTGCCACTGCAGGTACAGTCGTTGCAGGGGCAAGGTGGGGAAGAGGAGGAAGAGGAGGGCGGGGGGCGGCAGCAGGCGGAGCAGGCAGAGCGGGGGCATCTGGGAACAGACGGCGCTTGCTGCAGGCGAGGTCGTCCTCGTCGGGATCATCCACCACCATGGCCGCCGCCCCTCCTCCCTCACTCCCACCCCCTCTCGCTGCTCTGCTCTCCCCCTCTGCTAAACCACCACCCTCACTCCCTGCTCGCTCTGCCTTCACCGTCACCTCATCTTCTCTCTTCACACCACCGCTGCTGCCAGCCTTCTTTTCTCTGCTACCGACGCTCGCCTTGCCTGTATCCCCCCCAGCATCGCCGCTTCCTTCTTCCTTCGCCACCGCAGCACCCCTTATCTCTACAGGCACTTTCATGTCAACCTCGTCCGAGCCCAAGTCTTTGAGAGCGCTTTCCCTCACTGCACCCTTCTTCTCGTCCTCTGTGGTGACTCCTCTGGTCCCACCGTCTCCTGTCTCCCCACCCATCTGCTCGCGCGTATCCATCACCTCCCCACAAACGCCCTCAGCCTTCTCAGCCACCACCCCTTGACTCGCCTGCACCCCTCCCACGCCCCCCTCCAACCCGCCCTTCTCGTCCCCCTCCCCCTTGCCCTCGCTCCTCTGCTGCCCGCCCGCCCCCGGTATTTCCCAAGGGCTGCCCGCTTCGCACGGGCTGCCAGCCTCGCCCGCGGGTTTGGGTACGCCTGAACCGGTATGGGCAAGGGAAGGGGAGTCGGGCATGGGAGCAAGGGGGGACAGGGCGGGCAGGGAAGTGGAGGCTTGCCCACATGAGCCTGGCCCCCGGGGAATGACCCCATTCGGCTCTGGCATGGTAGCCGCGACCTTCGCACCCCCGTCCTTCGCACTGCCGTCCGTGCCACCGCTCTCCTTGTCCCCACCATCGGCGACCTTGTCCCCACTCTCCTTGCCTCCGCCCACTTCGCCTCCAGCGCGTGTGTCAGCAGCGTCCCCCTCACACCTCTGCACCACCGCCGCTGCCTCCCCTTCCCCTGACGCGCGGAAGCAGATGGTGCAGTCAGAGCCGCACCCCAGCGAGTCCCCGTCCGCGCGCTCGTGGCTCGAGTCGTGCGGGCTGCCCGCCTGTCCCGCCACAGGGCTCGCCGCAAGCACCGCCACGGCCGCTACCTCCGCGCCCCCTCCCGCTTCCACGACACACACAGCAGGGCGAAGGACGGTTGGCTCTTCAGAGCTCTCAAAGGCCACCGCCGGGTGCAGCACCCGCGCGGGTGGCTGTGCGCGCGGGGGAACGCGGTGCAGCGCCACCGCCACTTCACCCGCCACCTCGACCTCCAGTACCGCGGGACCAGCGGGATCACCGCCTTCCATCCACTCCCCGCTTGCCTGCCGCCCATCGCATGCCTGTGCGCATGCCTGGGGCTCTGCCTGTCCCTGCGCCTGTGCCTGCGCCTGAGGCCCTTGCGCGCACAAGCCAGAATCAGAAGGCGCGTCTCTACTGCCGGCTTCCCTCTCTCCGCTGCTCGACTCCGTCTTTGCGTCCGCACCAGCCGTGCTTACCGTACTTCCCGCGCTCTGCTCCCCGCCGGGCGGAGCAGCGGAGCTAACCCTAACGGCATTGGTGGGCAGCGAGGCGAGCGGGTGCGTGGCGGGAGGCAAGGAGCTCATGCGGCGCCGCTTGTACACGCTCAGCCCCTCCTCCGCCGACTGCCGCCGTTTGTCGCACGCCGAGGCGCCATGCGGCTGCTCGACGTCCGAGGCGGCACTCTGAGTGACAGCTGTCACAGGGAATATCGCGGATACGGGCGGCTCGTTGCCGGCCAAGAGACGACCGCCCAAAAGGCCACTGCTTTCGCTACTTCCAGACGTGCGCACGCGCCGGCTGCGCAGTGTGATATGGTTCTTGTCGCTCGACGATGCCTTGCGACTGTCGCCCGAGATCCCGTCTTCCATGTTGTCCCGGCCTGTCCGTCCCGCCGTCTGCTTCGTCTTCGCCCCCGCTGCCGACCCGTTCGCTCGTTGTTCTTCCCGTTTCGCCAACATCCCCTTGATGTTGCACTGCACGTACCGCCATTTCGGCGCCGCGACAACTGTGCAATCAGTATCTGCTGCCCTCTGCGGGTCCGCCTTCTTCCGCATCCTCGCGAATAGGATCACGCACCACTGTACGACGGAGTTCAAATATTGATGAAAGATAAGGACTTAGCCTGGAAAGATGCGCAGGCTGGTGCAATGAGTCGAGAGAGCCATGGAGCCCAGTGGTGAGTGAAGTCGAGAATGAGGGTTGGGTGGTGAAAGAGAAGAGGATATTCGAGAGGGGTGGGTGAATTGATGGGGGTGGGGGGCGAGGTGCAATGGAAGAACGAGGTGAGGGGAGTTCCGTGGCCGAACCCCGTTTGAATTTTGATTCAAGGGTTCAAATTGACGGAACTCGGTAAGAGCAGAAAAAACCAAGAGGCCAACAATTAGCATTTCGTACAGTGGTGTCTGACACCATACAAATGTTTCTGCAATGAATGAGCCCATTATCAAACCCACGCACATGCTTCCGATACGGATGAATTGATTGCTCTAACGTTCACTTTACAGATTTTAACGTAAAAGTACCCTGAATTCTATATGCATAGTAAAAAGAAATATACGCGTAATATATTATACGAAGGGCTTCAGGAATAATTTTACTGCAATTATTGATTCCATCTACTACTAGTCCTCTAAAAAGGATTAGTTCACGTAATGCTTGGCTGGTAAAGGCCGTAATGCTTGGCGTGTTTGTACATAGGAGCTGATAAGGAAGCAGCTCGTATTCGACGACTCCGAAGTTGTCATTTTCACGCACCAATTCTCAACCGCTCTGCTGCCCCCATCGAACCGCTAGTTTCAATGTCCGCGTACCTGTCAGCTGACGTAGGACCGTCACATGCGCGCCTCAATTTCTCCGCGCCACGCGACCCAGCGCTCCCTCGATGACCTCCCCGTTCATCTTCCTTGACGCCCCGCGCGAGCAGCTGAAGCGAGTCGTATGGTGGACTCAGCAGGAAGGCAGGGTGGCCCGTGCCAACGGAGCCACCCAACAGTTCCGCGAAGGGACGCGCTGGAAAGGAGCGTGTTTCCGACTCGCGCGTTGCGTGTCGGCGTGGACTTAAGAAGAGAGCCAGAGTCAACCTTATTATACTCATCGGATTCGACCCTTTCCAGGAGTTTAAAGCTTCATCGCCTTCTCTGTTCCGCACGACAGGAAGGTTACTCGTTGGCTTCTGCTTTTCGCCAGGAACGTTAACTCGAAACGCTTAGTTCGTTCCGTATTCTGTTCTAACGATGGGTCGCTCCAAGCCGTTAGCGATGCTGTCTGTGCTGCTGGCGCTCGTCGCCCTCTCGATGGCGCCCGTGCGCGCTCAGCCGCGCGCGCCCCCTACGCCAACCCCAGCGGGCCCGTCGCCCGCACCGGCGTCCAGCCCTTCCCCCGCGCCAGCGTCCGCGCCCACGCCAGCGTCCGCACCCACACCAGCATCAGCGCCGTCCCCGGCCCCCGTGCCCGCTCCCGGCCCCGCTCCCACTCCGGCCCCTGTCCCCGCGCCTGCGCCTGCACCCGTCCCCGCATCACCACCGCCTCCCGTTGTTCCCCCGCCGCCCCCTAAGGCCGCGTCCACAGGTATTTGCGCAGAGCAGTCCGGGAGGGTCCACGTATCCTGTAGCAAAGCCTGACGTGAAATCGTTTGTTGCTGCTGACGCGTTTTTATGTTTCTGATTCCGCCGTTTTGGCGTTCCCTGTGTTTGCCGCGATCCCTGTGGCGTGTGTTGCAGGTGCCACGGTGCTCGCATCGCTGCTGCTCGTCGCGCCTCTCGTTGCGCTCGTCGTGTAAACTGAACGGAGGCCCGCTGTGAGGCTGTCGGTTGGAAAGGCCGTGGGGTTTCTCCCGTCTTCTATATCGTGATTGGGAGTGTGTGAAGCTGAAGCTGTGATGAGCATGCATGTATAGGAACAGCTTAGTAACCCATACGAGTTGACCCATTGGATACTACGGTAGTTAGGACACTTAGAGCGTATTCCTATCCTCGTATCAAGAGAACCTCGTATCAACTTCCCACTGAAATTCCCCTAAACCCAAAACCTCTCGCTAGTTTTACCAGGCAAAAAGTACAATCTTGATATGAGGTTCTCTTGATACGAGGATAGGAATACGCTCTTATATGCCTTAAAAAACTTCAAAACTTGTAACACTTGTTGGACGCTACCTCCTAATCTACTACCTAGCCTACCGTACACTACGTACACACCCATTGAATGCAGTCCAGCACACACTAAGCACACTTTGAACACACACCACGCAAGCACACACAATGACTCCCACAAGACAACACAACACAACACAGCACCTGCAACACGTCAACCAGTCATTCGTCTGACACCTGTTCAGCTGAGGAGAGAGGGCGGGGCGGGTGCATGAGCTTAGCTCTTAAGAGAGGCGACGTAGTTGTGGAAGTTGGAGGACTGCTGCTTGGCGCTGTCCAGCGACCGGAAGCGCATCAGCCCTGTGCTGCGCCGCCTGCTGCTGCCGCGCGTGCTGCTGCCCTCCTCCCCAAACTTGCGAAACAGAACCTGCCCCTCCGCCCACTGCCCCGGCAACTCCTGCTGCTGTGGTTGCTGCTGCTGCGGTTGCTGCTGCGGTTGCTGCTGCTGTTGCTGGTGCTGCTGGTACTGCTGGTACGGCTGCTGCTGACCATGAAAGCCTTCCAAGGGACTGCTACCCAGCTCAGCCCCTGCCCGCTCGCGTCTGTTCTCCCACACTTCTGCCACTTCACCAATCCCACCTCCCAGCCTGCCTGCTCCGCCTCCATCCCTGTGGGGGTCCTGAGATGCACTGCTCATTGCGGGCCTGAATTGTGGGGGCGTTCCTATCGGTGACAAGAACCCTGAGCTTGGCGGTGATTTAGGCACTGATGATACGGGCATCGCCACTAATGCTGCTGCCGCTGCTGATGCTGATGCTGGTGGTGCTGGTGATACTGCTGCTGCTGCTGCTGGCGGTGGGGCTGGTGGTGGTGCTGCTCTTGCTGCTGCTCGTGCTGATAATGAGGGTGCTAACGATCGCCCAAACGCGGGTGCAACAAGTGGTGCCGACGAAGGCGATAATGGTGGAGGAAACGACAGCCCTGATAAAGGTGCTGCTGATGTTGCTGACGACGAGGCTGCCAGTGATGGGGGCGAGAGCAGGGGCGGGGTGGCAGAGGAGGAGTGCAGGGGCGGCAGGGACTGGAACATGGACCCGGACGGCAGTGACGACTGGCTTCTCAGTGACCCTCGGCTGGGCGGAGGCAGGTCCCAGGAAGGTGCAGTGCGTGACTCGGCCTGTTCCCGAACCACAATCACAAACTCCTGTTGCTGCTCTTGCTGCTGCTGCTGCTGCTGGTCCGACTGGCCGGCCGGTGCTAGTGGCTGCTGTTGCTGCTGCTGCTGGTGCTGCTGCTGCTGGTGAGACTGCAGGGACACGGAGAGCCGGAGCTTCACGCGCGACCCGTCGGACCTGATGCCCGTGGCGCGGCGCATGTGGCCCACAAACGACTCCAGCCCTGCCATCCACCACCACATCGCCATGCAATAGTCCGAGGGACGCTTGAGAGAGAAGATTTGAGAAAGGAGACAAGATGGCAGCAGTGACAGCGCATGGCATGTGGCATGGGAGGAATATGGGAAGGAGGTGCAGCGCAGGGCAGGGAGCACATGGGGGAGCGCACCGAGGGAGAGGTAGTGGGGCGAGGGAGAGAGGGAGAGAGCGCACCGAGGGAGAGGTAGTGGGGCGAGCGAGAGAGGGAGAGAGCGCACCGAGGGAGAGGTAGTGGGGCGAGCGAGAGAGAGAGAGAGAGAGCGCACCAAGGGAGAGGTGGTGGGGCGAGCGAGAGAGAGAGGGAGCGCACCGAGGGAGAGGTAGTGGGGCGAGCGAGAGAGAGAGAGAGAGAGAGAGAGGGAGCGCACTGAGGGAGAGGTAGTGGGGCGAGCGAGAGAGAGAGGGAGCGCACCGAGGGAGAGGTAGTGGGGCGAGCCCTCGATGGAGTGAATGAAAGCCTTCACGTGCAGCGCCCCCATGGCGTCGCCGTGGCCGTGCTGCTCCTCCATCCCAAACAGCCCACACACCGCCCCGTTCATCCACGTCACCCGCCCGTCCCCCCCCACCGTCATCAGCCCGTCCCGAGCCACCTGGCACGTGGGGCACAAGAGGGGGAGGGTGGTTAAGGGTGGGGGAGGGATGGATTTGAGAAGGGAAGTGGTTGGGGGGGGTATGAGCAGGTGGAAGGTGGTGGATGAGGAGGGAGAGGGACGGGTGTGGTGTGGCACGAAGAGGAGTGTGCGGGGAGAAACAATGAAGCATGGGAGAAGATGGCCAGGCATGTTCCAGGGAAGGGAGTGAGAGATCGCCATGAGCACAAGGAAGAGACGAGAACGAACGGGAAGAGGCGGGGGAGGAGGGGTGAGAGGGGCGAGGAGGGGTGAGAGGGGCGAGGAGGGGTGAGAGGGGGGAGGAGGGGTGAGAGGGGGGAGGAGGGGTGAGAGGGGCGAGGAGGGGTGAGAGGGGGGAGGAGGGGTGAGAGGGGCGAGGAGGGGTGAGAGGGGGGAGGAGGGGTGAGAGGGGGAACCTGGAGGACGGAGAGCAGGCGCAGCTCAGCGTCGTGCTTGCGCTTCCTCTCGTGCACGGCCTGCAGCATGGTGGCCACACTGGCTGTGAGCGGCTCCAGCTCCTGCAGCAACGCACGGCTGTACCCCCCCGCCCTGTTCGCCAGCGCATACATGCCTATCATCTCGGACCCTGCAGGGAGAGGCGCGCATGGTGGCATGCGGCATTCATCCCATGAGTTGAGGGACAGTGGTTGTGGTGCACGCCCATGGCATGGCACTCAACATGCGGTATCGATTCATCAACGCGTGTGGGGGACAGAGGGAGAGGCACTGACCGGCGATGAGGGGCACGCCAAGGAAGGCGGAGAGTGGCGGGTGGCCCGGGGGCACGCCTCCGGAGCGGGGGTCGAGGGCGGGGCGGTTGGAGACGACGGGCGCGGAGGAGAGCAGCGTGGCGCCCAGCAGGTTGGACGTGTTGGTGAAGACCAGCCCGCGGTGCGAGTTGTCCCGGTACCATGCCTGCAGCTCCTCCGTCCATGCTATGTTGGATGCCGCGTGCGACTGCCATGCCGTGCCACGCCATGCCGTGCCGTGACGTGCCATGCCACGACATGCCATGCCACCGACCGAAACATGCGTTTAGCAATGGGAAGGGTAGCAAGTGCCACGCCATGTCAAGGAGCATGCGACAAGATGTCATACGCCATGCCATGGCACACCAGACACCACCGCACACCATGGAAGGAACAGAAGAAGTATAAGGGAAAGAAAGTGTTGACTGCGGGGGAAGCTGCTACCATGAGAAGGGGGGGGTTAGTTACTTGAGGCAAGGGGTTGCATTGCATCTCCTTAAGGCAGGACACAAGGGTGGGAAAGAAGGCGAGGCGAAGGGTGGGAGGGGGGAGAGAAGGGGCGAGCGTGGGTGGGGCTACCTTGAGGTAGGGAGCGCCGTTGGCCTGGAAGAGCACGGAGCCGATGAGCCCGAACTTGGAGGTCGTTATGTCCAGCAGCGCTGCCAGAAGGTGCTCAAACACCCTCCCCGCCCCCGCTGACTGCAGCCCACGGCACGGGTGGGAGACGAGAGCAGGGGGAGAGAGGGGAGAGAGGGGTGGGGAGAATGGGGGAAGAGGAGGCGGGGAGGGAAAGGCAGCAGGTTGGCATTCAGACAGGGGGTGGTTGACGACACAAGAGGGGCATACGGCATAGGCACTGCCATGAGGAGTGCCATGAGGAGTGGTGTAGTGCGGCACCTGGTCGGACTGCAGCAGCGTCTGCGCCGTCGTGATGGCGCTCAGCATCTTGCGATCCATCGACACCTCCCCCCGCCCTGCCTCCTCCCTCCCCGCCTCCCCCCTGTCCGCTTCCCCCCTGCCCGCCTCCCCGCCCACACTCCCTCCACTGCTTCTCCCCGGACTCCCCTTATTTCCCTCCCCCCGCTCGCCCCCCTGGCCCGCCCAAGCGCCTCCGCCCGCCCGCGCGCCGTCGGACTCCACGTGCGCCACCGTCTCGTAGCTGCGCGACCGCGGCATGGGGCGCCGCCCGCTGCCGCCCTCCCGCGCTGCTGCTGCCGCTGCAGCTGCCGACGTTGCCGCCGCGCCCATCCCCATTGGGCAGCCTGAAATGGCCCCCGCAAGCGCCTGGCTCTGCTGGCTGCTGCCGCTGCTGTGCGCACTCCGCCCCCCCTCGCCCCCATACTCGCCGTTCCCCGCCCCGAACGGGCTCTGCTCCCCCGCATGCACACTCACGCTCCGCCCCACCTGCCCCAAGCTCTTCTTCCGCCCTCGCCGCCTCCGCCCGCCCAGCCCACTTCCCCCCTTGTCGCCCTCCGCGCCACCCTTTCCGCCTTCCGCGCCCTCCCCCTCCTCTGCCGTCGCCGCCAACAGCTCAATCTCCCCCAGCCCCCCGACGGCGGCACCGCCATCCGCACCCCCGTCCCTGCTTCCCCCTACGAGGTCCCCGCTCACTGCCATCATTTCCGCCAGCTGCGCCGCATCCGACCGCGCGCGCCTCAGGCCACCGAGCCCGCCTAGCGCGCCCTTCAACCTCCCCGACAATCCCCTATGGAGGCTCGTGCCCCCAGCTGCTGACGTGGCTGACAGCGATGCTGACGCAGGTAATGGAGGTGGCGGGGTGGACGACGGAACGCCCGACGCGGGCGCGCGGGAGGCGGAGTGGGTGCGCGGGATGGAGAAGCCCAGCGCGAACCGCTGCGCGCCTAAGGGCGGGCGCACATCCCCCGCATCGCCTGCGGAACTGGACAGCGACGCCTTGAGCGGTCCCGAGGCGGGCTTGTCCGCGGCGAGAACGGGCGAGCGGGAAGGAAGGACAGCTCCTGCGCTCTCTGCTGACGTGGCAGCAGAGTCGTTACTGGCTGGACGCGTGCGCGCGATGGGGTTGAGCGGAATGGATCCCGACGAGGACGACTGCGCGGGGCGGAGGTCGTGCGCGGGGGAGGCGAAGGCAGCGGCGGCGGCGGAGAGCAGGGAGGAGGTCATGGCGGCGGTGGCGGTGACAGTGCGCCGCAACGGCGGCGGGCGCATGCCTCCCCCGCCCGCCCCACTCAATCCGCCACCAGCAGCAGCAGCGCCGCCACCGCTCCCTCCACTGGCGGCTGCAGCGGCGGAGAGGGAAGCGAGCGCGAGCGCGTCTGTGTTGCGGCTGCTGCCGCCCTTGCGCCCCCACAGCTTGTACCCCGTCCGCGCCTCTGGTGCCTCCCCTGCTGCCATCCCCGTTCCCCCGCCCGCCCCGTCCTCTGTACATTCCGCCAGCCCGCCACCAGCTCCCCCCTGGTCTATAGCGCCTTGCGCGTCCTCGTCACGCGAGCGCGAGAGTACGGCCGCGGAGTGCGGGGTGAATTGCGCCTTCCCGTGGGCCTCCGCGCTGCCGAACGAGCGCGGACGAGCGTCTAGGCTCGACCCGAACGTGGGGGACAGGGGCGGGAGGGCCGAAGCATTGGCGGGAGACAGTCGGTTACTGCCCATTGGCGGACGCCGGGGGGGAACTGGCGGCGTCGCGGAGGGAGTGGGGGAAAGCAGAGGGCTGGGCGGAGCAGGCGGAACGGGGAACGACAAGGAGGAAGCGGGCGCGATGGGCGCGAGAGACGCAGAGGACGGCTCGTGCATGCCTAGGGCTTCGAAGATGGCTCTCAGGCGATGCCGCCGCGTCCAGTCCTCCCGCTCGTTGCCGCACTTGGAGCATCTGCAGCCCGGAACGACGGGAGGGAACGAGGAAGAACGATGTGCTAAGATGCGTAAGTGAGGTGGAAGACTGACCCGGACTAGCGTGTCAAGGCCGCTCCTTGCCATTCTCTCGCTCCTAAACCAGCACGAAAAGTAAACAACTTAGGCCTTTTACGAGGAGTAGCGCAAGTGTCAGAGAGCTTACCGCCACGCGGAGGTCAGCCAGTCGCGGAACTCGAGAAGCTCCGCCTCCGACAGCCCCTCCACCGCCTCCAGCACCGACATTCCGCACACCTCCGGCATCCCGCGCGCGCTCTCCTCCCCCGCCGACCTCTCTCCCCCGATTGACCCGCCGCTTGCGGAAAAAGGATCCTCCGCTGCAACAGCTGCGGACGACCTGGGGCTTTCATTCAACGAGTCTGGCTGGTTGCCGGCAGTCGCTGCGGCCTGCAGCACGTGCTGCCGCACCGCCTTGGACACATTGTTTCCTGATTCCGCCAACTGACGCGATGTCAGTGGATGACGGCGGGATGCAGATTGCTGCTGACCCATGGCTACTATTAGGGCTAACAAAGTTGCCTACAATACAAACGCGGACGTTCTAAAAGAATCAAAGTCAATGCTTGATTCACATGGCTTTTTCCCTTCACATCGAGTTCTGAAAGAAGGTGGAAGAGTTAAAACCTAACACCTCCTAGGGATGTCAGATACTGTCGAGATGCGCGCCCTATTTGACGCATGTTGACGATCAACGCAACCTGAGCAATAGGACGAAGATGACGAGGTACTGTACCATGCAAGGCTCTGGTTATCCATTACGGCAAACCACATCTGATTCATCCATAGACAGCTCACCTCCGTACGGAAGAGCAAGCCAGGTGGGTTTGGATGAAACGCACGGCATGGGATTCGGCAGTGGGGAAATGCAGGAGAGGGGAGGGAGGAGGGGGAGACGAAGGGGAAGAAGAAGTGGAGCTGGGGTGGGGGGACGGGGAGCTGTTTGATGCCGCCGCTGGCCCACCAAAGGGGGTGTTCGTCTTTCCCATCAGTGGTGGGTTCGCCCGCTGAGTCTCGCACTAGAAACAGCAGCTCTCAACCTTTCTAAATCGCAACGCACCTTCAAAAAACGTCATTGATTTGCAAATGCCTGTTCTGTATAAATTCGTGAATACAGTAGCAAGGCATGCAGACTTGTGTGAGATTTTTTAGATACTCGAAATAGCCGTGTTCTTGGAACGCGAACGTGTGACTGTAACGCAGCTTCCACATAGGAGAAGGTGTTTGGCTGCCACAAAAATTATTCCCGTAATTCCGCCCACAAATCTTAGCCTTCCGCGCCATGCTTGCGAGCCCACTTTTCCGCCACCGCGGCAAAAGGTGAGTGGCGCTGGTGGAAGTTGTGGCTGTCGCAGTGTCGGAATGGATTCACCCTGGCCGTTGGATCATGTCAGGCGTTTACAGAGAGAAATCGCTGAACAGGCACCCAGGAGGATTTTCCGTTGGCTGTGTCTTCGGGTCAGCTTGAAACGAATCGAGGTTGAACCAATCACCTGCCCGTTCTCGGATATGGGATGGGGGGGAAGGGAAGGGAGGAAACGGTGATGAGCGTGGGTTTGGGATGGACCGTTCCTCCTGGGCTGGGGTTTCGCAGCATGTACTCATCACCACCACCACATGCTGGAGATACAGGAGTGCCCTTCCTGCCTAAAGGCCACCCCCATGCCTAATCCCAAGCTTTGGCAAACCTAGAAATCTTGTAGTTAGTTAGTCTTACGTACGAGCACTTCTCCTTTCGGTATCCTCGTTTGTCCAACACATAAATTTGTATTAAGCGAATAGGTCATGGTTGGAGCAGTCATAGGGGTAAATCATCAAAGAGAGGCTATGGCGTGGAAGAGCAGGGAGGCAGATTTTCATCAAAAGGCATATCATGGAAAGACGCAGAAGCTTGCGGGCGGACCTAGATACCAAAAGAGGCACGACTCTGATCGAGTACCTGCAGCCCATAGCTCACACGATTTTGAGGCTGCCGTGACGTCGAATAGCATAGAATCCGCAAGAATAGCAAGTCGAAATCTGGGAAGTTTCATTTCTAACGTGACTCCACGAGTAAAGCTTCAGTATATGAACAAGGTATGTCCACGACAGTATGTTGATATCCCTTTGTCACTCGTTTGCATCCACATTGTTTCCTGACAATAGTGTTCCGTTTTGTAGGAATCGGAACGTTTTTCACACCCGGGGAGGCACGAATCATCAACTTGTTGCGCGTTTTATACGTTGGGAGATCTGTGGGACTCTTTGGAGGAGTGGAGCGCGTTTGGGGCTGGAGTTCCTATTTCACTCGCTAATGGCACGCATGCAACTCAATATTACGTGCCCTCCATTTCCGGTTTGCAACTATATGCGCGAAGCAGCTCCTGGCAGTTACCTGAGTCGAGGTATGTAATGGAAAGCCATATGATTTTCTCGGTTTCAATATTTGTGTGGCACCTCATGCCGTTCTCAATCTTTGTTCCACAGGAACAGTGGCCCCGACAGTGACTGCAGTGACGTGAGCTTTCATGATTCCAGTAGTGACAGCAGCGAGAGCAGTGATAGGAACGAGGGTCGGGGAGTTGATGGTGCAGCAAAAGCAGTCGAGGGCTGTGTGATAGATTCATCCGTCGATGGTGCATGGGGTTCCAAGATACACCCGTCACAATTTCATATGATGGAAGAGCTTCTTTCAGGATTGGATGGTCACAACTCTGTCGACGAGTGTGCCGCTGTGTCTTGGGATGCCTGTCGAGACTGTAACGGGGGTCGATTGTTACTGGAGTTTTTCGAAAGAGCACCTCCTCATGTGCGGTTGCCACTCTTCTCAAAGGTAGGGTTTGTTACTTGCATTTCTGGCTTGCGAGGCTATGGTTGGTGTGCTCCATTGTTTAAGCCCTCCGCTGACGTTGGTTGCAGGTGGAAGAGTTGGAGAGGGAGTTTCCCTGTCTCAGGCACCTTCGCAGCATTGATTTACACCCACGAAGCTGGATGGCTATTGCATGGTAAGAATGAGTGTTATTCAGGGATCTATCTTGACGTTTGTTTGTCGGAAGGCAATGATGTTATTCTTCTGCATTTCACGAGTTCGTTGTTGTGTGTGTAGGTATCCACTATACAAGATTCCAGCTGGGCCCAGTGTTCGTGATCTTGGGGCATCATTCTTGACATTCCACAGTCTCTCTTCACCAGGCCCATCTTTATCAGGTGAGTCTTGTATTACAATTTCATCAGCCTGTCATGAAGGCATATCAGCTGTCAGTTGCTAAGTTCTTGTCTTCTCTCATGCACTGCAGGTTCTTGTGTTCGCTGCAATGATGAATATTGGATATCCCCCATGAAGCTTCCTCAGTCTTGCATGTTCTCTCCACCACCAAGTTCGCCTGAGGAAGAACATGGCGCCATGCACTGGGGCGGTGATTCACTGTCAAGGATTTCCACCACAGCTTTGGCCCCATTTGGTTTCACTGGTTACAAGGCCCATGGAAACTTGTGGTCAGATAGGTGGTGCATACAGGGCCTTAAGGCAGCAGCGGAGCAGTGGCTGAGGCATATCAATGCCAACTTACCAGACCATTCTTTCTTCACCATGCAGCAGTACACAGGGCGCTAAGCTTTTACTGGTTCTTTGGTGTCTGCTCTCTAACATGATAGGGCTCCAATCAAGGGCTCCAGTCGAGGTGTTGAAGCTTCGTGTTATACATCTGGCTGTCAGGTTAGCTGGTGCCAGATCAATTTTGGTTCTAATGTTAGCAGATAGCTCCAGGTGCGTAGTGCTGTCTGCTTACCTATTTGTATTGGATAGGCCATTGACCCACCAACTGATCGTAGTTACCGTATGTTGATTATTGTATCACATGCCTAGCTTTTCTTTTCTCTTCTTCTTTGTAAGTGATTAGTACAATCTGGTCTGTGCAAGGCTTGGAGGTCGCAGCGACGCAATGGCTTCGCCATATCTACACGAATCTGCCCGACCACCACACCTTTTCAGTGCAACAGTGATTCTATGCATATCAAGCGAGTGTACCAGCACATCTAAACACATATTGGAGCAGACACAAACAGCTTCCTTCCGAGCAGTTCCCCTGCCGAATTCCTGTCCTAGCAGATCAGCTTCACATCCGAACGCCTCTCTCTACCCCACCAGGTGGCAGCGGGCCTGGTGGACTTTGCTCTAGGCAGCGACACAGCGGGGTCGGTGCGCATACCGGCCAACCACTGCGGGGTGTGGGGCATCCGCACCTCCCACGCCCGCCTGCCCCTCACTGGCGCTCAGCCGCTGCAGCCGTCCATGGACGCCGGTGAGAGGCGCAGCGTGCATGTGTGCACGTGCGTGCATGTGTGCACGTGCGTGCATGTGGGTGACTGGGGCAATTGCTCCAAGTGCCGTGCCCACGTGGGTCTGTGTTGTGTCTGTGTATATAAGTCTCGACTATGTGTGAATGTGTGCGGGGTGGGGCATCGGCTCCTCCCATGCCTGCGCTCAGCCGCTGCAGCCGTCCATGGGCGCCGGTGAGAGGAGTGGTTGCTTGCTGCATAAGGTACGCCCATGCGGGTGTGTGTATGAGTGTGTGACTGACTTTGTATGAACGTCTGTGTGAAATTATCACGCACTGGCCCTCAGCCCCTGCAGCCCTCCATGGGCGCCAGTGAGAAGGGCAGCGTGCATGGGATGTGGGTGGGAAAAGCGGTTGCTTCAAGTGCCGCGCTTATGTGTGTCTGTGTATGACTATGTGTGAAAACTAATTAAATACTCACTCTTGCACATCCTCCCTTCCCCGCCCTCTTCATCCCCACATTCCCTGTGAACCCCTCTGCTTGTCTCCCCCCTCACCACACCACAGTGGGCTGGTTTGCTCGCGATGCCACTGTTCTCCAACAGGTTGGCTCCACGCTTTTCCACAGCCCCTCCCTCGCCCCCTCCTCCTCCTCCTTCTCCTCCTCCTCCTCGTCCTCTTCCTCCACCTCATCCGCCTCCTCCTCCTCCCTCCGCCCCTTCACCGGCTGGCTGGTGGCGGAGGACGCGTTTGAGCTAGCAGACAAAGATGCCGCCCGCGCAATCTACGACAAGATCGCGCCACATATAGACGAGATCGCAGCGGTGGTGGGCGGGCGGCCGGAGGAGATGCGGGTGGCGGGGGAGGAGGGCAGCGAGGTGGGGGGCGTGCACGAGTGGGTGGAGGCCATGCGCGTGCTGCAGGTGAGCAGAGGTAGAGCACTGGGATTTGAGCCATTTAAAGAAAACAACTGCTGGATGTTAAGAGGGTCGCACAGGTGGCCTCCTCTCGCCTTGGCTCCCATTCTCTGCCCTTCCCTCCCAGTCTCTCTCCTTTTCTTCTCCCACTCATGGAAGCGTGGCGGTGCCATGGGCAGTGGATCACAGCTCGCCACACGCCTTCTGAGACGTTCCGAAACTCAACCTCCCTCCTTCTCCCATGCTCCCCTTCTCCCCACTTTCACCCCCCCCTCCATATCCCCATTCCGCACAGCTAATGGAGGCGTGGCAGTGCCACGGGCAGTGGATCACGGATCACCGCCCTGCCTTCGGCCCCGGCGTGGCACAGCGCTTCCAGGCCGCCAGCGCTGTGGACCCGCAGGGGGAGGCAGTGGCGCAAGCGAAGGAGAAGAGAGCCAGGTGAGGGGGGTGTGGGGAGGGGGGGGGAGGCTGGGGGCAAAGGGAAGCGTTGTCCCAACCAGCGCTCTCAGGCTGCCAGCGCTGTGGACCCACAGGGGGAGGCAGTGGCGTGCGCGCGGGAGAAGAGAGCCAGGTGGGTGGGGGGGGGGGGGGTGGAGAGGGTTGGAGAAGGGGAAGGGGCGGAGAGGGGGGAAGATGGGCAGATTGGCAGTGGTGCAGTGATGCGGATGGGGAAGAACGCTCATTGCAACACATCACATCTCCCCGTTGCAATAAATTTGTTTCCAAGCGCCTCAAAATAAATATTTCTTCATTGTCCCACCCCCCACCTACATACCGCCCCCTCCCCCCACCCTCCCCTCCCCCCAACCCCCGTTTTAACCACCAGGTTCACATCGCACGTGGAGAGCCTCGTTGCGGGCGGCAAACTGCTCATGCTGCCGGCCGCCCCCAGCATAGCGCCGCTGAAGGCCGCCCCGCCTGCTGACGTGGACTCCTTCCGCGTGCGCACCCTGGCCCTCACCGTCATTGGCGGTGCTGCCGGCCTGCCTCAGGTGAAAACAACAGAGGGGCTCAGGTGGGGAAAGCAGAGAACGAGAAGACGCATGCAGGTGAAGGTGAGGCTATCAGTGTGATGGCCCCACCCACCTCTCCCTGCTGTAACAGCCTTGTGCATCACCCGTTCGCCTTTCTCCTCACCCCTCACCTGTCTCTCCCTCATCCTTCTCCGGTTCCCTGCCTCTCCCCTCCTCTGTGCTACCCTCTGCCCGCCGCAGGTCACGGTGCCCCTCACAACGCTGCACGGGAGTCCCCTGGGGCTGGGCCTGGTGGCGCCCAGGGGGTGGGACGAGGAGCTGCTCGCCCTCGCCGTGCGCCTGCACACCCTCTTGGGCCTCCCAGCCTGACCCGCCCACCACGGTTGGGTGCCCGCTCACGTCTTCTCCTTTGGTTTTCTGGGCGACTCAGGAACCTGCGCTATGGTCCCTCACATGACATCTTCTGGCGCGACTCAGTTCCTCTCCTGCGTGGGCTGTATGGGGCCTGTGACCCGGCTACCACAGGCAGGGCACTCTTGGGGGTGGTGGTCGTGCCAGGAGGGACATGTGTGCCTGTGGTGCTGCTTCTGGGTTGCGGTTGTGCCAAGGGCGGTGATGGCGGGCGGGTCACGGGTGCTGAATTCGAGCCATGGGCAAGGGGGACCCATGTTGGAACTTGCTGTTACTCGCAGCATGTACAGCACTTCACCTCGTACACTTTAAGGTATATACATATATATACACACAATGCCCTTTCTCTGTACAAACTCGACTTGAAACAAGCCAGCAACAACAGGCTGCCAGGGTGCCATGCCAGTCCACTGTGAGCACGGTGAACAAAGCCTTGACAAGCCACACTCCCCCTCTTGTTCACACCACCTGCACGGCCTCAGGCCTCCACTCCCCATTCAGCACACTCTCCTCGGGACAATACACCCTCAGCACCACCGAAAACGTTGCATTCGGTGTCGGCAGCCAGTTGCCGCCCACACTTGCATTGGCCGGCGCGGCTGTCTGGATAGGCACAGTGAGTGTGCCGTCCGGGTTGTAAGCCAGCCCCTTGGTGCGATCCCCTATGCTGCTCCGCCACACGCCTGCAGGAAGGAACCCATCGGCGTCGTACACTGTCAGCGACCAGAAGCCGCACGCGGTGACGGGCGGTGGAGAGAGGTGCAGGGAGTAGTTGGCAGTGCTGCCGTCGTAGCGCAGGCCCAAGGGCCCCTGCCAGGTGAAGAAGTAGAGGGATTCCGCTGCTGGCAGTGCCCCCAGGCCCCCTGTGGATGAGAAGGCTGCTCGGAACAGAAAGCGATCGCCATAGCTGATGGGAGGAGGAGAGGGGGTAGAGGAAAGGGGACGGAGCGAGATATGGAGGGTGAGGGTGGGAAGCAAGAGAAAACGGGGAGAAGGGGAGGGGTAAGGGTATTTGATGCATGAATTCGTGCCTCATACACACACCCACTTCACACCCCACTCCATGCAATTTCCTAGTGGGTAGTGGTGTTGCCTATGCATGTACACTCCCCCGTCCTCATCCCTAACCCTCACGCACTACCCCCCTCATCTCCCGCCCCCCCTCCACTATGTCCCCCCTCATCCTTCCCCCCCACACGTCATGCCCTACTCCCCATGCACTATCCTACTCATCCCTCCCCTCCCCCACTACCCCCACGCACTAGCCCAGCGACGTGTCAGCGAGCCAGCGGTTGACGACCACGGAGCGGTTCACGCCCAGCAGCATGAGCGTGTAGGCGCCCTGTATCGTCACGTTCGCCACTGTGTACGCCTGCGAGAGCGCTGTGCTCTGCAGCGGTGAGAGGGCCGCGGGGGAGAAGGGCGGCGAGGAGGAGGATATGCCTATGGCTGCCAGCTGGTTGAGTGCTCTGCGGGGGAGGGGAGAAAGGGGAAGAGAGGGGAGAGGTAGGAAAGGACAAGAGGGAGAGAGCGATGAAGGGACAAGAGGATCGGAGGAGGGGACGGGGTGGAGAGTTGGAGTGATGTCAACACGCTTGCAGTATAGGTGTGTGGGAATACGTCACTATAGGTGCAACACGGGAGCGTGACTCACTCGAGGTTAGCCTCGTCCTGGACGGGCGGATTGTCCTGTAGTGTGCGGTCGATGAGCACCAATCGCTGCATGCCATCTGGCAGCCCCGTCAGCTCAGAGAGGTCGGGCGGCGGCAGGGGAGTGGGGGGGGCGTTGGTGGCAGGGCGCGTGAGAGTGACGTTGCTGAAGGGGGGTAAAGCGGGAGAAAGGGAGAGGGGGAGGAGAGGAGGAATGGGAGGGGAAAGGGAGCAGAAGGGAGGCACAGGGAGGAGGGGTTGAGGAGGGAGGCAGGGTCGATAGCAGAGTGACATGAGAGGTGGGCGATGGATGACGGGTGGTACGTGATGGGTGATGGGTGTTTGGTCATGTCAGCATCTGGCCATTTACCTCAGCAGGCTGCTGGCAGCTGCCACGTCATCAGGCCCCGCAACCAGTACACGCACGATCACAAACACACTGCGAGTCCTGCTGCTCACGCTCAGCATTGTGCGCGCCGTGTCGCTGCTGCTCGACTCTACCCCTCCCCCTCCCCCACCCCCTCCCCCTCCCCCACCCCCACCCCCTCCCCCTCCCCCTCCCCCTCCCCCTCCCCCTCCCCCTCCCCCTCCTCCTCCCCCTCCCCCTCCCCCTCCCCCTCCCCCTCCCCCTCCCCCACCTCCTCCCCCTCCACCTCCTCCCCCACCACCACCGCCTCCCCCACCCCCGCCCCCTCCCCCTTCCCCATCCCCTCCTCCTTCCCCTGCTGCGCCTGCCTGACTGGAGTTGGTCCCCTCTCCCCCCTGTCCCTCCCCCTGCCCATCCCACTGCACCGTGACAGCGAGCGGCCCGGCCCCATGCGTGCGGGCACCGAACACGGCGAGCACGTCGCTGAAGGGGTCGAGCAGCAGCGCGCTGTAGTAGCGCGGCTGGGGGATGGGCGGCAGGGAGAGGAGTAGAGGGCCCGCGGCGAGGTCCAGCCATGCTGCTGCGTACAGCGTGTCCGTGTTGGAGAGGGGGATGGTGGACTGGGGTGGAGAGGGGGGAGGAGAAGGAGGGATGTAAGATGGAGAAGTGGGGAGAATGGAGCAGTGGGGAGGAGGGGGAGTTTGGGCGAAGTGGGAGGTGGGAGGAAGTGAGGAAAAGGGAAACGTGGGTGGCTTGCAGTGACGCAGCCCAGGCATGCACATGGCAGCGAGCATACCTGGTTACCCGGTTACCAGGCCTTCCTGGCAGCTGGTTGTGGGGCGCACCTGGTGACTGTTGAGTGAACTCAGAGCGCACCTGGTCTTGAGCGGAGGTGATGTTGGTTTGGCGCAGAAGGGCGTTGATCGCAGGGAAGGTGGCAGCATTGCGCCGTGATGTCACCAGCGGCTGCCCCCACACGTTCGCCGTCAGCCCCCCCTGCAGGTACCTGCAGGCACGGGGGCATGGGGGCATGGGGATGTGGTGGCATGGCATGGCATGGCATGGCATCCTTGGTTGGTCGCCAAGAGGTCATGGTGCTAGAGGCGATGGCTGCTCATTCATTCCCATTCACCTGCACCCACGCGACATCGCATCACTCAAGAAACAGGTGTCAGAAGCACCGAATGTCATGCATGTGCATCCATCACATTCACCTGCCATATTCGCCATCCAGTATTCCGCTAATGAACGATGCGTTACTGCGAGTGTCCGATCCATTCCCACCGGCCTCGGCGCCCAGACCGCCTCCGCCAGCGGCGGACGGAAGAAGCAGCGGCGCCGAGGCAGACGTGTTTGCAGGCGCAGGGACGGAGGCCGGAGGAGAGGCGGATAGCGGGGGAGTGGCGGATGGCGGCGGAGAGGCGGAGGCAGAGCGAGGAGGCGTGTCCGCAATGCTGTAGGAGCTCTGCGCGGCGACTAAAACGGCTGCGAGCGACGTGAGAAGGAGGACGAGTGATAGCCTCGCGGGATGTGAAGAATGGGTCGCCATGACTGGCCGAACCAGAGGGGCCGACACCATCGCGCGCAATGACCGTTAATTTGCCGCGCCTGAAACGGTGTTGCTTGATTGACTCATCAGCGTACAGTGAGCGTTAAATATCAGTCTGGTTCCATCCCGCGGCGAAAATGAGGAACACAAGTTCGGACGATGGCAGAAGTTGGCGTTGCTCGTCCTAACGGCTCAGTGGCGCTGACCGCCTCGCGAGCTCCGTCGACTGATCTCTTCTCACATCCCCATTCGCCGCGACCCTTGGGGCGCCTCAAGAAAGCTCCGTCGACTGATCTCTTCCATCCCCATTCGGCGCGACCCCCCCACCCGCGGCGTGAATGTAGAGTCACGCCGGGTGGTGCGCGTCTGAAGCTAAGCATGGCAGCGATATCGCGAAGCGGGAGACGCGGCGAGCGGACGTGACGTGCAGAGCGAGGCGGACTACTTGTAGTGACTTGTGAGGCCTGCCATGTGTGCGGGTGAAACAGAAGGATACGGCAAATTCGAGGCCGAAAATGACATCTCGGGCAGAATCAGGCGTTATGAGCGGTTGAGGGCAAAGCCAATGATGAGGTAGTGTAAATTCTAATGTCTCGAATTCGGCCTGATTGCATGAGTACACTTCAATCGACTCAGAATGCCAACTAATTATACGAAACAATGAGATAAAGCGTTCTGTTACACAAAACAACCAGCTCACATGTGAATCATTACTCAAGGCAATGTCGGGCTCGTCAATATCGTGAATGGGTAAAATATATGAACCCAGCCCCCACACACCAGCAAGCACTGCTCCCTTGGAGTGCGTTTGTGTCGCGTTAGAGGCTTTTCAGCTCAACAAGATTGGAGTCGCTCCAGCCATGGCAGACCTCCGATCTTCCAGGTACGCGAACCCCGCCTCTCTCCCTCCGCTTCCCGCCGCACTGGCTTGTCCCCTTCCCTGTCTTGCCGTTCTCGCCGTGCCTGCCGAGCGTCCGCGGGCTTTGCGCCTCCCCCCGAACACCTGCGCGTTCCCCTTTGCGCACTCCTCGTACGCCTGTCCGCAGAGACGAAGAGAGCGAGGAGCGCGGGGGCTGGGCGCATGACGAGAAGGCGCGCGGGGAGCAAGGGCGCGCGCGCGAGTGGGAGGAGGCAGAGCGGCAGAGCCGCGAGGTCAAGCTGGGACTGCACCCGCTGCAGGTGCGTTTGTGAAAATGTGACTGTTGCGAGAGGGATTTTGATGATTGTATCGAGCGGGGCTCTTTCAAGTTGACTCACAAGTCCTTCTCCCCTTTATGATGCCCATCCCACCATACCACACCATCGCCACCACCCCTCCACTCCTCCCTCCCCCCGTCCCCGCTGCAAGCAGACGCGGTACGTGCTGTGGTACACGCGGCGGCAGCGGCAGCCGCCCGGGCAGCGCAGTGCGACGTCGTATGAAGACAGCATCCGACGCATCGCTGACTTCAGCACTGTGCGTGTCCCTGTAACGGGCGGGGGAGGGGAGGAGGGGGGAGGGAGTGGGGAGGGGGGTGGTGGGGTAGCGCGATAAGGTGCAGCCGCTTGGGCAGTGCGACGTCGTATGAATGAAGTGAGCATGCGGCGCATCGCTGACTCAGCACCGTGCGTGGCTGTTTGGCTGGGGGGAGAGAAGGGTGGTTGGGGGGGGAAGGAGTGGGGCGAGGGGGTAGGGTTGTAGGGGGGAGGCGGTTGCATCGCTCTGCGCCCAGGGGAGGGTCCCCGTGAAGGGACCCCTCTGCGCGCGTGGGTGAGCTGGCACACGGGGGCCCGCTCTTACCGGGGTGGTCAACCGGCGTGGGGTACACCTCCCACAGCCTGCCGTCAGTTGGGGGGCAGGGGGAGGGGGGATGCAGAGCAGCATGGTGGTTCGTTCCAGTCCGTGCGTGTCTTCTAATGACAGTGCTGGGAAGGGGGTGGTGGGACGCGCCAGCTCGCAGAAAGATCTCCCCACCACCCCCTCCTACCTCCTTACCCCACTACACTGCCCGCAGAATGATGTGTGCGTCGCTCCTTCCCATCTGCACTGCACTGCCCTGCCTCTACTCCCTCACTGCCCATCACTCCTCTCCCCGTCCATTCTCCTCCCTGCGCCTCCCCCACCCCCTCCGCGCGTCCCCCCCCCATAGGTGGAGGGGTTTTGGGCGTGCTACTGCCGCATGGTGCGCCCATCCGCGCTGCCCGCCCCCACAGACGTGCACGTCTTCAAAGACGGCATTCGCCCGCTCTGGGAGGTATGCGCGAACCCCCCTCCACTACACCCCACAGCGCGAGCCCACCTACACCCCACCACTGCTTAGAATGTAGCCCCTCTGCCCTGCACTTCTTGCCCCCACGGACGTGCACGTCTTTAAAGACGGCATCCGCCCGCTCTGGGAGGTAAGGGCCGGCTCCCCCACCACCGCTCAAAATGTAGCCCCTCTGCCCTGCACTTGTTGCCCCCACGGACGTGTACGTCTTCAAAGACGGTATCCGGCCCCTCTGGGAGGTAAAGCCTGCCCCCTCTCCGCCCACCGCTCTCCCCCTCTCCTACTCTGCCCTCCCTGACACTCTTCCCCACCAAATGCGCCTCCTCCTTCTCGCCTGCCCAAATGCGCTAGCCTACCCTGCTCGTCGCATTCACCCCATCGCCTATCTTCCCCTCCTCCTCTACTCCGGTTTCCCCGAACCCAGCAACCTGATGCTTACCCCTGTGACTCAACCCTCCCCTTCCTCCTCCCCCCTTCTCCTACCCGTCGTCCCCTCTCCCCAACCTTCTCTCCCCCCACACCAGGACGCGCACAACCGGCGGGGCGGCAAGTGGATGGTGCGCCTGCGCAAGCCGCTCACTGCGCGCATGTGGGAGCACCTCGTGAGTGGTAGCAAAGGGGGGGGAGCTGGTGAGCGTGAGAGGAGAGAGGGGGGCAGCTGGTGATGAGTAGCAGAAGGGGGAGCATCTGGGGCGCTCGGATTGGGGGTGAGAGGCGGAGGGGTTGAGAGGCAGAGGGGTTGGGGCGCAGAGCAGGAGCAGCTGCTGTGACTCGTGCCTTTGTCCTCCTCCCTTTCATCCACCCCCTCAACCCCTCAGCTGATGGCGGTGGTGGGGGAGCGGCTAAAGGGAGGGGTGAAGGGTGAGGTGGATGTGTGTGGGGTGGGGTGGTGTGGGTGCTGCCAACTCCTCCTCTCCCTCTAATCTTCCCTTTCATCCCTCCCCCCTGCAGCTGATGGCGGTGGTGGGGGAGCAGCTGGAGGGCGCAGAGGAGGTGTGCGGGGTGGTGCTCAGTGTGCGCTTCGGTGAGGACATTCTCTCCATCTGGAACCGCTCTGCACCGCACAGCCTGGTGAGAGCAGCACAGGCTGGTGTGATAGTCACATCATATGAGATGATGAGAGTCCTCATGATGTTCATGTGTCATGCTTCACGTCACGCCAGTGTGCAAGTATGGAGCATGTGTTAGTGTTAGCCCTCAATCTCACATTTTGTACTTGCACTTTTATATCCTAGTGTAGTGTGCACTTTGTGTTTGGTTGGGTGTACACCCACATCCCAACCAAACCCAAATGTGATCTCCAAGCAATCTCCAACCCACCAATTGGAGATTGCCTTGGGATTACCCCCAATCCCCTAGGATTGCCCCCGATTCTCTCCCCATCCTTACCTTGCCCATTTCCGATGTACTTAAAGAGCCTTGAGCTCATTACTAATGTATGGATTCTAAGCTCAAGTTCTGACAGCATGCGCATGTTAACTACCACATGCGTTAATCGCCATCCTCTTTGGCATGGCATGGCATGGCATGGCATGGCATGGCATGGTATGTGCAACAGGCGCGGGACAGGCTGTGTGAGTCGATACGGAAGCACCTGGGCCTTCCACCCTCCTACACCATGGTGAGTGAGACATGCCTCCCGCCCCTCATTCCATGCACCCGCCCCTCAATCTACCCGTGTCCATGTGCCCTCGCCTCCTGCGTGCCCTCACCTCCTGCGTGCCTGGCCTCCCCACCAGGAGTACAAACCGCATGATGCCTCACTCAAGGACCATTCCTCCTACCGCAACACCTGGGTGCGCACGTAGCCTACGTGGCACTTGACCTACTTGGCACTTGACCTACGTGGCACTTGACCTACGTGGCACTTGACCTACGTGGCACTTGACCTACGTGGCACTTGACCTACGTGGCACTTGACCCACTTGACCTATGTGGCACTTAGCCTACGTGCCTACATGGCACATCGTTGCTCACCGTGCCACGCAACTTGCTGCGCACACACACAATTCTTAACCACTGAAGCCAATGAGCTTGGTGCTGCAGCTGCAGTGAGGCCTCAACATGTCTGCTCTTGCCCCCTCATGACACCATGGTTACTGTGCTTTGTAAGGGCCACTGTACCCAGCGTACACGGCAAGGAAATCAGAACGGGTGTAGCATATTGTAGGTAACTGAAGTCCTAACATTCCCAACTGCTCCACAAATGGCTGAAGTGGCCCTTCGGCCACTGGTATTCATCCCTTGTACCATGAAACATGATTGCGGGAAGCAGGGGAAATATAAATGGTAATTTGCGGGAAAATAATACGGTATCTAGAATATACGATGGGCTGGGTCACTGGGTGAGCATGTACCAGGGTCTTATTTGAATTGTTCACGTATCTCGAGAGAATTCACCCAACAAGTGTAATCAATCCCCCAAATTCCCGCCTATCGCGCCGTCGTTTGCGCGATTATTCATCACTTCGAGGGTTGTTTTGGGATCTGCATCGCGACAAATTTCTCGCGAAACATTGTACGTCAACTCGCCAACAGACTGTCCCACCGTTTACGAACAGGTACAAGTCATCGCATGCTCGCCGAATTGCGCAACCAGGCCACAATTATTCGCAACGATGTTGATCCCCTCACCGAAATTACTATTCAGGCTTCGTCTCACAAAACCCGTGCGACTCGGATTGCGAACACTAGACGCGCGACTCACGGCGCCATCCCTTGAAGCAGCAGAAATGAAGTATATAAGGAGCTACCACTGCTTGTCCTCTCATCACCAATTTCAAACAGCTCTACCCTTCTATTTTGTAGGTTGCTAAATAGCACCAACTCGCCGTTACAGCCTCGTCAGATACAAACAAACACGAAAATGGCTCCTCTCGGCCAGACCACCTTCGTCGTCGTCGTCCTTGCCTCTGCAATTTTCCTTTCTACCCCTGCGCGTGTCTCTGCTGCTGGGGTTCCCGCAAACGCGACTTCTCCTGCTAACACGACTGCTTCCGCTAAGGCGAGTGCGCCTGCTAACGTGAATGCGTCTGCTAACGCGACCAGCGCCGTAGTGGCGACGGCGAGGCAAAGCAAGGGCGCGGGCGAAGGAAAGAACTCCACATGCGCCTACTACGGCAACTATAACACTAACCCCTACTTCAACAAGGGGCTCACCGCGAAGCTTCCTCCTGCCGTGTTCGGCAAGCGGTGCGGCGCGTGCTACAGGGTGGTGTGCACCAACGACACGAAGCGCTGCCAAACCGGAAAGGCGACCGTGACCGTCCGTGTGGTAGGCGCGACGACCACGGAGAAACAGCTCTCTCTATCCACCGCCGCTTGGTCCAAGATCGTGCAGGGATCCGACACGGCCCCCGTACACATCACGTACAGGCGCACCAACTGTGTGGTGTCCACCCTCGGATCGGGCGTCCGCGTGCGCAGCAACTCGACGGCGGAGAAATTCAACATTCAGATGGTGGGGCTTGCCGGCCCCGGCACGCTCAAGGAGGTGGAGATGAGCGCGGACGGCAAGAAGTGGGCGAAGCTGACGCGCGACGGCAGCAAGGCCGTGTGGGGAATCGCGGGCGCGGAGGCGAAGGAGGTGGTGGGCGCGAAGAAGGCGATGAGCGTTCGCCTCACTGCGGGACACACCCTCGAGAAGATCACCCTCGGGAATGTCATTCCCGCTGACTGGAAGCCCCGGACGGTGTATTCGTCCAAAACCAACTTCAGGAAGATGATGGCTGAGAGCAAGTAGCGCAGTTGAGAGAATATTCGAGGCGCCGCCTGGAAAAGTATCTGTGCTCGTCGAAGGCCAACATTTTCGAGGCGTTTTCGAAGGCAAGTGGGCGGTGGCAGTTGACACAAGGGATGAAGAAGAGTGACGTGATGCGCTTCAAGTGCTTTGAACTTGTCTGATAGTGGATAGCGGGTGGGTGGGGAGTGGGGCTGGAGAGGAGTGGGTTTGCAGAACAGGGGTTGGAGGAGGGGAGTGTGATGGTGCTGGGGCTAAGAAATGCTCCTATGCGTGTGTACCCTTTCAGTCTACTAGTGGCCTTGTATCCATGTGAATAGCGTCTGACACAATTCATGGCCCCTGCACATGGCACACAGCCTGCTGCACTACTAGGCAGGAAACTGCAAGAATAAGCTGAGGCTGCACCGCACGTTCTATGCGCATTGTTCTTTTACAGCCTGAGAACTTAAATTAGAAAACTACCGGTACATGCCATTGCATCTAGCCAGCTACGTTGGGATCATCTCTCGATCTAGTTCATGAATGCACTTGCCACGAGGCTCAAGCCCTCACTTGCTAGTGACCCCGGGGCCTAATGTGCTCTGTAGAGGAGAGTGCCTTCCCAATCCTCCTTGCCTGCCCGCCCGCCTGCCTGTTTGGTGCTTGGCTGGCTGCCGCGGCAGCACTTGCACCTTAACTTACTGTCTCCGGTTGGCGCTCCAGAATTGATGCACATACTGCGTGCACGTGGTGCATGCTCACAGCTCCATCCAATCTCCACAAAGTGATTTGTGGGATCTCCGGCACACAAGTGCTTCTCACAACCCTCCTCCACTCCCCCCTCACAGCCCCCCCGCCGCCACCGCTTCTTCTGCCGACATGACGCCACCTGGAATCGATCCCGCATCCTTCGCTTGCCGCACCACCGACTCACCCTCCCCATTGCTACTCCCCACAACCCCCCCTCCATACTCCCCCACTGCTCTTTGCGCATCCATCCCTTCACTCACACCACCTCCCGCCCCCCCACTCGACCCGCTTCCCCCTAGTCGGCTGGCCCCTAATCTGTTCCCCCCAGAAGCACTCCCCCCCGACCTCCCCCCTTCCCCCAATGCCCCCATGTGCGGCTGCTGCTGCGGCTGCTGCGGCGAGTAAGACTGGAACATGGGGATTCCCAGGCCGGCCACTGCAGCTGTGGCATCCAATCCCGCCGCCTCCCCACTCGCCTGTGGTGGCACTGCCTGCTGCTGCTGGTAGGGTTTGAAAGAATGCAGATCTGCCTGCACCTGCTCTTGTTGTTGCTGCTGCTGCTGCTGCTGCTGCTGGGCTTGGTACTGAACCGGCTGTTGCTGCCCTTGCTGCTGCTGCTGCTGCACTCCTGCCTGCCCCTGCCCCATCGCCCCACTCCCCTGTGCCCTCCCCTCCCCCCCATCCTCAGGAATGGGTTTCATCTCCGGGCCCCCCGGGGGGTGCTTCACTCTCCCGGACGACGTGGGGGAGACGGAGGGCTTGGGCTTGGCGCGCACGTGGCGCTGCTTGCGCGCTCGCGAGGGGCCGTGCACCAGCCGCGTGAAGCCCAGGAAGCTCACGGTTCCGTCAAAGTTGGTCCACTCGTCTAGGAGGGCCGCGTTGGCCATCGACTCTACCTGCCCCAACTCCTGTTAGCGTGGACAAGCAGCACGGGGGAGGAGAGAGCGGGAGCAGAGAGGGAAGAGCAGAGAGGGGAGGAGGGAGGGGATGTTTTGATGGATGATTGTGAAGCCGAGGAAGCTCATGGTGCCATCGAAGTTGGTCCACTCGTCCAGCAGGGCCGTGTTGGCCATCGACTCCACCTGCCCCAACTCCTGTGGGGCAAGAGCAGCCAAGGGGGCCAGGGAGGGTGCAGTAGAGAAGGAGCAAACGTGAGGTATGCCAAAGGCAATGACTTGAGAGTTTGAATGACGAAGGAACAAAGGCACTGAGGAGAGCCACACGCCTCACCTTGACCAGCCCATCAATGGTCGCATGCAGCACCTTGCTGCCTCTTAAAAATGCCGGGCACATGGCGAACAACATCCGTGCCACAACTACCCTCACCCTCACGAGCTCATCAATGGTGATATGCACGTTGCCCATGCGCACACACATCTGGTACGCCACTCAAGGTCACTTCTGAGTTAACTCAAGAGGGAGCAGAGGCACCGAAGCAAGCAAGACGCCTCACCTTCACAAGCTCGTCAATGGTCACATGCGCCTTGCCCCGCACGCACGAACGTCTGGTACGCCACTCAACATGTGCGGTGAGACTGGTTTGACTCAAGAGAGAGCAGAGGCAGCGAGGCAAGCCAGACGCCTCACCTTGACCAGCTCGTCGATGGTGACGTGCGCCTTGCCCCCGCGCACGAACGTCTGGTACGCCACGCGCGCCCGCTCGGGCCAGTTGGGCAGCGCCTCGAGCTGAAACACGTTCAGCGCTGCCGCACAGAAGTCGGTGAAGGGCATGCGCGATATGCGCGCTGGCTCCAGCTGGTGGGGCGAGAGGGGCAAGGGAGGCATAGGAGGAGCTTCTGAGAGGCGGGGGATAATGGGGTTGGAGGGAGGGCGTCAAGCTGAGCCGAGTAGGGGGAGATGGGGGGGAGACGAGACGGAGGAGGAGGGAAGGAGGGAAGAGGTTGAAACAGTAGAGCCAAGGGGCAAGCGAATTCATGTAGCAGCTAAGTCCATCCATTGGCATGCCATCCCCCCTCACCTCAGTCTTTAACCCCCATCTCCCCCCCCACCCCCTCACCGTCTTGAGCAGGTCCATGGTGTGTGCCTCCCTCATCCCATCCATGGCTTCTGATTCCACTCACACATGGCCTTGCTGCTTGCCTTGTCGCCCCCCCACTTCCAACCCCTTCACTCCCTACCCACCCCCCTCACCGTCTTGAGCAGGTCGATGGTGTGTGACTCCCTCATCGCGTCTGTTGCCACGCGCTGCATCGCCTGCTCGCCACCAAAGTGGAGGGTGTAGGGAGGGAGGGGAGATGGCGAAAGGTGACTACTGGATCGAGTTTGCCAGCCACACGGATGGCAGACGAGTGGAGGGGGTGCTTTGAAGAGAGGTAACTTTGAGTCGGGATGCTCAAAGGAGCTGGAGAGTCAACAGAGTCAGGACGCGGCACCTCTAGGGAAATTGCCAGGATCGGGGGGAGATCGGGGCCTCACACCGGTTTAGGCACATCGATCGGCACACCGATGTGTCCACACTGCAGATTTGCAATCGCCTGGACACACCGAGCCACAGGTGACAGGGTCGAAAATATATGGGGCAAAATTGCCCAATCTCCACAATTACACGATCGATGTGTGGGCGCAGGCACATCGATCGTGCGAGCCAGAGGTGCCACAATTTTGGGCACCAATTTACTGTACACTTACGAGGTGGGGCGAAACCAGACAGATACCAGCCTGTTGGTGATGTCGCGATTTCACTGTACAAGCCAGGATCGATCCCCACTCAGGATCGATCCTTGCTCCCTCCCTAGAGGTGCCGCGTCCTCAGAGTCATATCAGAGTCAACGCAAGTCAATCTCACGTTCTTGAGGTCGCTGAAGTCAATGAGTCCATCCCCGTCCACGTCCATGTACCCGAACTGCGCCCTCAGATACACCAACTCGTCCTCCGTCAGTGTTGGCACCAGCGCCTGGTGGGTTTGGGGGAGAGGGGGTAAGCGAGGGAAGGGTGGAGAGGAAGGAGCGGGCTTTCTGGAATACCCAAAAAAGTGGGCGCAGGGAAAGTGAAGGTGGAGGAAGAAAGGGAAGAAGGAGCACGGCAGCTCTTGAACCCCACCCCAGCCTCCCATGCTTTCCACCACTGACCTTGAGCCCCACTCGCCCCACCACTCACCTCAACCCCAGCTCCTCAGGTCTCCTCCTCACCTTGAGCCCGGCTCGTCGCAGAGGCGAGAAGGAGAAGAAGGCGCGCAGGCTCTTGTACACGGCGATGTCCAACGGGATGCGCGCACTGCTGCTGCGGATCCACGGGTGCGCTGCAGAGAGGAAACAGAGGGAAAGTGGGGAAGGGAGAGGGAAGGGAAGGGAGGGAGAGATGAAGGGGGGAATAGGAAGTGGGGCAGTCGGAGGTGAGGGTCTCGGCTGCTCTGCTGCTGATGCAGGGGTGCGGATGGGTTGGAAGGAATGAGGGAGGAGCGAGGCATGGTGGAGGGTGCTCTCGTCTGCCTGCCACTCACTGAGAGCCTGGGCGGCAGTGGGGCGGCGGCGGTAGTCCTTAGTGAGAAGCCGGTGCACAAAATCCCTTCCAGCATGAGACACCGCGGGCCACGGCGCGTCGATCAGGTTCGGCTCCAGGCGCAGCACAGCACGAAAAATGCCCGACTCCGTGCGCGCCCAGAAGGGCCGTGATCCCGACAGGAGGATGTAGGCTATGACTCCCACGGACCAGACGTCAGCTTCGGTGCCGTAGGCTCGGTGGAGCACCTCCGGGGCGATGTAGTATGCCGAGCCTACGATGTCGTTGAGCTTCTGGTCCGGCCGGACGAAGTCTGAGAGACCAAAGTCGATGGCTCGCAACGCTGACCCCTCGTCTCGTGACTTGAAGAGAAAGTTCTGATGGCAGTGGGTGGCGGGTGGGGTGCACGGGTGGTAGGTGGTCGAGCGAGGGATGGGGACGGATGGAGGGATGCGGGGAGGGATGAGGGATAGGTGAGGGTGGAGGGGGAGACGGGAGGTGGGGGAGATAAGGCGTGAGGAGTTGGGCAGGCAAAGAAGGTGAGAAAGAGCATCATCACTTGCCCACCAACTCATCACCACCATTCAAAATTTAGTATGCTTTCCTAGAAGCTCTTTTCCCTAACAGCTTTAAGCAGTTCACGGACCTCGGGCTTTAAGTCGCGGTGCACGACCCCCTGCTGGTGCAGAAAGGCAATGATGTTGAGAATCTGGCGCATCACCTCCCTCGCCTCGTGCTCCGGGTACTTGCCGCCCCTGTGGGGAGTCAGTCAGGGACGACACGAGGGTGAGGGTGGTGGGGGGGGAAATCGAAGACGGAAAGAGTGCGCTGAGAGAGATGCGGGGATAAGGATTGAAGAGGGGACGAGAGGGGTGCAGCAACGAGGGGGGAACGTGATGGGGCGACGTAGAAGATAGATGGGAGGAGGTGGAGAGTGGTGGGGAGGGATGGAGAGTGATGGAGAGCGGTAGAGAGTGACGTTGTCAAGCAAATGGGAAAGGAAATGTGGCGAGGAAGGAGTGTAAGGCAAAAGGGAAAGGGATGGGAAAGGGCATTACCGTTGCAGCAGTCTCTCGAGCAGCTCGCCGCCCTCACACAACCTGATTAGATATGGTGGGTGGCCAGGGGAGAGACAGGCAAAGGGAAACGGGAAGAGTGCAGAGGGGAGTTGTTGAGAGTGCGAGGGATGGGAGGCGAGGGGAGGACGCAGTCACCAGCGCGTAGGAGGGCGAGGAGGAGTGAGTTGACATGTGACACTGATAAGTAGCAGCCATGGTTGGACTTTGTACTCGTTACAGGGGCACTCACTCCATGGCTATGTACACGTTGAGTTGGTCCTCATAGGCGTCAAAGAAGCGCACGGCGAACTCCTGTGGGCCCAGCGCGCGCATCAGCCGCACCTCGCGCTTCACGTCCTCCACCGCTATCACTGTTGTCATCTGGGGGAGACGGAGGGGTGGGGAGGTGTGGGGAGGGTTGGGGAGGGGTGGGGAGGGGTGGGGAGGGTTGGGGTGGGGTGGGGAGGGGTGGGGAGGGTTGGGGTGGGGTGGGGAGGGGTGGGGAGGGTTGGGGTGGGGTGGGGAGGGGTGGGGAGAGGGGGGTAAATGGTGGGATGGGAAGGGGATGGTTGGGGAGAGGTCAGGGGGACAGGAAGGAGGGGTATCTGTAAGCCGCGCCTCTCTCTTCACGTCCTCCACCGCTTTCACTGTCGTCATCTGGGGGATGTGGAGCAAGCTGGGAAGGGGGGTCGGGGGGGAACGCAGGGGACAGAGGGAAGACCTTTGGACAGGGGAGGGGGATATTGCATGAAAGGAAGCCGGGGCAGGGAGAAAGCGAGGGAGGGGAGTAAGATAAGGCCCCAAAAAGGCACAGCAGTGGCACATCCACAAAACCCTAGAATGTGACTCAGAACCGTACACCCGTTTTCTCAGGGTAATCCTACAATGCACCCATCTGCGCGGCTCACAACACCCTAGCGCGCGGCTCACATTGGCCTTGGGGATGACTTTGATGGCGCACTGCACGCCCTTCACCTCGCCCTTCTTCCCCGTCGCCGCGCACGTGTGCCCAAAGTGTCCGCGCCCCACCTCGTGCTCCAACTCGTACTTAGCGTTTATGTTCCGTGCATACCCGAACTTCTTATTCAGCTCCTTCCCCTCATGCCCCTCCCCCGACCCTCCGCTGCTCCCCGCCCCCGCGCTCCCTGCGCCCGCCGCTGCGCCGAACCCTCCGCCGCCTCCTCCGCCGACCACCACGCCCACGGGGATCTGGTTCCCGGGCCCCGCGGAGCCCTCCGCCGCGCCCATCTGCTTGCCGCGCTCGTCGTCGCGCAGCCTGCTCACGCGCGCCTTTTCCGCTGCCTGCTGCAGAATGCTCCCCGCGAGCCCGTCGAAGGTGGCGGGCGCGGGGGAGAAGTTGGATAGGTGGATGGCCGGAGTGCCCATTACCGACATTGCGGGCGATTCGAACACCTTGTTCCGCGGATCCTCGAACGGGCTCAGTCCCGCCCTTCCCCCACCGCCCGCCCCAAACGCGCTCCCCCCGCCATTTCCTCCCCCTGTTGCTCCCCCTTCTCCCGCGCTCGATCCTTCAGCTATTTCGCCGTTCCGCTGTTGCGGTTGCGCCTCCGCGGCGCCTTTCTCCGGCGGCTTCTCATTCGCGAAGACTAACTCCTCCGGCTCTTCCGGTGCGGCATTTTTGTGTCGGCCCTTGTGTTTTCTCCGCCCTCCTTGTTGATCGCCATCCGCTAGCGGCTTGCCCAGGCACGCACCCATGCGTGCGGTTACTGATAATCCCCAGAAACCACGTGAACAGCGTGAACGATGGCCTTGGGATTGCCTTGAAAATTACTGATGCCTTTCAGCTCATAGCGTCTACAAAACGATTGTTATGACAGGTCGATAAATAAGACGGTTGGTTGCTTCTATGTCGGAGCCGGTGTTTGCTGAGCTCTGCGCTGCGGGTCCCGCCCTAATCGATCGAACCGCGACATAACTCTGTTCCGTGATTCTTCAAAGCCGTGGACGCTTGATTCAATCTCTTTTTCCAGCTCACGTTTCAACACCTCAATGCCGAGCCGACACGATGGCAGTGGAGTATCTCTCCTCTCAATGATGACATGTTAGGTGACTTGCCATGCCCAGCAGCGCTCGACGCGCAGCGATTGCACGTTGGCGGAAACTATCCGCTTGTGCGCTACGCTTTGAGCCACCCATCATGCGCGCGCGCACCCACCTTCACTAGGGCGTTCCGCACGGTATCGGGGTCGGGGGAGGTGGCGGAGTCGACAGCGCACTCAGCTCTGGGAGCTGGTTGGTTTGGATCAGTTACTTTGCTCCCCGAAGTCAGGGGGGTCAGAGTTGAGACTCTTTATTGGCTGGTTTTGAAAAGGCAGGTAGGCTTGATTGGTGAATGATAATCTGGGGGGAATGTGCGGGGACAGCACAGGGTTGGCCGGCTGGTGCTGGTGTAGGACAGTCTGGGGGGAATGTGTGGGGATTATTGGGTTGCCTGCCTGGTCTGGATGTTGGTTGGGGCATCAACAGTTGATTGGCTGGCCCCAGCTTTGCCGCAAACTTCCCCGCACCAACCACACCGCTTCGGTCTTGCTGGTGGCTCCTGATCTTGTCACCTGCCAGCGGGGCTCTGCCTGCCCGCTGAGTGTTTGACGAGTCAGCAAAATTTCTCAACTGCATTCGCATCAGCGTCAGTGATTTCCATCGAAGTTGCTTGGTAAAACATGCCCGTGGTAAAAAACAAGCCTTCATAACGCGTACGGTAATCCGATAACAAGAACAGTCACTAGTTCGGATGCTTTATTGCACAGATGCAAGTTCCAGCACACATAAACGGGTGTTTACATTAATATCTAACGGATAAATTACAAGGTGGCAACAGAGAAGCAAACAGGAAATATGCAAGAAATTCTGTACGGCAATGAAAACCAACTCTTACGTAGCAGGTGTGAATTGCAAGAGCACAGTCAGTGCTTCTTGCCCACTAACACCACCTCACACAACCGTCTCCTCACAGCCCCCCTCCCTCCCATCACAACCACCCCCCTCCATCCCCACGCGCCATCACACCTCAGCCCCATTGCAACTCCCCTTCTCCCATTACACCTCATCCGGGGGGAAATCCGGGCGGCGCGGCACGGGCACGGGCAAGTGGTCGCCCTTGGCGCCCTTGGACATACCCACCGACCCCGACTTGCTCGACTGCGCATTCTCATCCCCAGGCGCCCAGTGCAGCGTCTCTGAGTAATTCTGATAGCTGAACTCTGACGACTCTGACGTTGACGGGTACGACGAGGACGGCAGTGACGTGGCATCCGACTGCGACGACGACATGATACTCGCGGAATCCCGGTGGCTGCCAGCGTAGCTCGACATGGCGTGCCCGAGGTTTTCAACGAGCGCCTTGGCGACGTCGCGGATGGTGGGGCGGTTGACGGCCTGGTCCTGCACGCACGTGCGCGCAATGTCACAGAGCGCGTAGAGCTCGTCCAGGTCAAAGTTGCCCTCCAGCTTGGGGTCCACCATGAGGGGCGTCTTCTCCCTGTCCGCCAGATACTCCTCCGCCTGCATTCCACCACACACAGGGAGACACACACAAGGATATTAGCAACAAGGGACACGGGAAGAACGGATATTCATGATGAACTTGCAGGCAGCAGGCTGCAGAAGCCCATCCAGCAGGTCACACCCAGCACTCACCCAGTAAGCAAGGGGCTGCCACTCGTGGATGGACTTGTGGCCGGAGATGAGCTCCAGCAGCACGACACCGTAGCTGTACACGTCCGACTTCTCCGACAGGATACTCGTGTTGACGTATTCCGGGTCCAGGTACCCAAAGGAACCGCGCACCGCTGTAGCCGTGGGCACCAGCTGCTCGCCGCCATCCGCACCGGCCCCGATGGGCGCCTCCTTGCACAGGCCGAAATCGGCCACCTTGGAGTAGCCGTCGTCTGACAGCAGGATGTTGGCCGACTTGATATCACTGCGTGGGGTGAGGTGGGATCAAAGGGGGAGCGAGGGGAGGAAAGAGGGGTCCGTTTGAGTCCACCTGACCTTGGAGTAGCCGTCATCGAATAACAGGCACGAGAGGCGTGAGAAGCAGATGGAGCAATCTAGTGTGACAGAGCAACCCAAGGCACAGAGCACAAGGAGGCACAAGGCATGAAACAACGAAACAGCACGTGGGGATACTCAACGCACCGATGAATGAGAGGAGGGTCGGCACCATAGTGCAGATACTCAATCCCCAGCGCCACGTGAATCGCAATCTTGGTGCGGCTATCCCACGACAGCGGGTACTCTTTCGCGCTCTCCCCATGCAGATGCTCATACAGCGACCCCATGGCCATGTACTCATAGATCAGCGCGCGCTCGCCCTTCTCAGCGCAGAACCCGACCAGGTTCACCAGATGCCGGTGATGCACGCGAGACAAGAGCTCCACTTCTCGGATAAACTCCACGTCGCCTTGCTTGGAGACCTGGTCCAGGCGCTTCACGGCCACGAGCTGCCCGTCCTTGAGCGTGGCCTTGTAGACGGTACCGTAGCCGCCCTTGCCGATGACCGTCTGCCAGTTGTTGGTGGCTGACTTCATCTGCTTCAGCGTGAACTCGCGCGTCGCCTCTGCGAGGGGAGGGGGAAGGGGTAGGTGGGGAAGTGGGGAAGTAGGAGGGAGGAAGAGAGGGTGTGAGTGCGAGGTGAGGGAGGCAACACATGAGATGACCGTCTGCCAGTTGTTGGTCGCTGACTTCATCTGCTTCAACGTGAACTCGCGCGTCGCCTCTGGAAACGGGTGGAAAGAGAGCAGGAGGTGGGGGGAAGGAGGAATGAGGGTGACGGGGAGGCAAGGCGAATGGAGAAACAAGTGCAGGCAGGTGCGATGCAAGCGGAGAGAGGAGAAAGTGTGGGCACTCACGGCGGAGGCCCTTGGTGAACCTATCGGAGATGCTCTGGCCGCGCTTGGTGTAGAGGAGGAACCAGATGGCGCCACCCACAGCCGCGACGGCGATGGCGAGCGACACAGTGATGCCGATGATCATGGGGGTCTTTGACGCCGGCACGTACTCCGTTGTCTGGACGGTTTCTGTTCCGTTGTAGCTCGTGCTTGAGAGCTCAGAGGCTGCGGAAAAGGGGGAGATTGTGGGAGAGGAGATGGGGGAAAGGAGGGGGCGGGGACGTGAGCGGCAGTGGGGGTAGTGGAGACACAGCAGGGGCGGCGGTGAAGCCACAGCAGGGGCGGGTGGGAGGGAGGGTCAGGGAGGCGCGTACCGAATTTGAGGGTGTTGTAGAACTTGGTGCACTCAGCGGGGTCCTGCGGCGTCTGATCCGCCAGTGCCGGGTTGGCAGATGTGTTGAGACAGTTGGTGAAGTACCTGCATGGGGGGGGTAGGTGGGGAGGAGGAAGGAGGGACACAAGCAGCGAGAGGGAGAGGGGAGTTGAGGGGAAGGGTGAGAAGGGGAGTGAAGGGGGTGGGTTACAGCGGAGCTTATGGCAATTGATGCTGGGGTTTGCGGGAAATTGGGGGGCTCTTTGCCAGTCAAGGCGTTGGAAAGAGGTCAAAGCGATGGCAGTGGGTGGCAGGGGGCGGCAGGAAACGGCAGCAAGGGGCGGCAGGGACTGACTTGAAGTCGAGGTTGCGGACGGCAGGCACCGGCGGTACTGTGCCGTTGAGGAAGTTGGAGCTCACGTCCCTGCACCGAGGGGCCAGGGGGGAGGGTGACGGGGGAGAGCGGGAAGATGGGCGGTGACGTGAGACAGGAGCTTGGGAAGGAGCGCAAAGAAAATTGGTGCAGGGAAGAAGAAAAGCGGGCGGATGAAGGCACGTGAACAAGTGAGGACGACATGCGTAGGTGTCGGGGCCCGTTGGGGGTTGTGGTGGGGTGAGATAGCAGAAAACGCGAATGGCGGAGAAGGGCGGAAACGGGGGGAGAAAGGGCGCGGGGAAAGAGGGTGGGGAGGAGACGGGGTAAGGGGAGGAGTGAAGGGGGAAGCCGGAAGTGGGGAGAGGGGGAATGGGGGGAAAAGACTCACAGTGCAGTGAGCGTGCGGGGCGCAAAGAGCTCTATGGCGGGCGGCAGTGGGCCCCACAGCTCGTTGTTGTACAGCACACTGCGCAGATACGGAGAGGGGGAAGTGGGGGAAAGTGGGGGGAAGGAAGGGGGGAGAAGGAGAGGGGGGGGGGGGGGGGGGGGGAAATGAGACGAGCGAGGTAGCGAGCGTAGCAGCAGGACGAGACGAGCAGCAGCAGGTGAATGCGAGGCGAGGAGAGGTTGCGAGGGGAGGTTGAGACTCGTGCAGGAACGCGGTCGTGGGAAGTGTGTGGGTGCGACCGGGTGAAGAAGAGCGGACTCACATGTCGGAGATGTTTTTGAGCTTGAGCAGGAAGGAGGGGAAGCGGCTCTGGATGCGCGCGGCGGGCGCCACGAAGTGCTGCAGCGACGTCATGCCCGCCCACGAGTCGGGGAACGAGCCGTTCAGATTCAGCTTCTGCAGATTGCTGCAACGCCGAGAAGGGGGGGGGGGGGGGGAGAGGAGGGGAAGGGACAGGGGGAAGGGAAAAGGGGGGGGAGAGGGGGAGAAGCGGGGGAAGAAGGAACCGGGAGAGAGTTGAGATGGTGAGGAGCGGGAAAAAATGGATGGGCAAACGATGAGTCTTTGGCCGAAACGGGTGGTACCAGGAAGGCGGAGGGGACGGGGATTTGGAAATGCGGCGTGAGAGGGAAAAGGCGACGGTCAAAGCAGCAGACACGAGGAGATTGATAAGAAGGCGTGGTAAGATCGATAAGCACTCACAGCAGCTCTAGCTTCTGGAGTTTGCCCCAGCTCTCCGGGAGCGCGCCTTGGAACGAGTTCCCGCCAATGTCCCTGCAATGCGAGCGTACCACACACAGCCACCGGCATGAGCCACCGGCGAAACGCTTAGCTAAGTAACGAGACACGTGGCGGTATGAAGCGCAGATAGCGTAAGTAAGCATTCACGATAAGTTCCCAGTAAAGACCACAGGAGAGATAGAGCGGATTGAGGTGAAATTGCTAAAAAACGACATGGAAATTGACGAGAGGGCGAGAGGTCGAGTCGCGAGTGCATACAGTTTTTTGAGTTGAGTCAAGTTGCCGAGTTCGGGAAACAGCACGTCTGCCATTTGGTTTTGCGAGAGGGCGAGCCACGTCAGATTGGCCAGCGTAGCGATGCCACGTGGAATAGACCCCGTGATGCGGTTCAGACTCACGTCGCTGCGAGGGGAAGCGGAGGGGAGGGGAGGAAGAGGCGAGGGGGGCGGGACGGGGGAAAGAGGAGAAACGATGCGGAACGATGAGGCAGAGTTACGGCGGGGATTGACGGTGGTAGCGAACAGAAACAGAATCACGAGAATTGACAGTGGCGGCAAAATTGACAGTGGCGGCGCACGGAACGACAACAAAAAACCCGAAAACGTTCGCGAATGATCGACAATGTTCGAGCACGGATAAGGAATAGACGCGGCGGCGGCGCCGGGAGTGGGGCGCGGCGGCGAGCGTACATTTTCATCAGACTCTTGAGCGCCGAGACCTCCTCGGGCATGGGACCCACGAACCGGTTGCCCTCGAACATGCTGCTCTCACCGCACCGCACCGCACCACATCGCACAACCACACGGAGGAAAAGGCAAACGAGCAGGGTTAGACGAGTGACGGATAAGCAGACGAATTGAGACCAGGGAGTCCGACCGGGAAGGCACTGAAAATTAAACGTCAGGAATCGACTGTGGAGGGCGAGGAGTTGGCGCGAACGACTCGAGCGCAACACACGGACGGGATGCAATGGCGACGCGGCTCACATTTCCTTGAGCTTGGAGAACTTGGAAATAATCGGCGGCAGCACGGGGCCGTAGACGTCGTTGCCCTGGATATTAATGAGCACGAGGTTCTCGAGCGCCGTCATCTTGGCCCACGGGATCTGCCCCTTGAGCGCGCCGGGCGACATCCCCTTGCCGTACGACGGGTCCTTGTCCACCATCATGGGGTTGCCTATGTCGCTGCGCGCGCGGAGAAAAGGGAGAACGGTGCGCGGGGAGGGGAGAAGTTGAGTCAGAGTGGAATAATTTGCCAAAACAGCTTATGCGTATCGTTGTAGAATGAAGACGGGAGAGGGAGGAAAGGGGGAAAATGGGAGGGCGGGAAAAGGAGGAATTTCAGAGCGAAGGGAGGGGGGCGAAAGTGCGGGGTGCGAGCGGGGAGGACGGCTTACATGGCGTTAACGCGGCCCTCGCCGTCGCACGTGATCCACTTCCAGAACTGCACGCACGGCTTGGATGTGTTGTACTGCATGCCCAGCGACACGTTCGCCCACGATCCCCACTTGGAGAACACCGGGTGGTTGTCGAAGGCTTTCGCGAATGCCAGCAGCGCCGCCTCTGCGCAAGCCACGGCCATGGATGGATGTCGGTTAGAAGCGAAGAGGTTGTTAGTAATGCGCAACGGTCATGGCACTGGTTGTGGCCGTTCCAAAATGCGAAAAAATGCGCAGGGAGAAGGAACAAGCGGCAAAGTGGACGACTATTCTGGTGCAGTGAAACGACAATGCGAGAGACAATGTTCGTACTTTCGGCCATGGCGACGGAATCGGGGGTGGAAAATCCTGGAATCGGGATAATTTCATTTGCGGGATCCCCTGGTGGTGGGTTGACGGGCGGTTGTTGCGATTGCGCGGAGACTGCCGTTAATGTGACTACGACTACAAGAACTGCTAATAGTGACGGCCAACACTGTCGAAACCCCATGCTGGGCCAATAAAGGAACGCGCGGCGGCTGCCAGTAAGACGGACGTAGAATCAATTCAAAAATACTGTCCTCTAGAACTCCGGATGTGTACTTCACGCCCGTCTTAGCTCAATAGACAAAGAAGATGGCACTCGCGCGTAATATCTACGAGGAAGGACGAGTGAAATGAATTGAAGTTGAGAACTGGTGGGGCGAGTGTACGCTGGTGGGTGGGTGAGCAAAATCAATCTCAGCTGAGAGCCATGGGGAGGGTTTTGTGCACCATGCCTCGTGCTGGAAAGGGGGAAGGCGGAAGCTTTACAGACGGGGAGAGGGATAAGCGGGGTTGGGGGTAGGAAGAAGGGGAGGGAAACGCGTACGCATTCCCCCTCTCCTCCCCCTTTCTCCCCCACGACTCAGGTCAGTCTGCCCACACCAAACCAAGCTACACGTAACCACCAACGGCAGCTGTCTTTCCGCCCGTAACCTCCAGGTTCCGCGCAGACTGGCAGTGTGCGGTTTCGGTAGGTGTGGGTAAGAAGCGCGCATTGAGCATCCGCGTGCCCTCTGATCCGATGCACACACACATACACCACGCCAGTGTGAGTGGGAAACCGCTTTCTGTCCACCGAAACCAAACATGAGTGCTGCACTTAATCTAAATTTGGTTCAATCTCGAGTTTCGGACTCAACGTGAACAACTGTGAGGGCACCCAGCTGAACATTTAGTTTAGTTACGTATAACTACCTGGGAGACCGCCCAGTTCGCTGGTTTCCTGTGGGTGCCCCCTTCCGCTCCAGCACAACTAACATCTCGGCTTTTATATTAAAAAATGTTCTGTACAGTAATACAGTTTCTTCCTCACGACTGAAATATTTCCCCCCAGCCCGCATTGAAGTGCAATCCAGGGGGGTACACTGCCAACTGGCACATGCCTACAGAGCTGCTCCCTACAGTGCTGCCTGAGGTTCCCTTCCGGTCCCCTGCTGTCCGAGTTCCGCACTGGAAAAGACCCTGTCTGCTGAGGTAGGTGAGCGGGACAAAGAAGTGCGGCTCGCCAAAACAATCGCCGTTTCTTGTTCGGAGGAGCTCACCTGCCTGACGTGAGCACCACCAGTGCATTTCTCCTCTCGCCACCACTCCCACCATCCCAGGCATTTTCCCAGGCTCCCTAGTAGAAAATCAGTACCGAGGTCGCTGCTAACATGATGCGCTGCACTGAAAACACGCCCTTGCAACCGTACACATTGTCGTTTGGGCCGGTATCCACCTGAAGCAAGTGGTCAATCTCGACAATGTCATGTTACTGTAAACGCCATTTCACTTACCCTCTCGTCTAATCAAAGCACGACATCCGAGGCGCGGGGACAAGAACATCAGAAACGACAGCACCACTTGGCACGTGTCACACATGTCGTTCGAGTCAGCACTTGACATGCGCTTGAGGCGGGATCGTTGCTACCAGTCCGTTAATAGTACACTTGAAACTTTGAAAATCAGGGGCTTTGGTTTATACACAGGGAGGAGGTTAAACTCAACTCACTAACCATATTCAAAAACAATTTGCAAGGCAAACTACCAAAACCAATCCATATCTCCAGACTTCTCGTCTTCAGCCCAAGCTCCCCACCTGCCCTTGGGTGTCAAAGCCGAGCCGGCATCCTCCCTTCGAGCCTCCATCCCAATCGCACTACACTCCACTGCACATCCACCCACACTACCCGATACACCTGGAGCCTGCAGCCCAGACAGCTGCTGCTTTCCCCCCTGCACACCTCCACTCGCATCCCCTCCACCACCACCTCTAAAGCTGCTGCCTTCCCTGTAACTGCCCCCATCTTCCCTGGAAGAGGATGGGGCAAGCAGGCTGCGGCGGCGTGAGGCGCCACCACTTTCCCTGCTACTGCCGCTGGTGCCAAAACCACTCTCTTGCGACACACTCCGCGGCACCCCAGCCGACCTTGGGACCTCCAGCGAGGAAGAGCGCGGCACAATGCTTCGAGATGGGGATGAGGAGAGACGGGAGGAGGGAGACGACGTGTAGCTGTCATGGGAGGCAGACGGGCGGAGAGACGAAGGGCGCGAGGAAGACGAGAAGAACCGGGGCGAGCCAATAAGAGGCTCTGTTCCGCCTCCTCCTCCCCTCCCACCGCCACCACCAGCAGAAACACCAGCAGAGGCACCATCAGCGCCATCTTCACGAGCCGAGGCACATTCTGCAGACGCAGAGGCGAACAGAGAGCTGTGGGAGCGGCGAGGGGAGCTGACCGCCTCAAGAGCCTTCTTGGCTGCGCCAACCACTCCCCTGTGGCTCAGCGCACTCAACAGACGGCGCCCAGGCGTGGATGCCTCTCCTCCAATGGGCTGTGAGTCAGGGGGTAAACCGCAGGGGTCGGGGGCAGTGCAGAACGGCGCCGGAATGCGGTTGAGATCGCGCTTGGGCTCTGAGCGCTGCTTGCGGAGGCTGCGGGCGTCGTCGGATGAGGAAGAGCGAGCAATGAGGGAGGGCATGCGAGAGGGCGGGCGGGAGAGGGGATGAGAGGGAATGGAGATGGTAGCGGGAGAGGCGGGGCTGGTCTCGCTCGGTGGTTCCGAGTCGTCGACGTTCAGAGGTGACAGCGATAGGTTCAGTCTTCCCCGAATGCTGTTGCTTCTGGTCACGGTGCTGTTGCTGTTGTCAAGACTGCTGCTAGTGCTGGTGTCAATGCAAGAGACAGAGGGAGCATTCAAGTCCTTTGTCTCCTTGTCTTCTCTCACGGGCGATCCCAGCCAGAAAAAATCCTCCTCCTGCTCCTTTTCCTCCTTCCCTCTCCCTTGCTGTACCCCAACTCCGCTCCTCCCACTCTCCTCAGCAAAACGGCTAGCAGCCACCCGTCGATCCTCACTCCAACCCTCTGGTTCGGCAGTCCCAAGCCTGCTGGACCCCTTCTGTTCTCTCTTTGAAGGGGACGAAAGCGAAAAACCCACTCTCCCGAAGCTCACCGCCTTGCTTAGGGCTGGGCCTTTCCGTTCCTTCTCCCTCTCCCGCACCTTCCCCTCGTCATTGGCTTGGCCATAACTAGAGGCAGCCGGGGCAGCAGAAGACTGCGATCGTCCCATGCTCAGGCTCATGCGCAGCGATCTGCCAACTGGGCTATCGCTACTACTGCTTCGCTCGCTCCTATACACTCCCTCCCTGCCTACCCCAACCTCACCTTCCGTTCCTTCTCCCCCTTCCCCCGGCCAAACCCCGCCCACCCACTTCCCGAACGCCCGCTTCTTGCCCTCCTCCCCCCCTCTCATCGCCCTCTCCCTCTCGCGCTCCTTCTCCCGCTCCCTCTCCCTCTCCCTCGCTGCCTGAACCGTTTGCTGCACCTGCTGCTCTTCCCGCCGCTGCAGGCGCTGCTGCTGCGCGGCCCAGCGCTGCTTCACGCGCTCCCACGACTCCTCGTCCTCGTCCTCGTCCGATATCGCGTCCGCATCCATCTCCCGCCCTCCGCGCGCCAGGTGGCACGATCTCCGCGCCGCAAGCCTCTCACGGACGTCCGAGATTTGCCGAGCGACTGTCGCGCTCTCCCCGTCCCTGCCATCCCCGATATACGCGTCTTCGTCATCGTCGTCGTCTTCTTCGAAATCGTTATCGATTCCCTCAAGAGGCGCGATCGGGGATGTCATGTCGTCGTCGTTGTCTGCTTCACTGTAAGCATCCTCGTTAAGAGCATCCTCGTCGTCGGGGTCTTCTCTTAGAGCTAATGCCAATCCTTCCTCGTCTATCTCCAACCCACTCCCCTCCTCCTCTTCCTCCTCCTCGTCATCCTCCTCCAATTCCTCCTCTCCCTCCTCGCGTCGCGGCCAGTTGCTACTACGGACGGTCCGTGACGAATTCGGTGGTTGCATTGATTTCAACGACCCTGTGCTGCTGACACGTGGAACGGGCGGCTTGCGCGCGGAGTGGTAGCCGGAGGCGCGCGTACGACCAGAGCTGCTCCCCACGTCGCCGTTTCCGCGGGATGGGAGCGGGGGGCGAGAGTGGGCGCGAGGGGAAGTGATGGAGCCGGGAGGCGCGCCAAACGCGCAAATCATTCCGTTCTGCTGCGCGCGGCTTCCCCTCGCTCCTGCCCCCCTGATGCCGTCTTTTAAGCCCTGCTGCTGTGCCTCGCTCTCCCTCGACCAATCGCTGTTCGTCTCGCTTCCCGCCTGCCAGTCCGACCCTGGTGAAGTAATCTGCTCCTGCGGTGACGTGGAATGGGGCTCCGCTGACGTGGAAGAGCTCTCGAGAGAGTTGTCGCAGGATTCGCCACCTATGCGACTCGAGTCCCCATTTATGTCGCCAAGGCTGTCGCATTCTGAGACTCTAATATCTTGGTATCTCCCAGGGACGCCATTAAACTCTCGACGTTCGACAGTTTCTCCCATTAGACCGGCTTCGGCCGTTCCTTTACCCGTCCTTTCTTGTAGCGGGGTCTGGGGCGGTTCCTCTATAATCACCTCCACGCGTCGCACCCGGAAACCGCTGGCCGCTCCCGCCGCCGGCGTCGATGATTGCGGCGGCGCTGGCGACAAGTCCCCGAGGAGGAATGCTGGCGACAGTCTATCGCCTGCGACGCTCTCTTCGTCGCCTGCGACGTTCAGCGAGAGAGCGACGCGCGTGCCGACAAGATCGCCAGCTCTGTCGCTTTTCAGCAGCTTGAAGTGAATTCGCACCGAAGCGCGATTGCTCTTAGTCACCGCCTCTACGGCTCTCGACCAATCAGCTTCATAGAGCCCATCCGACAAATCGTACAAGCTTTTCCCGCCAAAATCATCAGAGCTGGCATAACCCAGGTCGCGCAACAACCCCCGGCTGACGTGTGCAATGCGGCCCGAACGAGCTTCCAGCAACAGCTTCGGTTCTTCCGAACCTTCGACTTCCGACGCTACCCTTGCCGAAGCTGTAGCCTCGGGAGCTTCAAAACCACCGCCAGCGGCTTCACCCGAGCCTGTGCGTGCTGCTTCGGAATGCAGCCCGGCAGATTCAGCGGCCGACGGAGCGTTTGCCGATAAGCCTGAGCTTGCAAATGCAGACGCATTCGATTTGACGTCGTTTTTGTCGTTTCCGCGCGAAAATGAGGAGGAGCGGGGAATGCCGCCTCGTGGCGAGAGGAGGCGAGAGAGGGAAAATGCTCGGTCGGAAGGTTCGAGGGAAGCTGCGTCGGCGAGTCGAGCATTGGTGATGGACTTGCGAAGATCGAGGGCCATGGCGGGGGGAGGAAGCAGAGGAGGGAGAGCTGGCTGGGAAACTAAGTTTTACACGCTCGAGTCGCGGGCGCAAATGCGCAACGTATTTGCGTTCCCTTAGGAACGATCGGTGTTAGTATTTTTGAGAGGGAGGAGAAGTCTACAATGCGCTATGGGAGTAAACAACTGTGTCAATCTGTTCTTTGACTGCAGCCATGGCTCTCAACGACCAGCATGGTAATAGCAGCGGAAGTAGAACGAAAGCAGGTGCGGAATGGGGAATGGAGCTGGAATGTACGTTATTGGTGTGCGACGTTCACCAGACGAGGGGGTCTAGGAAATGGTGTTGAGGCTGGCAGCTGGAACAAGGATGTCGTCGAGTCGACCTGTCCGAACCGAACTGAAGTGAAGAAGGCCGAGTGTATGGGGGGGAAAGCCGTTACGCGGACAAGCACGACTCGCTACGGGACGATGACTTGGGTTGGGCCTCCTAGGCATGGCGGTTGGATAGAGCCACGAACAGTTTGGCCTCAAAGGACTTTCGAGGGGTGGTTGTGCGATGACAGCTGCGGCGCTGCTTGCAGGGCACGCCTTGGAAGGAGTGGATGGGAGGGAAGGGAGAAATGCAGAGTGAGGGGAAATCTAGTGCCAAGGGCGGTGCATGGCGGACTGACCCCCATCAGTAGTGGGGAAGGTTGAGTGGATAGGCAGAACGGGTTCAAGAACGTCTTGGTACGGTTGAGAAGTATTTTCCAGGCTCGGAGACAGGTGGCCAGTGACCACATAGAGACGAAATTTGTTTTTGCGGGGATGCTGCTGCGTCAAGCCGCCTCGATAGGGGTTGGGCAAAGCAGCGATTGGGGGATGGCTGGTTGGTGGGGTGGCGCAGTTGTTTGTAATGTTCAAGGGAAAAACGGGACGAGGTGGAGGAGTAACCTGTGACTTAGGCTGGGTTGGGATGGGTTGTAGGGGGTAACTGTGGCGGAGTGAGGCAGGTAGGGACGGGGCATTGCGCCGCACTGTTGCATACATGTAGGGTGCGACTCAATTTGGCTTCAACAACCCGGCAAATCAGCCCGCAAAGTTTTGATTTCCACAGAAAGAGAGTTTTGTAGTGATTACAGCTACGCGAAATCTCGGTAGGAAGAACCTGCGAATGTTTTTGTTGTGGGCAATGCTGCTTGTAGAACCCGGACTGAGGCTAATGTTGCCAGGGTGAATGCTGCTGGAAAACCTAGTTCACGGACATGCACCATCCATACCAAGAGAACAATACAGTAGTCGTTCCGCCAATCAGCGGAGTTGCAAAACCTGTGTATCATGATAGCATGTGACGCATGCGCCAGACGTGAAGTGTCCGTCCGCCGCTGGGTCTAGAGTGCACCAGGTTTGCTCATATCGAATCATGGTTGTGATACAAATTTACGTCCATGCTCTGCATTTTCTACTAAACATTCAGTCTGTTTCATCTCCATATATTGTTGACTGGCTTGAAGACTTATATTTGAAGCATTCCACAAGAAGCTTTCAGTAATACTTCAAACACAGTACAGCCAATGTTGCCAGCAATTCGAACACTGCTCCCTGCGTAGGCCAGATTTCACCTATGATCCAGCGCAATACAAAGCTCGTCGTCACCATACCGAGAGGTTTTGCCACCTACATTTGAATCCTAGGACTGACATGAATCAACTCATGCTGCACAGCCAATACTGTGAACAATCCCTCACCACGTTCCTACAGCACCATAACTAAAATCGGACTCCCCGCTCTCTCCTTCCCAAGACCCTTCGCCCACATCCCCACTTTCATCATCCCTTAGCTTCATGCCGCCCTCCTCAGCTCCCTCCATTGTCACATCTTCATCCGATTCAGAACCTCCCTCCTCCCTCCGGCCAGGAGTCGTGCAAACGACAACATCAACTGCCATTTCCCCTCCCTCCATATCAACAGCTGCATCCCCTCCTTCTCCACCATCCCTTCCCGTCAACCTTACAACCATGTCCGCATCTATAGCATCGATAGCATCTACAGCATCTACAGCTTCTAGAGTAGCCTCAGCCCCATGCTCCATAACCCCATCTAGAACCTCTCGCCCCTCCCCAACCTGCCCACTGGCTTCCCACATTCTCTCTGCCCCACCACCATCAGTTCTCACCGCCCCTAACCCGCCCGCTCCTGCTAAATCCACTCCACCTGGTGCTGACGCAACCGGGCCTGCCGCATTAACAGACAAACTACTCCGCCCCTTACCGCGCACTGCCAACCCCATCTCCCGCTTGATAGCACCCCAGTGCCCGTCGATATTCCCCGAGAAGCTTCTTGCAAGCTTCCCCACCCCTCTAGTAGCCTTCTCCACGTTCCTCACTGGCTTCTCTAGCATGTTTGCCATGCGCGGCGTGGGAGGCAGAACCCGGGAAGGCCTATCTGGGACAGGCAGCACCCCACCGGTCGACACAGAAGCCGCCACCGCTGCTACCTTATCAGCAGCAGGGCCTAACCCCGACCCCTTAGAGCTAAACGACCTTCGCAACAGCTGCCCGCGGGGCGACGAGGATTCCCCACTAGAACCGCCGCCAGAGCCCCCCCCGCTAGGTGTTACTACCTTGAGCCCTGTCCCAAACTTGTGCAGCAGCTTCTTAGCGCCCCGGGCACCAGACGAACCAGTCCTCTGCTGGCCTTCCACGCTTGGCCCTGACCCCACGCCCTCCTCTGCGCCTCTTAACTCCATCTCCCCTGCCCCAGGCTCATCCTCCCCCTCGCCCTCCCTCCCTTCCGCCACATCCCCCCCGTCCAGACCCCCTCTCCCTCCAGCACCACCCCCTGCTGCTCCTGCGTCCTCTGCTGCAATCTTCCGCCGCTCCGCCTCCCAGTCCCGCCCAAACGCCGGCCCGCCTTCCGACAGATTCCGCCGGAAAAACATCTTCGTGGGGACTCCAATCCGGGAAGCCCGGCGCTCCTTAGCCGTGGGGTCGGACTGAGGCGCGTTTTTGCCACTGCGGAAGAACCCAGGCGAGGGAGGCACGTCTCTGCCTACAGGGCCATCGTGAGAAGCCATTCTCGTGTGGTGGGGTGCGGGTTTGGGCTCTCTCCTCTTCCTCCACCGCTCTGCTGCTGCTGCTGACACCTGCAGAGGGCCGCTGGCTACTCTTCGACTGAGCTCCTTGGGGTCTACTGTCCCGGCGATCCCGCTGCTGGGATGCACAGGGCTGTCACTGGCGATTCTAGGCAGGTGCGGAAGGGAGATGCTGTTGCTGTCGTCCTGTGAGACGTGACTCAGTTGACTTGCTTGACTTAGTTGACTGTCCTGTGGCGACCAGCCCGGTTGGGAACTACTGGAAGCATCAAACGGGCTGCCGCTGCTGATGCTGCTCGGGAGGCCCGCTTCCCCTGCCCCAGCTGTGCTCGTGTCCTCTGCCTCTCCTACCCCTTCCCCTTCTCTCCCCTCGCTCCCATTGACCTGCCCCGCTGCAGACCCTCTTTCTTCTCCCCCCTGCGCCCCTCCCTTCCCGTCTTCCCCCATCACCACGTCCCCCTCCTCCCCTCCCCGTGCATCCAACTCCGCCTCCTCCCCCTCCCCCCCCATCCGCGCCAGCAGCTCATCCTTATCCGCGCATTCCCCCTCACCCTCCTCCGCCTCCCCCGCCCCCTCCCCCGCTTCCCCCCCTTCCCCGCCGCCCCCTTGTCTCTCCTTACTTCTCTGCCGCGGCTCCTCGAATATCTCAATGGTGGGCGGCTGCGTGCAGTACACAAAGGATTTAAGCGCCGCACTGCCGCCCTCCCTCAGAGGCTCCTGCTGCTTCCTCTCAATGAGCACTCGCAGTAAATCCATCACCTTCACTGCGTGTCTCAATCCCATAATAGGATCAAGTACCTGGTGGCATGAGGACGGGAAGAAAGGAAATTCTTAAGCTCGTGAATAAGCGATTTCTGCTGCTGATTCCTCTCGATTTGTTCGATGAGTCCATGTGACTGGCTCCCTGCTGGCTCTCAATCAGCGCTCAAACCTACCTGCATGCGCTGACTCAATCACTTTGTGAATCACCTGATGATTTGTTACCAGGTGATTTGAATCATCGCATTGCAACCCACCTGCGTCATGTTGGGAGCGAACACCATGGCGATGTTCCGTGCGTTCATCTTGTTGCGCTCCTCGAACTATACCACCCCAACAGCTCCCCCTCTCCGTCCGCCCTCTGCTCTCTAATCCGCACCATGTGATGCTAGAACCACCTCAACCAAGCTTAACCCAGCTCAGCCCAGCTCGACCCAGCTCGACCCACCTGCGTCATGTTAGGAGCGAACACCATGGCGATGTTCCTCGCGTTCATCTTGTTGCGCTCCTCGAACTGCACCACGTCCGCCATGAGCCCCACCACCCAGTCCAGCAGCATGCTCTGCGTCTCTGGCAGCTCCGCCACGAGCGCCAGCATCTGCTCCTCCGTCTCGCACGCCGCCACCACCTCCACTGGCAACGAGTCCAGCAGCCCTTGTGGTAGCTCGCGGAACCACGCCTGGCGCGGGAGGAGAGGGGGAGAAGTGATAGGTGAGGCCTGTGGTGTGCTGTGCATGTGTAGCCTGCAGCCTGCAAACGGACGCACACCGGCTTAATCAAAGATAGCACACCTCTCCTCGCTCGCAGCACTGGGTCTCTCACCTTGATGAGCCCTGCGAGCGCGTGCACGTTGATGCTCTGCGGCACGAGCCCCATGTTGACCTGATCCGCTAGGGGTAGTAACAGATACCACACCTCTCCTAGCTCGCGGTACTGAGAGTCTCACCTTTATCAATCCAGCGAGCGCGTGCACGTTGATGCTCTGCGGCACGAGCCCCATGTTGACCTGATCCCTAATCTGGTCCTCGTGGTCGTTCTCCGCCGCCACGCGGAATATGCCCTCCGTCTGCACGCGGGGTAAGGGGATGGGAAAGAGACGGGTGGAGGGGGGAGGGGACAGGGATGGTGGGGAAAGAAGGGGAGGGCGGGACTTGAGACTGGTCCCTAACCTGGTCCTCGTGGTCGTTCTCCGCCGCCACGCGGAATATGCCCTCCGTCTGTACGCGGGGTAAATTTTACCAATAAAAAGGGTAGGAGCGGTGTGCAAGGGAAGAGAGACAGGGGAGGTTGGGAAGGATGGAGAGGGGGGGATATTGAGACTAAAGTCGAAATCGTCGAGAGGGTGGGGTGAATAAAATTTGGGACGGACGCAGGGGAGGGGGGGGGGGGGAGGGGAAGAGGCGTACCTGGAGGCCCTTTTTGACGTAGAGCAGCGCCTGCAGCTGCAGCAGGATGTTGGGCACGCTGTTGCCGAACTCGTCCTGCGAGCACTGCAGCAGCTCCGGCTGCACGCCGAACACGGACCGCCTGGGGGGGGGGGGGGGGGGGGGGGGGAGGAGAGGGGGGGAGGGGGACACGGGGAGGGAGGCAAGGCAAGGGGAAGAGAAGAGTGAGGGGCAGGGAGAGAGAGGGAGGTGGGCACTACAGCAGCTCCGGCTGCACGCCGAAGACGGACCGCCTGGGGGAGGGGTGGCGGGAGAAGGACAAGGGGAATAAGACAGGAGGGAAGAGGAGGGTGGGGGGCCGGGACAGAGAGGAATGAGGGCCCTGTAGCAGGGAGGAATTAAGGAGTGGTGATAAGGACAACAAGGTTGCGCGTTGGCGGAGTCTCCAGCTCAAACGCGCTATCCGTCCCCCTCCCTACCGCCCGCTTCTGGCCCCACACTATAGACGCGCGAACAACGACTGCAGAATACCCTTCACGCGCGTCACAAACGGACTCCCCGCACGCTCTAACGGTCACTGACACGCGCTAGCACGCACTAGCAGCGACGGCAGCTTACCCCGCACTGGGCGCACGGCACGGCAGCTCGCCCTCGATGTCTTCCGGGAGGCCCAGGAAGCCCTTAAAGCGGTCGAACGTGACGTGCGCCACGTGCTTCACGTCCGTTGGCTCGCCGATCTCCAGAGGGTGGCCGTCGTCGTCATCGTCTGAGCGCAGCCGGCGGGCAAGAAGTGAGGTTGAGATATACAACAGAAAAAAAAAGGTGAGAAAAATATGAAAAAACAAGGGGGTAGCAGCACGTGCTTCACGTCGGTTGGCTTTACGGTCTCCAGGGGAAGGCCGTCGACGTAATCGTCTGAGGGGGGAACGGCGGAGAGGAAAGGGTCGGTGGACGGCAAGTAGATGGACGGTGCTTTAAGCGGTCGAACGTGACGTGCGTCACGCCCGTCGGCTGGCCAATTTACGAGGAAGAATGTCCTCATCATCGCGCGAGGCGATGAAGGTGGCCGATAAAAAGACGGCGGACGGCCGTCGGCAAGTGAACGACAAACAGACGCAAGGCAGTAAACAGACCGACAAACGCATCATCAGTAAAAGGGATAAACGAGAAGGGACCAGATACTTGAGGCGCCATGTCACAGAACAACGACCAAGGAGACGACATAGGCCGTTGATGGTTGGTAAGTGCGCGATGTCAACTTAGGGTTCGAACGCGTGTCAGCGCGACGGTGACAACGCATAGGCGACACTGGGAGAACTAGGCAGTTTCCCGCATCGTTCGAGATGCTGTGGAAATAGAATATCTATTATCGAACTACATCGGCGAGCGGGACAAAACGGCAAGACTGACTTACAACCAGTCAGTACTAATGGAGAATTACAGCAACGAGATGAAGAGGTCTGATCATATCTATGCATTGGTAAAAATGCTTATCATGACCCGCAATAGAAATCGCAGACTCCTATAATGCTACGAAATGTCGCATGACGGTGGCCACCGAGTCTCCAGACATGTCGCGACCTAGACGGGCTCATCTGCACCGACGCTCTGAGCTGCAGGGATGGGAATGAACGATCTGTACGAGCTTAGGCGGACTACATTCGAGAGAAGTGCTACCACTAGCTTGATGCTACAATTTAGTTGCCGGACGCGGGAAAATCAGTGGAATAGGGAGCTTGGAGAACGCACCGTGGCACTAGAAAGGGAAAGGTATAAAGCAAAATGAAGCCGAATCAGACGGTACCTAAGGAGCCTATTATACAACCAGTGGAGTCTCCTAGCACTCTTCCCTGTCTCATGGAGGACTCTTATGAAATAACATTAATATGTTAAGCGAGGTGTTCTAGGAGCTTAGACCAGCGACACGTGGCTTTTCCTGGTCCAAGCGTGGCACAGCAACACGACCACCACGTACCACGATCTCTCTGCTTGCCGATACGACCGAGAGTCTTCACTACGCCCTTAAAGCCGCCGTTTATAACGTCCATCTCAGGTACTGCTGGAAACCCTAACCGTCGACCTGGAAAAAAATAAATACTCCAGAGTGGGCGAAGTCGACTACTGAGGGGAAGCCATGACTAGGTTTGGGAGGCGAAAGGGAGTCGGTGGAGGGGAAATGGAGAGAGGAGGAGACCATGGGGAATGGGGCAGAGGGAGGAAATTGAGGAAAGGGAGGAATGGAGGGAAGGGAGGAATGGGGGAAAGGGACAGCAGGAGGAGATTGAAACAGGCGGAGCCTAGCACTACCGAGGTGAAAACGTTCTAAGCGTTCGATATGGTCACAGATGTTCGCCTCCCTGAAGCACGATCTTGGAGTTGCCGGAGTGATAGTAGCGAGGGGTCTGTAGATTCGTTGTGCCGCGCGGCTTGGTGTGAATTCTGGCTGTCACCACCACTTGCACCGGGGGAGGTCAACTGGCGGATGCAGGCGAGCAGGTGTAGTGGATGCACAAAATTCGTTAGACGAAGCAACCAGGGTCCATAACAATTCCTACATTAATGTCATTACACAAGAATAGCTAACAAGACTAGGCTAGTTCTCATCAGCTCAGACATGTAAATGCTACAGAGATCTGGCAATCAAAATACAACCTAACTCCATTCCTTAAATACAATAACTGGGTTATTGGCCCTACCACCCGTGATATGCATGTAGTGTATGACCCTATTCCAGTTACCATCAGGCGTCGTAACAGAGTAGTTTCACTCTGCAGGAAGCTGTTCGCATTGACAGCTCTTATTTGTTTACAGGTTACGCCATGTTGAGAGAGCATCAGGGCGACAACTAGTGCCTAGTGATGCCTAGGGTGTACAATGGCATCTAGAGAGAGCATCGGAAACTAGGGAAGGGCAGAAGCCGGTTGGTCATTGTGTCTGACTTTAGTACTGATTGAGGAGGCATAAACACACGCTGCTTGGCGAGATTCTGACTAAAATCAGGCAGTGCAGGAGACGGCGACCACCCCGGTGAGAAGGGCTTTCTTTCAGGTAAAGCCGGTACATTTTGGCGTAACAATTTTGTTCCAAGGAATTTGTATTCAAAATTTGTTAATTGATATTGCATATCTTATACCTGCCTATAGCTTGCTAGTGTATTAGTTTAGTTATTAGCATCAACTGCTGGTGGTGTACCCTCTTCTTCTCTCTTCCTTCTCCTATATCTTGTACTCTTGCCTAATATCAAAGCCTTTTCTTTTGGCCAAACCTCTCCCTCCATGATTCTCCTTGCTAAGCCTCTCCAAAACCCCAGCTCCTAGTTAACTCGTTATTCAACAAATTTCTTTCTTATTCGATTCACCATAGCTTGCTAGCACTGAGAGCTCAGAAGAAGGGATGCTGCAGCAGCGGTATGCGCGCCAAACGTCATTAACAAAATACGCGGACCCACAACCACAACCTCCTATTTGTGGAGCTTCGTAAAGTTGAGCCCATGCATGTGTTGCTGCTCCTGGAGTAGATCTCCAGCCAGGCATCTGATGTTTGTTCAAATCTGGCAATTCATGCACATATATTACAGCTTGGCATAATGCTGCATTCGGTTCAGCATAATCCATCCATGTCAGTGGTCATTTACTCCTTGGCACCTGCAAGGTAAAGACCAGACTTGTTCAGTTCCGTTTACAGCTTGATGAGGATCAGTGTGCGCAAAAGAATGCGAAGGAGGGGTCGCTCACCTGCTTCAGCCAGCAGAGGAACCAACTTGCCCTGCATGTGCAATGACACCGTTGCTGCAAGTGGTGTGACGGGATAACGAAAATGGTGAATAAAAATTAGAGCAGCTGTAACTATGAGAGGCCAGAGGAGCTTGACACACTTCACAACAGGTAACACCATGGACTCACCATCACAGCCGCCAATGTGCTTTCCACCAATAAAGACGTTGGGAATGGTGCGCTGGCCCGTGAGATCATACAGAGCTTGTTGAAGCTCGTCCTCCTCCACTGCACCCAACGAGAGCATGTTCAGTGTCTTCGCATTATAAACCAAGCGACAAAGAAGAGCAGACGCAGCTCATTCGACCAATAGCGACACTTGCTCAACAGTGACACTGTTCCACACTCTTCCTTGTCTCAACTCACCTAGTTCGTCCAGCTCCACAACTAGCATGTTAGTGTGAAGCTTGGAAAGGAGCCGTTTCACGTCCGTGCAGTATCTACAACAACAATCGAGAAGCAAGGCATTGACACAAAATCTCTCGATGCAGGATGTTGTGAAGGTTGCACATGGAAGTCCAAAATATCTTCACAGCTAACTGAACGAACACCACGTGGTTCTTTCCAGCGTTCCATGCGGTCATCGGTGCAAGTGCGTACGTTATTTATTCCAAACTCAATTGAGAAGAATAAGCAATAATTGTTCTCAATTGCGTATTAAAACTGGCTCAGATTCCGTTTCAAGAACTCACGGGCACCATGTTTTGGAGTAGACGACCACAGGGTGCTCTCCGTTCTTCTGCTTCACCAGCTCCACCAGTTGCTCGATCGACTTGGCATCGCTGCGACCCATCGCTCGAGGCCCAGCAGCAGCTGAGAATCGCCTGCGAGCCTTGCTAGCGGTAGGGTCTGACAAGGCATGGCTAATCTGAGAGCCGCTGAAGAAAGCCAATTGGCTGCTGTGAGCTGTGAGAAGCGCGGTGGACACGAGTCTGCCGAACGATCGCCGGGTAGACGATGTCTTTTGAAGTGACCCGACTGCCGCACGTGAAGGCAACGATACGAAGATCGCTCCTGCTGCCACCGCTGCTGCTGCTACTGCGGCCATTGAGAGACCAAGAGAACAGATTGGTCGCACGAGAGGCGATCGCAAAATTGGAATAAACAATCCTCTCGCTCGTCTGAACTGGACGATGAGCGATAATGCCTACGCTGCTGCAGAAGGAGGCGACGTCGATATAACTTGTGAAAATTGTGAGATCAAAACATTGGATTCCACTCGGGAAAGTTGTGTGACTGACCTCATGGAGCACATAACAACAGATTTGTGCGACATCCTCGTCCACACACTCAACTGGATAGCTGGTGACACACCCAATGCCCCTGTCAGGTCACAGGAGCATGGAACGTTGGACAGCTGGCTTGCTTTTCCCACGAAAGACGTGGATTGGGTGAATTGTGCGATGGATTCACGAATCGTCGTTGTAAATTCGCGAAAGAAGCGGGGATGGGCCAGAAAATGTTCGGGAGAGATCGTATCCTCCATACCAGCCTTCTCTTAAGGATTACAGGGCGCTACACTTCATACCAAGAGTTCGTGAAGAAAACACTTGTCACAATGAAAAATATAATCCCTTGGCTTAAACACCTTCGGAGCCACGTAGACCAGCTTCGTGGCGCCCCTCCAAAACTCCAACCAATAGGCAGACTCCGCTCAGCCGTCACGTGGTGCCGAAAGTCGTCTGGAAACCCCGACGTGCCAGGTCATCCCGAATCATGGTACACGCTCTACTAGCGTGCGTGATTGGCCTGAAATGCTAGCTGGTTACCCACATTTGCGGCTCCTTTGGCGTGAGTGGCAGCTGGAACTGCCCCGCTAAAACTCCTCCCTCCACAGATTCGGGGATCAATGCAGCACGGATTTTACAGCACTGTATTTGTACCGAGTGGTACCTTCCATTTTCCATCAGGCAAACCATTCACCTGTTTGGAATCCCTCCAACAGACCCACATTTTGTGGCCTTCGGATTCCTTCTTCCCTGGTGATTCCGATTCTCCACCTTGGTAGGCTGCTACGGCTTCAAGCTCCTCCAACTATTATTTCCTTCTTTTCGATCCAGCCATGGCTTCCGCAATGACGCTCCGGTTCTCGGTTCAGAGCAGCGAGTTGCTAGGCAAGAGCCTGGTGCAGGCTTCCAGTCTGAAGCCTAAGGTATTGCATACTAACCTCATGATCCCGTTCCGTTTTCACTTATCTGATGTCATTTTCTTACTCCGTCCGTCTGTGTTATTGTTTCTGCCTGCGGTTTCCTCTGACAGAGCACAGCCAAGTGCAGCTCTCGCTCTCAAACCGGTCCCCGCCTCGTCGCTAAAGCCATGGCTTCTGGTGAGTGATTGACCACAAACTTTCTCGTTTTGCCCTTTCACAGAAGCATTTTTATGTCGTTTTCCTTTTAATGAAAGATCAGTTTGTCGGTAAAAAAATGCAACAAAGGAATTTAAAAACATTTATTGGCCTGAACATCCATTCTGTATCAAGAGACGCAGCCAGCCACCTTAGCATAATAACCCTCTAGCGTACAATGCATTCATAAGATCTCCTTATTGTTCATTCCCCTTCACACCAGCTGCTGAAACAGCGACCAAGTCAGAGGGTGGTCTCCGCGGCAACCTCAAGAAGGTCGTGCTCGCCTACAGCGGCGGGCTCGACACGTCCGTGATCGTGCCATGGCTGCGCGAGAACTACGGCTGCGAGGTGGTCTGCTTCTGCGCGGACGTGGGTCAGGGCGTGGGCGAGACCGATGGACTGGAGGCCAAGGCCAAGGCGAGCGGCGCTAGCCAGCTGTTCATTGGAGATCTCAAGGAGGAGTTTGTACGCGATTATGTCTTCCCCTGCATTCGCGCTGGTGCGGTGTACGAGCGCAAGTACCTGCTCGGGACGTCTATGGCTCGCCCTGTCATCGCCAAGGTGAGCTCTTTTTCTGCATTGTGTCTCCATCGAAGCCTCACACGATCTTCCGTTCAGGGACTCCGCTTCTGTCCCTCCGTCTTCTGGCGATTACATGAGGCTTTCAACATGTCAGGGCTGAGCTCTTCTCACGATCTGCTCGCCCAATCGAACCCTGAAATTTTGCATGATCGCTCTTCAATCATAACTTCATCCATGCATTCCTGATCCATCGCTTGCCACCAACCTGTGGCCCGTGATCGGCCGTCGATCACGGCCAACTCGAATTCCTAGCAACCAATGCACTTTCTGAACTCCAATCTTATCATCCTTCTTTCCCCTTTCCCCACCCTCCCCGCACCTCCCATGCCCCTTCTCTCGTCCTGTCAGGCGATGGTCGACGTGGCGAAGCAGGTGGGCGCGGACGCCGTGTCGCACGGGTGCACGGGGAAGGGCAACGACCAGGTCCGCTTCGAGCTCACCTTCTTCTCGCTCGACCCCAAGCTGCAAGTCGTCGCGCCGTGGCGCGAGTGGGACATCCGCGGCCGCGAGGACGCCATCGAATACGCCAAGAAGCACAACGTGCCCGTTCCCGTTACGAAGAAATCCATCTACAGCCGCGACCGCAACCTGTGGCACATCAGCCACGAGGTACGAGAACTGCATCTGACAATCCCTTCCTTGCTAACATTCATCTCCCTCCCTATGGTCTTCACGTCGGCATTCATTAGGACGAAGGGACAGGAATACGCAATTCGGTGCTGATGTGCTTCAGTCACCAGGATTGCCATTTAGCCTGAATATGATTTTTGTCAGCACTGCCACCCCTTGATTTCCCCAGGACTGCTGCCCCTTGCCTTCCCAGTCCGCCTCGCCTCCCCCTCTCCTGCCGCCATGAACACATTGTTACTCATCCTGCCCAACTCCAACCCTCCACCCTCTCTTCTCCGTTCAGAATGTCATCTCCCCTCAAAAGCGTCTCCTCGTTTCCCACCTGCCTCCTCTCTCTCCCCATTTCACCAGGGCGACATCCTGGAGGACCCGGCAAACGAGCCTGCCAAGGACATGTACGTGATCTCAGTGGACCCCGAGGACGCCCCCAACACGGCCGAGTACGTCGAGATCGGCATTGAGAAGGGCATCCCCGTCTCCATCAACGGCCAGACGCTCTCCCCCGCCAACCTCCTCGCAGCAGCCAATGAGATCGGCGCGCGCCACGGCGTCGGCCGCATTGACATGGTTGAGAATCGCCTTGTCGGGATGAAGTCCCGCGGCGTGTATGAAACCCCCGGAGGGACCATTCTTGTGAATGCGTGCCGGGAGCTGGAGGCGCTGGTTCTCGACAGGGAGACCATGCAGACCAAGGATCAGCTGGCTCTGAAATACGCCGAGCTTGTGTATGCTGGTCGGTGGTTCGACCCCCTGAGGGAGGCCATGGATGCGTTCATGGTGTCTGTGAGCGAGAAGGTGACTGGGTCCGTGAAGCTCAAGTGCTACAAGGGGTCGGTGAATGTGGCGTCGCGTGTGTCGCCGTTTTCGCTCTACCGGGAGGATATCTCATCCTTTGAGGAGGGCAGCGGGGTGTACAACCAGGCTGATGCTGCAGGGTTCATCCGCCTGTATGGGCTGCCTACCCGCGTGCGCGCCATGCAGGAGCAAGGGTTGTGAGGACAGAGTAGCGGGTGCAATCACTGGTGCATGGAGTGGAAGGATCGAAGGCTGGAAATATCAGGGGTCTATTGTAATATGTTCTTCCATGGCCGTAGAGGACAACCGATTTGCATGAAAACAATGTAGTTAATATAAATGTGAACAGCCTTGCGTGCAAGGCCGCGTATCCTTGGGTGAAAATTGTCCAAGTTAGAACTCTGAGCGCTTCGAATAGTGACGGCACATCTGTCAACTGTACAACCTCTCGAGGTCTAACTTTGGCCGTGTTCATGCAAATTTGGCACACGTTACTGCTCTTCATTTCATACGTTGACTATAGTTGTATCACAAATAACACTGAGTCGTCTCATCTTAGTGCGCTGGCACTTATATCGAACCGCAGAGATCCAGCAAATCAGAGATTCTGGTGCTGTTGCCAGTTCGCATGTTGCAACAATGGATGGTTGCTCAGGAACGGTGGGATTACGTTCGGAATCTCAAATCCCCGTGAAGAAATCGTGTCAGTCGTACAGCTGGTTGCGCACCTTGTGGTCCGTGTCAAATCATTATTTTCAGCCTTGCCAAACACGTCAGACTAGGTACGATTACAGTTCATCCCACAAGACCTGGTTGATTCGGTCTTGGTTTGGTAGGCAGGATTCACTTGTCCACCATGAAACGCGCTCTGCCATGTGCCGACCTGAGTTCTGCTGTACAGCTGTACTCCCGAAACCAGCTGAACTGGTTCTGTACAGTCGGCTGACACCAGACGCGTTTCATTTGGCCGTCATCGTGCTGGCATGACCTGCTCGTTCGGCAGCTTTAGCTGGCATCGACGTGACACCCAGCTGGAGACTGGTGCACTGTATCCCAATTCCCGAAACAGGCTCAGCGATTCCGCTTTCCAGGTTCATGTCATGTTCGATTTTGCCAACGGAAAATCTGCACGACTTTGATGCAGGTTGCAGTGCCTCTTTGATAGAGGCAGCTGTACCGGAGAATATATGTATTTCTAAGGAGAAAAAATCACCAATACTTATGCTTTTTTGGCCACATTTGTTTTTCTAGACGGTGGAAACGTGATGGGGGAGTGTGAATTCTTTCATCTTTCCCGAAATCTTCATGCCAAGGCAATAAACATTGGTACAGTCTCGTACATGTTCTTAACCGTCCATAAACGTTAGTGAAATCATAAACGTTAGCAATCGGGGAAACAAAGAGTATCCTTTTATCCCTTTCAATCACCATTCAGTGCAACTACAGTAGCGACGTACGGTGTGAGTGGAGAAACAAATCTACATGTGAAAGCCATAAATTTGTTAAAAGGCACATGGTACACCACATCCTATCCAGCCTTCATTGATGCTCACCACAACATCCCATCATTCTCTTCCATACTAAAGAATATATTCCTCAGAAGCTGGGGTAGGAGCAGGGCCAGGAGCAGGAGCAGCGGAAGGGACACCAGCCAGAGGAGGAGGCTCCCTCCCCGGACCAGCAGGTGCGGGACGCCCTCCAATGGTTCGGGGAGGCTGCCGACCAATGGCCTGCAGACTGAGGTTGAACCGCATGATCACCTCATCAGGGAAATTGGGCCCAGGAGGAGGAGGGCCTGGTTCCACTCCTAGGGCAACAACCATTGCACTGGAAAGGCCAGAGAGGCGGGGAAAGGGGTAGGTTGCAGGAGTAAAAAGAGAAGAAGAAAGCAGGGGAAACGGGGAAAGCATGGAGCATGGCAAGTGGGGGGGTGGTGCGTTGCTCCCATGTGGCGGAAAGCCCCTGCGGCCTTGAAAGAGAGGAGGATGCGAGCAAAGGAGGCATTGATGCCGGGACCGGGAGGAGGGGATCCCCGAGGAGGAGGAGCAATGGCTGCGAACATGACACTGCAAGGGGCGGTGGGTCGGGAAGGTTGTGTTGCAAGGTGATGGAGCATGGGGTGTTGGTGGGGGTGGGGTGGGGGGCAGAGCAAATGTGCAGACATGCATTAGATGACAATTTAGTAGAATGTAAGTGAACACATAAAAACTAACAGTACTTGCTGGAGCTTACCGGAGTGGAATGTCAAGCTCGCCTCCAGAAATGAGCTCAAAGACAGGGCCCTGTAAGAAATCAGCAGAACAAAAGGACTCAGCCTATCATATGGTACCACTTATCGTGAAATTGAAGAACTATCATGGAAGACGTGGTTGGGGGGAGTTGGGAGGGGAGGAGGGTTTAGAAAAGGGGACAGCAAGCATAGTACCTACCCTTCGGATGAATTTCCCATTCAGTGTTGGGATGTTTCCTGCAGGCAGAGTAATCACCACATTTTGCTTGTCCACGTCAGATCGCAGCAGCGTGCCAGTCACGCGGGAGAAGACCAGCCTCGTGTTGTTGGGCTTGAAGGAATAGTCGCTCGTTGTGTTGTCTATGTTGAAAGAACCCCCCCAGATCTGCACGACGGGATCCTGGAAGGTCAGGTTTGCGAACTCGTTGGCGCCTGAAGGCGGAGATATGGAAGCTGTCCACGTGGCAGGATCTGACGTCAGATTGGAGGACAGCCACTCAGCCTGCACAGCCATTTAGGAGGAAAGGCATGAAATATCACAAGACATAAAAAAAGGAAAAACCAAACAGTGCACGCAACCATTTACCCCGAGAGATCTCAAATCTTGCCAAACACTCACCTGGATGGGCGTGGATTCCGGCCGGACGGCCTTAAGCACGTTGATAACGACAGGCCCCACCAGCTTGAACTGCCCCGGACTGCTCTCCTTGCGCATCGATGGCGGGCCCTGCAGGGACCACGACGACACGGAATTCTCAGGAATAGTCTTCAGATCCACTATGCCGCGCTGCTGCGGCTGCGCGCCGACGAGTGCGGCGAGTGAGGCGAGCGTCGCGAGGAGGGAGAGAGAGACGAGGATGCGGAGGAAAGGGTGGGAGGCGTGGAGCGCCATGGGTGCAGGCGGGGTTACAGGGTAGATGAGAGCGCAGTGTCAATAGGAAGAGTCTCCAACGGAGGAGAGGAAGACGGGGTCAGGCAGGAGACGGAGGGCTCCTAGTCGGAGCAGGAGACGGCAAACCCGGCTGCTTCTGCGCTGAAAGAGAAGTTGAACACTCCAGAGGCAGGCAGATGCTGCTGAATCTCGTCTAAGAGTGCGCTTAAAATCTAACAAAAAAGGACGGCTTCGTTTCTCGTGCGAGGATAGGCGACGAGAGAGCGGCGCCATCGCGTTGTTCGCGAAGTACTCGTCGAAATGGCCCACATCGCATGCCATGGTGGGTCGAGGTAACGCGGGTGAAATGAACGGATCTACGAGGCGCATGCAGCGTAATTCGGGGGTGAGCTATCGTTGCCAGTTTTACTTGTCCAGAGCGGATATGTCCTTAGGCCTCGAAATGAAACAGCTGGTAGTTCAACCACTATGAACCTCGCCGTGTAGATCCCTACCATGCACCTAGCTTGTCCATTCTATGATGTGAAGCGACACGACGGAATGCTGACATTCCAGCCGCTGCTGCGGCAAAACGAGATGTCTGTTCCAGACGCATCGACATGGATGTTGGATGCCTCTTGGTGCCGCTGTGCTGTCCTGTGATAGATTTGACAACATTGTTGGGAATTCCCACAGCTGGAAGAAACCGTGCTCTAGGGGGTTGATGGTTTGGAGGAAGGGATGCGCAGAAAGAAATATTTTCCTGTCTGCCCTGATGTTTGGAACTGTTTGTTACATTCGGAAATCGAAATGGTGTACACGAAGAGAAATGTCGTGAAAGGGATGCCCAGTCGTTGTTTGATAGACCGCCTGGCCTGACTGGAAATGTCCCTAATAAATTTATTCAGGGTGAAGAAGAACCCTATGACCCCCTCCTCCAGCTGTTTCTGAATCCCAAAAAGAGGGAATTTCTCGGCTGGCATTGGAATTGTCATGCATCGAAATTCAGAAATTCCTCGCAGCTGAAATGTTTCATGCCAGCCATGGAATCGCTATGGCGACTGTTCAGGAAGATCGGACTTGGAGAGATGTCCGTGTGGTGCGCTACTACAGCCTTTCCGAGGTTCGTCGTTGACGATGGCGGGATGAGCTGTAGTTTGCGAACCGGGTCGCGGAGCGCCTGATGGGTATACGGAGTTGTTCCGATTCGCGAAGCATTTATTTTCCACGTAAGCTCGGAGTTGAAAATAGCATTTGCGGGTACTAATTTCGGAAGAGTCGATCCCTTTGGTCCCTCGGATTTCCTGGATTTTTGTTAGTTTCTGTCCGCTCTCACGGCTGCTCCAGCTCTCGGCTTCCCTCGTGCTGTTTACGGCACTAGTGCTCTCCGCAATCTTCCGTCCTCCCGAGCTTCTCTCTTCTCACCATTCCAGTTGCTTGCTAAGAGTCATCCATGGCAATGGCTGCTCCTGGAAACTCCCGTTACTCCTCCAGGGCTTTCACCCCCGCTCTCCGACCTCTTTCTCTCTCCCTCTCACTCTCCTTCCTCCTCTCGCTCGTTCTTGCTCTCCTTGGCGAGACGTCAGCACAGACGGGAGCAGTTCCGCTCACCATCATTCCTCAAAACTCTGTGTCCACATGGTCCATTCAGAAGCTGCCAGGTGTCACGGCGAACACGTCACCGCTTTCGTTCCAAGAGAAGGGCCCTGTGCTGCTCAACATCTCGCAGGCGGATAGCAAGACGTTCCAACCCACCGAGGTAATTCAAGTTAAATGTAACGGTTAAGTGCAGGTGACCCTGTTGCTCTCAACCTCTGAGCCTGATAGCCCATCGTAGTAAACCGCTGAGTGATGTTTATTTGTTTCCCCCAGCCTCCACCCACTTGACCACCACCTCTTGTGTGTTTCCTCTCCTCCAAACGTTTTATCACTCTCGCATTTGACCCCCTCCTATTGTCTGTTGGGCTGCAACTCACATTTGAGTGAGTTTCGGTTTCATGCCTACCTCGTTTTCGTTTGCACAGGTGGTTTGGACGTCGTCCAACATCAGCACTGATCCTTCCACGTGGACAGCTGAGCTGTCGTCAGCAGTGAGCCGATCCAGCATCGCCAATCTGACCATGCAGAACCCCCAGATGTGGATCTACGGTGGGGATCAATTCTCCAACCCTTTAGCCTGATGCCTTGCTTCCTCATTTAAACTCCCTGATTCCTCTTGTTGTCCGAGGTTCCCGTCGCACTTGTGTGGGGTCTCAAATGTGAGATTTTGTTCCTCTAAATGCGTTTTCTACAGGGGGCAAGTTCGATGTGAAGAATCTCAACTACTCCTTCAAGCCGGACAACGCAGTGCTTCTGGTGCAGAGCCTCACAGGCACACTGCTGGGCACCAATGTGAACAGCCAGAACCTGCAAGTGCCCATTGAGTCCGACAACATCCCCACCCTCAGTGGCCAGCTCATCGCCCGGGTAAGAACGTTTTGTGGTGTGTTCTAGTGAAGGCTTCATTATGCTGGGTGCCATGTACGATTTTACCAGTGTACGTGTTCAGAGGTGCACCCTATTGCACTCCGGCAGTTGGTTCAGATTACCTGTCTTGTCCGTTTTCCTGGCTGGTGTGTTTCAGGGGCCGCAATACGAGCTGCTGTCAAATGGAGTCTTCGAAGTCCCCCTCAGGTACGCCTGCCTCCCATTTGATTAGATGCATACATTGATTCAAACGGGTGCCTGCATTCCACTCAGGTACACATACCTATCCGATTAGATGCACTAGGGCAATCACATGGACGCCTGCATTCCCCTCATCCTACAGCAGGCCAGACTCTTCCAAAATTTTGCCATTTATCATCCACCATAAATTTCGCGTATTGACCATCCAATCTTGATCATCTATGTTGGATCATCCACCACCGTTCACTGTTCATTTAAAATACACCCTACGCCGTGCCTCTCATTCGCAGCGGTCTCATCACAGCAGCGGGCGGTGGGGAGCAGGCAGGGGGGCTGGTGGGAGACAGCTTCCTGCAGCTCAACATGACCATCCAGGCCATCGGCCCGCCTGGCCGTGGGCCTCGCCCTCCCTTCCGTGCCCCCCCTCGTGCACCACGCCGTCTGAGATAAGGCGCAGCTTTCAAGATGTCTATTCCCTGTTTTTCCCCACTCCTGTGCCAAGGCGACTAAAGATCAGGTTTGGCTCAGCTTGGGTAGTAGACTGTGTTCATTGTGCCAAAAGCATACAATGCATGGAAATGTGGATGTACCGTAGCTGAATGGCATTTGAGGTGTGCTTTTGTGTTCTGGAAGAATTTTGATGCTAAAAAGGGGTAGCACTTACAAAACAGGAGAATCCTGTCAGAAAATGTACAGAAAAGATACCAGGTACACTGGGTCAAGGAAAAAGGTACATCTCATAGCCTTCTCATCTCAAGCTAGCTGGTAGTTACAATATCCAACGGCTCTTTTGATGAAGAATGCCTAGTGTTCTGCTGTAATAGCAACAGCAGCACCATTCCATTACCATCAACAGCTCCTTCCAGGTGTAAGGAATTGAAAATTTCCTTACGTTGCACCTACTAGCTCCAGCGCGTACAATACTGTGAACTGGACCTCGACCGTCCTTCGCCCGTTACCAACCGCCAGTGTTCGTTACACCGCGCGCTACCTTTCACGAAACCTTGCATAGCTATTTATTGTTCGCTGATGCACACGCCCTTCAATTGCACGCGGAACACTCCTCCAGCTGTTTCTGAAGCCAGGAAAGGTGGAATTTCTCAGCTGGCATTGGGATTGTCATGCATCGAAATTCAGAAACTCCTGGCAGCTTTGTTATCTCATTCCAGCCATGAAATCGTTATGGCGAGTGTTCAGGGAAATCGGACGTGGAGAAATGTCCGTGTGTTGCGCTACTACAGCCTTTCCGAGGTTCGACGTCGACGATGGCGGCCTGAGCTGTAGTTTCAGAACCAGGTCGCGGAGCACCTGATGGACATTCTGAATTCTTCCGATTCGCGAAACATCAATGTTGCCAGGTAAGCTCGGATGTGGAAATAACATCTGCGAATATTAATGTCGCAAGCGTCGAACCCTTCAGTCTCTCAGTTTTTTTGTCCAGCTTGTTAGTTTCTGTCCGTTCTCACGGTTGAGAGAGACCTAGCATTGTTCAGGTCTTGTCAGCTCTCGGCTGAGGCTTCCCCTCCACTGTCTACCGCGCTTAGTGCCTCGACGCATCTTCGCATCTTCAGTCCTCCTGAACTCCCTCTCTCTCTCTCTCTTTCTGAGCATTCCAGTTGCTTGCTAAGAGTGATCCATGGCAATGGCTGGTGCTATTAGAAACTCCCGTTCCTCCTCCAGGGTTTTCATCCCCGCTCTCCGACCTCTTTCTCTATCCCTCTCCCTCTCGCTCCTCTTCTCGCTCGTTCTTTCCCTCCTTGGCGGGACGTCAGCACAGACGGGAGCGGTGCCTCTGACCATCATCCCTCAGAACTCTGTGTCCACGTGGTCCATTCAGAAGCTGCCAGGTATTACGGCGAACACGTCACCGCCTTCGTTCCGTGAGCTGGGCCCTATGCTGCTCAACATCTCGCAGGTCGATAGCAAGACGTTCCAGCAAACCGAGGTCAGTCGGTTTATCAGTAAAGGATTAGAGCAGATGACACAATGCTCTCAACAGCTCTCAGGCTGATAGCATTAAGATCTGAACCTCGGGGTTAAGTCGAGCTGATGGGGGGAAGGTTGGTGATGAAATTGCCATCAACCTCCCTCCTCCAACCTTCAACTGCGTCTTTTTCCAGTATGTCTCCAAGTCCAAATCTTGTGACACTTGGCCCCATCCGAGTTACTGTGACTTCTGGCCCCATCCCTTTGTTTTGGCTTCCACAGGTGGTTTGGGCATCGTCCAACATTAGCACTGACCCTGCCACGTGGACTGCTGAGCTGTCGTCAGCAGTGACCCGATCCAGCATCGCCAATCTGACCATGCAAAACCCCCAGATGTGGATCTACGGTGGGGATCAAATCAATCCCCCAGCCCCCCTTCTGCTTGATGCCTCACACTACCACCTTCATGCCTCTGGTCATCCATTCTCCATCCTTCATGGATGGCCTTAGGCTTGCCAGCATGCACAGCATCGTGCTTGCATGCGGTCTCAATGTGAATTTTCTTCTCCCATGCTGGGGGACAAGCATGCTGCTGGGCACCTGTGATCTTCCTCTGATATGAACGCCTTTTGTTCTGCCGTTGTTCTTCCTTCTGTGTGTTCCTACAGGAGGCAAGTTCGATGTGAAGAATCTCAACTACTCCTTCAAGCCGGACAACGCAGTGCTGCTGGTGCAGAGCCTCACAGGCACGCTGCTGGGCACCAACGTGAACAGCCAGAACCTGCAAGTGCCTATAGACTCTGATGACATCCCCACTCTCAGTGGCCAGCTTATTTCCCGGGTAAGGACGATTCGCTATCCGTTATTATGCACAATTCATTCTGCCACTGCACTAGTATGTGTCATTTATCTATCAGTAGTGTGCTCTGTTGCACTCTTGCTGTTAGTTCAATATATCTTTCATCCTGTTTTCTGGTGTGTACCAGGGTCCACTATTCGAACTGCTGTCAAGTGGTGTCTTCGAAGTTCCTCTCAGGTACACACACCTTCCAACTAGTTATTCCTCCCGCCATTGATCATCCTTCATTCATCATCGCACGTTTATCGTTGTAACATCGATCCAATCTATGCTGTTTCTTTCTGCAGTGGTCTGATCACAGCAGCGGGAGGCGGGGAGCAAGCGGGGGCACTGGTGGGAGACAGCTTCCTGCAGCTCAACATGACCATCCAGGCCATCGGCCCGCCTGGCCGTGGGCCGCCCCCTCCCTTCCGTGCCCCCCCTCGTGCGCCGCGCCGCCTGAGATGAGGCGTTGCTATTGGCTACAGATAAATAGATGTGCCTTGTGTGAAGCACATGTGATGTGATGTACCCTGGTGTGAATGTATACGCATGATCTTTGAGATGTACCGTACCGGAAGTGTATTCTGAATGCAGAGAGAGGGCACCCCTTGCTTAGCAACAGAGTAACCCTGATATGGAACTACAGTAGAGGAACTGGGTACAAGCATGGCAGCAGAATACGGTGATGTTTTCTGTGGTGCTACAAAGTGGAACAACAAATATGTACATCTTACAGCCTTCTCATCTCCAGCTCGCTGGTAGTTACAATGTCCAACGGTTCCTTTGACCCTGAATACCTCCTGTGCTCTAAAACCCCATCTGTGTCTGCTGCAATAACAACAGTACCACTACCACCTACATCTCCTTCCAAAGCCTCATCTACACCAGGAGAACCAATACAGCCCTTGGTGGCACCATCGGCATCAACAGCAGCATCACCATCAGCCACATCAGCATGAGCAGTAGTTGCAGTCACACCCTCACCATCCTCAGCACCACCAGCCGCCTTTTTTCTTTTGGCCCGCTTATCGTACCGGTACTTGAGTACAGTGAGGGTTACCATGAAAACGATTTCGATTATAAGGGGGATGGCCACGGGCCAGAGCTTGTATGCCACGCCGTATATGCTGATTCCGATGAGACCCAGTAGGTAACATGCTTGCCTGGCGGGACAGGTGGAAGCAGTTGAGCAGAGAAGGGAGAGGTGAGGGGGAGTGAGGGTCATGGGAGGGACGAGGGGAAAGAAGAGGAAGAGAGGCACGATCAGATTGAGCAGAAGAAGGAAAGAGGCGGGGGAATGGAGGAAGAAGGGGCGGAAACAGGGTGGAGAGAGGAAGAGGGAGGGAAGGGAGAAGATTGGGAAGAGTATCAGGAAGACGGGGGGTTGAGGGGTGAGGAGGCGTGATGAAAGGGTCGCGGTCTGTGCATGGTCACAGACGCGAGCGGAAATTGGGGGCACGGAAGAGAGAGTAGTAATAAAACCGAGCACGAATTCTCAGAAGAATTCATGTCGAATTTACCACAATAAGCGCCCTCAAACGATCGCCTACGAAAATGGTGAAACGATGACGGGATTGATGCCAATTCTGACCAGAAATAGCTGAGGTCTTTGGCGGACTTGGTACGGTACGTCTTGATCAGCTGCGGCAGGATTGACACGCAGAAGATGATACCGCCGATGAAACCGCACGCCGAGTACGGATTGGAAAACGACGCTTCTAACGAGGCCTCTTCGGTCGCGACCATAGCAGGCACAGGGGAGTGACAAGAACGAAAGCACTGTGGCTGTCGAAATTATGGGCCGCTGTGTGCTGAGTTGTGAGGGGGAACAGGGAATGGGGGGAGGGGGAACAGGGAATGGTCACTGAAGGCAATTTTGAAGTGTTTCGTTATGGGCGCTTTCAACAAGTGCACAATGGATTTCTGAGGCTGAAGATCGCACCATCCATAAAACATGTCGAATACTAGGTTTCTATGTTTCTTGTCAGAAGGGTTTGTTTCTGGTGTTCTCTCTTTCTGTGGGCAAAACTACTTATCCGCTATTAATAATTTCATTCATCAAAGCAGCCGCACAGACGGAGCCTAACGTTACATAGCCTACTGTGTCAATAACGGAGCAGATGGCAATTTGCGCCCCTTCCCCCTACCCTAACGAAATTTGTGCCCCTCCTCGAATTCGGAGGCGGATATTCGCGCCTCTCCGCATTCGTCACTGCCCCAGCCCCATCCCATCCCAAACCGTTGGAAAACCGACCCCAATCCATTCATAAGCCCTCGTTTCAACCCGCCCATTTCAGCCATTCCCCATGCTCACAGGCCTTCATTTCAGCCCTCCATTCCAGTCCAGTCCTTCATTTCCCTGCATTTCCTACATGCATGCCTTTCCGTCCGCATGCCGCGCCACCATGCTCGCTGTTTCGCGGCCTCGCGTCGCGACGACTCACCTCGTCACCCAACAGGCTCGCTCCGCCCCTTGCCTTTCCTCAGGGATCGAGAGTCGAAATGTCCCGTCCATCATCCATCGTCCATCGTGCCCGACGGACCGCCACGCGGAAACGCGAACCCGGTTTCCGCCGCGTCAAATTCACGTGCCCCACCTCCGCGCGTTCACGCCGACCGCCTTCCGCGCCCGTGCACGTTTCCCTGCGCCTTTTGCGGTTTCCTCACCCGCTTGCGGCGCTCAGACGTCGTTTCCGTTCCCCCTGCTTGCGGATTCGCAACTCCTAGAAGCGCGTCTCTCCGTTCCCCCTGCGAGGATTCGCATCTTGCATTGCGCGTCTCACGTCTCATCTCATCCAGTCTCCCCCCGTCGCCCCTATCTCTAGCGCCAGGCTGTCTGCCAGACAGTGCTGCGCCGCGACGTGCCATTGCGCCCTTCCGCCTTGCGGAGAACTCTTACTACTAGCGGAACCGCTGAGAGCGTCCTCCTTACCGCGAAACACCGCCGCCTCTTCCATCTTCACCCCGGCCCACGCTCGCGACGTGCAATTTGGCTTTCCACTTGACTCAAAAGTCGCCTGCAAGACCTTCGATTGCGCAAACCTTTGGCCGTGAGTGCCGAGGGACCCGAGAGTCGTGCCGTTCGACTGATGAGGCGGACAGCTTCCGTCGCGGATTCGTTAATGTTCCGTCACCGGTGGTGATTCGGAGCGATTGGCTGACGAGCAGGTCGTGCTGCGCGGAGCCTACTGCTGGCGGAGTTGAGAGGCCGAATGCGTGCCGCCTGCCCTGGCTGGTTGCAGCCGATGAAGCAGAACGCGCCGGGAGCTTTTAAAGACGTAGTTATTACACTTGCTGTTCGTCCTATTCCTGCCAGTACACCCGCTTCTCCTGATTCCCGGTTTTCAAATTTGTATCTTCAACAGACGTGATCTGCCAATCCTCGCTCGTCGTGCTCACGCCCCTGTTACGCTCATTCCAACCTCAAATCGCCTCCTCGTCTCCACTCGTCACCCCGAACTCGCCTAAATTCGCTGAACGGTTGTTTGGCTCCTGCAAGCATCAGTTGCTGTTCCAGTCCGTACGACACGGTGTTGACACAGGGTAAAAAGGGGTTGTTGAAACCCTGTGTTGACACTGCTGAGCTGTAACTCCGTGTTGAAACTCAGAGTGGAATCCCCGAGTTGAAACGCCTGAGGAGTCTGCCGGTGAATGGTCACACCTTGCATTGGCGCGCTTTGCCCCCAGGCTGGCCCCACTGCTGCTGCCCACGGACCTGCTTGTAGCGAGTCGGTTCCTAGCGGGTTCGGTGAGGATAAAACTGCGCATGGCACTGAAAGATCGGGAGTGTGTGGGTATAAGCGTGCAAACGTGCAGGCGGATGGGGGGCATGAGCACCAGCAAGCGCGTCAGCTTGTGGCGAGTACAAAGTGTACCTGTGGGCATGAGCTTGTGCGTTGCTGCAAGCTTGTTGCAGGGACGCAGAGCGCTGAAGGTGTGGGCACAAAGGAAGAGGGCACAACCGGGGAGGGCGCAAAAAACGGGGGCTGCTGCAGCTGTGGGGTACAGGCGGATGTGTTGGCGGAGCTACTGGGGGGAGGCGTGGGAAAAGTGAGCGCAGGGGAAGGAGGGGAGGCGGGCGAGAAAGAGAAAGGGGAAAGCGAATCGGGAAGGGGCATGGGGAATGCGGTCAGTGTGACTTGTGGGATTGGGGGAGGGGGTATTTTTACAGGGGTTGGGGGGAAGGGGAATGTGCTTGGGAAGGACGAGAAGAGGGTGGGTGAGGATGGGAGAGAGGGAGGGATTTTCGCTGCTGTAGCAGCACCACAATTTGCAGCAGCAGCAGCAGCAGCAGCAGCAGCTGTAGCAGTGAAACCAGCAGCAGCGGCAGCAACAGCTATAGCAGTAAAACCAGCAGCCGCAGCAGCAACAGCACCACCAGTGGCAGAAGAAACAGCTGTGGCGGTAAAACCAGCAGGGGCAGCAACATCTGTAGCAGCAACAACAGCAGGAGCAGGGGCAGCAGCAGGTGCGGCAGCAGCAGGGCCAGTGCGTGTGGTGACAGCAGGAGTTGGAGAGGAAGGCATTGGGGGACTGTGGCAGGGCTGGGATGGTGATGGGCAGGGGGGCGCAGAGGGAAGGGGGGACGGAGAGGGGAAGGGGGGCAGCGAGGTGAAGGGGCGGGACGTGGGAAAAGGGGGCGGAGAAGGGAAGGGGGGCGCAGAGGGGAAGGGAGGCGGAGTGCACGAGAGGGTGGAGAGTCCGAGGGAGGAGGTGAAGAGGAGGGAGGTGCGATGGAAGGGCAGGGGCGTGGGCGTGGGAGGGATGAGCGCTGGGAGCAGGGTGAGGAGCGGTGAGGGGAGTGAGGGGAGGAGTGTGGGCCTGAACTTGTATGAAAGGGCAACAGCTGCTGACTTTGTCAACAGGAAGCAGATTGGTTCTGGACGGTCAGTATGGGGGATGGCGGGGGGTGGGGGGAGGGAGGAAGAGGGGGGGAGGAAGGGAGGGAGGGAGGAAGTGCTGGAGAGGGAGGAATGGGGGGGAGGGAAAGATTAGGGGGTAGGGAGGTCAAAGCGCAATCTTTCTCTCTTCGGAACTGGTCTTGAATGGTCTGATCCGTACTACCCTTTTCACACTCCCTCCCCACAGCAACGCAGTGGTGTATGCTGCTGCCTCGTGCGCTATAACGGGGCGCAAGGTGGCTGTAAAGGCGTACGTCAAGTCTGCTTCCCCTATTCTGAGACGCCCATGCCATTCCCCCTCCCCATCTTCCCTCTCCCCCTTCCCAGGAACGCAGTGGTGTATGCAGCCTCATGCGCTATAACGGGTCACAAGGTGGCTGTTAAGGCGTATGTCAAGTCTTCTCTAAGTGCTCTGGACAGGCACAGGATCAACCGGGAGGTGGCACTGCTGATGACTCTTAAGTAAGAGCCGTTGGTGTTGGTGCTTGGGTAAGTAAGAGGAGCTCCTAAGGTCCAATGTTTGTCTCAATTTCAAGTTGACCACACTCAGTCACTCACTCACTCACTCGCTCACTCTCTCCCTCCCTCCCTCACTCACTCATAGCATCCTTCCCCCACGTCTCCATCCATCCCCACCCTCCCATACAGTCTCGAGCACATCATCCAGTGGCTGGGTCACTTTGAAGACCCCCAGTGCGTGTACATCGTGCAGGAGTGGGTGTCAGGGGGCGACCTGTTTGCACCGATCTCCACCCACTCCAACTCCATGCCTCATCCCTTTTTAATGCACCCGTTTGCTCCCTTGCCTGCAGTCACGAGCACATAATCCAGTGGCTGGGTCACTTCGAGGACCCCCAGTGCGTGTACCTAGTGCAGGAGTGGGCGTCAGGGGGGGACTTGTTCGAGGAGCTGAGGGCGAGCGGCGGGCACATGGGCGAGGCGCGCATTGCCAAGCACATCCTGCTGCCGCTGCTGTCCGCCCTGCACCACATGCACACCAAAGGGGTGGTTCACCGGGACCTGAAACCGGAGAACCTACTGTTGACATTCCACGGTACTCTCAAGGTGAGAAGGTGAAGGGGCTAACTTGGGATCTCCCTGGTAGATGAACGGCGAGGGAGACGGATGAAAACGCTGCAGTGCATGGCGCCTGAGGTGGTTTGGTGCATGGCGCCTGAGGTGGTTTGGTGCATGAGGTGGTTTGGTGCATGAGGTGGTTTGGCGCCTGAGGTGGTTTGGCGCCTGAGGTGGTTTGGCGCCTGAGGTGGTTTGGCGCCTGAGGTGGTTTGGTGCATGTGGCACAACCATGCCACTCCCTCCTGCTCTTCCCCCTTTCCCCCCACTCCTCCCCCCGTCACACAGGTGTGTGACTTCGGCCTGGCCATTAATATGAAGGAGGAGCGCCCTGCCAGCCGCCTGGGCACACTGCAGTACATGGCGCCCGAGGTGGTTTGGTGCGCATGGCACAGCCATTCCACTCCACTCCCTCCTGCTCTTCCCCATTCCCCTCCCCCTGGCACTTCTCACAGGTGTGTGACTTCGGCCTGGCCATCAACATGCGTGAGGAGCGCCCTGCCAGCCGCCTGGGCACTCTGCAGTACATGGCGCCCGAGGTGGTGCGCATGGCACGGGGGGTGTCTGCCATCCCCTTTTCCCCCCCAACAATCCCCCTCCCGGCCCCATCTCCCGTGTGGCACAGGTGTGTGACTTCGGCCTGGCCATCAATATGAAGGAGGAGCGCCCTGCCAGCCGCCTGGGCACGCTGCAGTACATGGCGCCCGAGGTGGTGCGCATGGCACGGGGAGGGCAGCGCGGGCGAGGGGGGCAGGGGGGGAGGGGCAAGGGGGAGGAGAAGAGAGGCGGGGCGGAGACACCAAAGGGGACGGCAGCAGCAGGGCAGGGGCAGGTGGTGGATGGCGCGGGTGCTGTTAGTGGTACGGAGGGTAAAACTGGCGCCTCTTCAATGCTTGAAGGGGCGTACGATGAGAAGGTGGACATTTGGTGAGTGCGGCTGAGAGGGATTGTTGCCCGCTGTGCTTCCTCGCCCTCTGTGGATCGTGCACGGGGATCTTTATCATTGCCTTTGCCCAATCCTTGTGTACCACGTGCTTATCACGTGCTTATCACGTGCTTATCACGTGCTTATCACGTGCTTATCACGTGCTTATCACGTGCTTATCACGTGCTTACCATGTGCGTACAGCGTGCTTGCCGCATGCTTATTGCACATTTCGTTTTGCCCCATCATCCACCAGGGCGTGTGGAGTTCTTGCATACGAGCTGGTGATGGGCCATGCTTATGTGTCATGTGCTGATCATGAGCTCACCACGTGCTGACCATGTGCTTACCACGTGTTCCTTCTGCCCCATCATCCACCAGGGCATGTGGAGTCCTTGCATACGAGCTGGTGATGGGGCATGCTGATTGTACCACGTGCTAAGACTGTGCTTACCACGTGTTCCTTTTCCCTTTCATCCACCAGAGCATGTGGAGTGCTGGTGTACGAGGTGGTGATGGGGCTTGTTTGAGTACCCTGCATTGCACATGCCTACTACGTGTTCCTTTTGCCCCATGTCTTATCAGGGCATGTGGAGTGCTGGTGTACGAGCTGGTGATGGGCCATCCGCCCTTCGAGGGAGCATCTGACATGCACACGGCCACCAACATCATGCACCACGACCTCGCGCCTGATTCCATGCCGCATGCCATGTCGCCCGCCTGCAAGGATTTCATCGGTAGAGTGAGTAAGATGCGTGAGAAGCAGGGATTGGGCTTCTATCCGTGCATTGCCTCTTAGCATCCGACATCCACCAGGACCTCGTGCCCGATGTGTTGCTGCATCCCATGCTTGCATGGCCGCTGCAAGTTTCAGCCACTGTTCCAGTTTATTTCATTCCTAAACAGCCAGTTCGTCCCAAAAATCCCCTCCCTTGTGCCCCCAGGTTCTTTGCAAGAACCCCTCCGACCGCCCCTCGCTTCTTCAAATGCTCGACCACCCTTTTGTGTCGGGCCACTGCCGGGGGCGGCCTCTCTTTAAGGAGGTAAGGCAGGCGGTCTTAGAGGAGCGGTGGCGACAGGAGCGGGAGAGGGAGATGGGGGAGGAGCGGAGGAGAAGGGTGGAGGCGCAGCGGGAGGAGGAGAGGAGGAGGGAGTGGTGGGAGGAGCAGCGGAGGGTGATGGTGCTGCGGAAGAAAGGAGGGGTGGGGGAGGAGACGGGCAGTAAGTCATTCGGGAAGGAGAGGGAAGATGGGTTTGGTGAGGGTATGGGGGAGGTTGAGACAGTAACCAGTCCTGTGTGCATCAATCCTCCACCCATCAGTCCTCCATCCATCAACCCTTCCCCCATCAGCCCATCAGCATGTCTCGCCATCTTTCCCCCCACTCGCTTTCCTCCCTCGTCTCCCCTGCCCCCACCGCCTCTTTTAGCTTCCATCGCCTCTCCCTCTGCATCGACACCCACATCCTCGTTATTGTCACCTGCATCGGGATCACCACCAGCATCACCCCTTCCCACACTCACTGCCTCGCTGACCACCCCTACCGAGTCCAACCAGCCACTCACATCTGTTGAACCATTCAAAAGCACTCCTGATGGTTCACCCCAGCCAATCCCTGTGTCGACCCCCATAGTCACATCTCTTACAGGAACAGACCAGCCAGCGAATCTCCTCCCTGGTGCCCAAGGGTTAGCACAGAAGGCATGGATTCTTGCAGCTGGGGTAGGTGCGGGAGGAACCCCTGGAAAAGAAGGAGCAGCTTCAGGAGAAATTTCAGGGGCTCTGGGAGAAGCAGAATCATCAGCTATGCGCAAACCATTTTCTTGGCTGCATCCCTTCCAGGGATGGACTTTGCCAGTGGGTAAGCAAGCGTGACTGTAGGGGTACAGTATTGGTGGTCTGAAGGCGGTCTTTTCTTTTTTGCCTTACATCCAAGTTCGTTGTTTAGGAGATAAAAGCTTCACTATGTATGACTTATAAATGATTATACACATTTGCGCATAACATTTGCTCAAAACTGTGAGCATCAACCAGACCACACGACAAGGAATACATGGCAGCAATCGACTTCTTTGGCTTAGGAAGTTGGACCATGCCTAGCAGGTCCAACGAGAAATCTCTGACAAGCCTAAAATACCCTGCCACGTTAGCTTCATTCAGGGATAAGACGGAGATCTTGGAAGGTAGCAGCTGTCAGGCAGCTGAGCTGAATTAATCTTCAAATATACCAGATTTTCTGGGTTATTCCAGGACCTATCCACAGTGTTGGTGTCGACAGTCGCTGCTCCAAGGCGCCATCGAAAAAGAATGGATCGGCAGAACGGATCTGCTTTGATAGATCCCTATCCTGCCATAATCCTCTTGGGCTTAAAGAGTTGCTGAGGCGGTAGGGAAGGCACCTTGAGGCACCACGAGTTGTTGCTGCTGCTCGGGTATCGGAACGGAAAGTTGTTGCCTTCGAATAGATCAAGCAAGGCCAGCGTCTGCAAGAGAAGGAAAGCAAACAAACAAGGCAATCAGTTGGCGTCACAACGAAAAAGGATGAGAAAACGCGAAATGATCACGCGAAAAGCATAAATATCGTCGAGCAGCATCCGACGTGGCATACCTCGGGAACGGACAGCATGAGCCGGAACTTTGGGCCGTCGTAGTGATACAGCACGGGTCGAAACTCGTCCTCCTCCAGCGCTCTGCACGCCTTGCGAATCCGGATCCGAACCTGGGCCGGGAACCGCGACTCGCCTTTCACCTTCTTGTCTTCCCACGCGGTCGGATCGATGTTGGAACCTCCGAAGCTCGCAGCTTCGAAAACCCCGTGTAGTTGATGCGTCGTGTAGTTGTACAGGAATAAGGGTAACCCGGGTTGGATGGAGCGAACCGAGTCGCGGTATCTCTGTGGTAGGCCGAATAATTGGCGTTTCAAGTCTTCCTGCATTGTGTCGTTGTTGCATACGAAGATGTACCCTCCTAAGATCTCGTGCCTTGGGAGCGACTCTGAGGGAGGCAGTGTTTTCTGCTTCTTTTCTGGAGATGACTGCGTGCCTGGTGACTGGTTCCCTTGTGACTGCCTCGCTGGCGACTGCATGATGCCTGGAGACTTCAGAACAGCTAGCGAAAACACTCCCGTTCCTGTCATCCCGATATCCCAGAAACCGCTAAACCTTGAAACTGATCGTATGGAAGTAATCGGAAAACTGAGCTGGATGAGAAAACGGGTCTGAGAACGCCTAGTAGAGATGGAAGACTAGGCGAGGAGGGGTCGTAAGGTTGAAGCGAAGTGCAAGACTTGGCGGGAACGGATCTGGCTTTTGAGCTGTGTGTGGTGAGATCGGCAGGAGAGGGTAGACTGGATCTCGCTCCGACGGAAGCGTTGGCTGGGCAAGGTGAAACCGAAACTTTGGTCTGGCGGCTGGAGTGCGGCAGAGCTATGCAGACCGTGTGATGAGAAGTGCAAATCGAGTGACAAAAAGTTCCCGAGGATACCGGAATTTATCTCCAAAGCGCGCCCGGCCGTGCGGGTTGAGGGGCAGACTGCGAAGCTGGAAACGCAACTTTGACACGCCAACTGTCCAACCAAAAACTTCGTAAAGGTTCCCGTGCAACTGGAGTCATGAATGACTTGTAAAACAGAGTAGCTGTGACTACTGGAGGGCTGGAAACTTGGCTGGAAAGTCTTAGCTGGCTGGAAAGTCTTAGCAGGGCTGCTGGAATTGACTGGATGATGTAAAACTTCACTATGTTCAAGATTAACAAGCCCACTAAAGCACAACTCTATAGGCATCACAAACAAGACAGATTGAAAGCTCAAACTAGGCTGATAGACAATGTAACTTCCCTGGTAACTTGGGCACAATCTAGATTGGATGGACCTTGAGTGACTTTGAGTGCCACATGAGGTGCATGAATAAGAAAACTCTGGATATTTCTGTTATAGCTGATTCTGATGTGTAGAAACCTGTAGAAACTGCCAACACTTCGGTTTGAAGGCAGCTTTGAATTATATCGAGTCTTCGGCTGAAATCTGATTGGTGGTGGAACTTTCGAAGTACTTCCCGAAGCTCTGATTCATCGCCGACATTCCCCCTTGCTGCTGCTTGTGTGCAAAGGGCTGGGGCGGCAGAAACTCGATTCTCCAACACTCCCCCTCGCACCAGACCCGAAGCACACATACACCCATGCTGATGCTCCTTTCACATCTCCTTAGCATACACTTCATGCTGCTGCCCACGTCTCTTCCCCTCACACTCCTCATTCTCCTCAAACTGCTCCACTGCTTCATGAAGTGTCATGAGGCCTGCTCTTGCCTTGCACATGTTGAATGCATCATGTGGAAGAACCTTGGTCATGAAATCTGCTGCTTGATCGAATGAACGGCAAAAGTTGACGGCGAGAACTCCCTTCTCTAGTTGCTCACGAATGAAGTGGTACTGCACCTCGATGTGTTTTGTACGCCCATGATGAACCGGGTTCTTGGAAAGAGCTACGGCTGAAGTGTTGTCCACGTAGAGCGGAGTTGGTTGAGTTTGCGGCTGCCTCAATTCCTCCAAGAGTCCACGTAACCAGATTGCCTCCCTTGCTCCTTCGGTCATTGCCATGTACTCAGCTTCGGTTGTTGAAAGTGCCACACAACTTTGCTTGCGCGATTGCCAAGAAACAGCGGCACCACACATGAGGAAGATGTAGCCGCCGGTAGACTTGCGTGTGCTCAATTCTCCCGCCCAATCTGCATCGGTAAAGCCTTGGAGGGAGCTTGCATATGGGCTGGCTTGGAATAGAAGACCATGATTAGAAGTACCTTTGAGATACCGAAGAGCTCGCTTGGCTGCATGCATATGAATAGGTGAAGGGGCACTCATGTGTTGAGCTAGCTTAGATACCGTGAATGCTAAGTTGGGCCTTGTGCATAGGGCTGCATACATGAGACACCCAACCTGACTTTGGTACAGAGCTAGGTCTTGTGGGGATACCTTAAGTGAATTCTCACCATGATGCTCACTCTCCTCAAGACACAACTCTTTAATACCTATGATATCAAGGCTCGACTCTCTCTCTTCATAGGGCTGATGTGAAGACAAAGGGACAAATTTGGAAGGAAGTGGGGTAGGTGATGGCTTGCTATCATCAAGACCAAACCTCTCAAGGACCTTTTGGATGTACCTTTGCTGGAATAGGAAGATGGACCGTGACTTACGATCTCTCACAATGTTCATACCAAGATAATGACTCGGCTCACCAAGATCGGTCATCGTGAATGCACTCGTGAGAATACCTTTCACCTTGTTGAGAAGATCAAGAGAACCTGAGACTAGGAGGAGGTCATCGACATATACCAAGAGCCAAATGTACTCCCCCTCACTCGTGTGCATGAAGTACAGAGCGTTGTCTCTCATGGACCTTGTGAAACCATGCTTGAAAAGTACCTGCTCAAGAGCATGATACCAAACCCGTGGGGACTGTTTGAGACCATAAAGGGACTTTACCAAGCGACACACTCGACCCGTACCGTCATCATAACCTTCGGGTTGTGCCATGTATACCTCTTCTTCCAAGACACCGTAGAGAAATGCGTTCTTGACATCCATTTGATGGATATGGAGACCAAGATATGCGGCTATGGCGAGGAGGACTCGTACCGTGGTGTACTTTGCTACCACGGCAAAGGTTTCGGTGAAGTCAAGACCTGGAATTTGGGAATAACCTTTTGCCACTAACCTTGCTTTGTACCTATCGAGGCTACCATCACCTTTTACCTTGATCTTGTACACCCATTTGACACCAATTACCTTCTTCCCTGGAGGTGGAAATATCTTGATTATCGGTGTTGACTTGAGGATTAGGTATGGTGACTCGTGGCGGTGAAGCTGAAACGTTTGTCGGCGTAGTTGGTTGTGAAGATGCTCTTGGTGGGGATCTTGAGACTAGAAGCTTGGGAATTGATGATGACGCTGCCTTGTCGAGAGGTGGTGATGGTTGGGGCTGGTTGGTGTTGTTGCTCGTTGTTGAAGATGGTGGTAACTGATGACGACCGAATCCGGGACGTGGGGGTGAAGTTGAGAAAGGTCTTGGGTGAAGAAGTGGACTGTTGGAGCTGGTGTTGGTGGTGACACGCTGAAGTGATCCTCGTGCTATGAGCTGGCTTGACGTTGGAACAAGTGATGAACGTGTGGTATGAGAACGAGGTGTTGCGGTGACGGTTGACTTGTTGCTAGGAAGAGTCGTAGATGGTGTTGATGTAGGTACTTGGGGTCTTGTAGCTGTTGATTGCTGCTGCATGGGATGATGATGAGCTTCTGTAGTTGCCTCTGGAGTGATGGCTGGTGATGGGTTTGATGGCGTAGTGGTGGGCTGATCCGGTTGGCGTTGAAATTGTGAGGTTGGTGTTGATATAGCTGGCTGGTTTGTGACTGTTGGCTGCTGCTCCTTTGGTGGTGATGGAACGGTGACTTGCTGCGGTGGATTGTCTTCATTTGATGGCTGAACTTCATCTCCACTTGGTTGAGTAGCTGCTGGTGGCACTGGCGTGGCACGGTTGGACTCGTTGACGACGGCTTGAGGGAGATCGATGATCGGTCCG